TGATTCTCAAAAAGGAAATGGCAATGACAGTGGCCGAACATCTGCAGAGTGCAATATGAATTTTTTATTTTCTTAAAAAGTTCCTAACTAATTATAAATGCAAATTTTTTATTAGAAATAAGAAATGAAAATTTCATTTTTAGTGATCTCGATTTAGCTAAGCGTTCACATTGAATATTGGGGCATCTTAAAAGTCCTCTGGGCTTTTATTGTGTTTGACTTTGGACCACCGTAAATTCTCCAGCAGGTCCACTGGCGAAGGCGAATGTCACTATAACCTCTCCGACTTCGCGTTTCTTTTCTCGATTAGTGGATTTTTTTCGCCTATTATAGTCATCCAAGCTTAACTTCAGAATACGTGATTGCCATTAGCGTTTTAGTTCAAACTGTGACACCGAATAGTTTGCAATATACAAATAACTTTTGGTTGCAAAACTCATAAAGAAGAGTGAAATTCGAAGACACTTCAACAGATAAATCTCGGAAGAGTAGGGCTATGTAAATTTAGGGAAACTGTGGTTTCATCATGCGAAGTTATTTGCATGCACTCGGGAGAAAGAATTATTTTAGGATTAACTTAGATTTGGCATTGGTTTAGTGACTTAGCATAAGAAATGAAAATAATTTAGCTGTGTATTGTTCATTGGCAATACAACACATATTATACGAAAATGTTCTTTCCTGGTTTTAATCATTGATGAAGGACGAATTCCTTGTGACAAGAGAAAAGGGCAATGACTTGTCCAGGTGAAATCCTCTCAAAGCCTTTATTAGACTATCGTTACTATCTGATTGTTGTACATACGGAACAAAGTTCAAGCTGTAAACATAGTGACGCCATGTGGAATGACTGCAAAAATTTGCCACTTTGAACACCAAAGACCTCTTTTGTCCACCATATTTCCTAGACCTTGGAAATATTTTCCAGTAGTTCATTGGTTCTAAGGCAATTCCCGAAAGTGTAACAGTTAAAAAACAGTTAAAGTTATAATCTTTGAAAGTTTAACGATAGAATATAAAACTGCGATGGGTTTTATGATGACTCCATGATCCTACACTTTATTTTTATTACTGGCAATAGTTTATAAAAAAATACCAGATTATTACAAAAACAAGAGCTAAGAAAACAAAAAAAATCTTTTTTTTTTGGTTTATCCTTATTTCCTTTCAAATTTGGCTTCGTAATTATATATTTAGAAATTAAAATCTGACTGGCCACAAATCTTTTGATGCAAATTATTTAGAAAAAACAATTAGTTGAGAATGAAATAATTAAAATAATGAAATAAATAATTTTCACAGCATTCCAACAGTAAAATTCCAATTAAAATTCATGAATAATAAATAACGATCGCAAAAATTTAGAATTTGGAAAAATTTAAATGTTAAAACGGCAGGAGGGAAGCAATTTGACCTTGTTTCTGGACGGATTCACGCTTAAACCTGGCAATAATTGCCTTCGTTTCGACCTCATCCTAATCAACATTCTATTGGGTAAAATATTAGTTAATAAGGTTTTGATTTCAAAAAAATATCTATACATTTGAGACTTTTAGAAAAAAAATTAAAAATATGTAATTGCAAATCTACGACATTGATAGAATTCATTCTTCGCGAAAGATTATAAAGATTAGATTTTTTAACAGATAAGATAATTAGGGCCAGTTTCATAATTGATGAAAAATTTCGAAAATCTATCCGATAGAAATTACAATGATCGGTACCACTTCATGATGGTTTAGAGGATTATGGCTAAATGGCATATCATTTCGTGCATCATGGTTCAGTCCCTAGCAAGAGTAAAACCTTTTAAAAATCTTTTAGAAACATACAATTACAACTAACGTTTATTAAGAGACAACTTTTGTAAGCGAGTTTGTGCTATCCGACGGCATTTTCCACTTCGTTTCCAATTTGTTAAACTATAAAAAAGATTATTGTGGAAGTGATAATATCGTTCATGATAGAATAAATTATTTCTTATGGCTTAGTGAATTATTGCTCTTATTTTAGAATGTCGATGCTTTGATTTCATTCCTGGTAGAGAAAAATCTATCTTGCAAATATCCAGGTTATGGCGCATTTCTATCGCCAAAATTTGCCTGGTTCGACAAGCCAAAGGAGAGGAAACTAATTAGAAATGAGCATTATAAAGAGAATTATTATTGATTTCTCGAAGCCAATACTCAAATAAAAGAATATGGTATTTAAAATATGAATATTTCATACAACAAATATTTTTAGAATTAATAAGTAGGGCGAGTTTGACCTCGATTTTATGTCAGAAATAAGTTCATCTCTAAAAGCAATGATGCTGGGAACTACTTTTACCTCCCTATAGAACAGAATAACTCATCCTAGCAAGCAACGGAACCAATAAAACCAGAAACAGTTTGTACACTTAAAAGAGCTTAGTGATATCACATCTTTTTTAGAGAAAATAAAAGATTATGCGATCATGAACTATCAAGAACTTTATTCTATAAAATTTTCGCTCATTCGTTTCAAGTTCCATGCATGAAATGCATCGATGCATAAAATTTTCGAATTAAAACTAAGTTTTTCTCACATTCCAATAAATCTATAAGAACTTCTACGAACTTATCATTAAATAAAAGTTCATTTATCATTATTAATGATAAATAATAAATAATGATGAACAATGTTCCTCATCAAAATAAACCAAATTAGTAATTTACCTATTTCTAAAATTTTATAACTTTAAATTTTATAAGAAAATTTTGAAAATGGCAAGAAAAACAAGACAAAAAAAATTATCTAATGTCGTAAATCGAGTAAATCGAATATTTAAAAAAATAATTAAAATATGGAAGAAACAAATACTTTGAATATCGCGAAATAATTAAATTGATAATTGATAACTGATTATGAAAAAGTTGAAGGCATTCGTCTCGTTTGCATTTATGAACATCGTTTTCGTTAACTAACCAAATACGATCAAATAAGTTTAATCCACTCCTCGAAGCTATTGAATTCTTATCAATTTGTTCCACATACACTGATAAAACTCTTAAAAAACTCTTTTATTTATTTCATATTGTATTTTTTTGTTAAAAGATCGCTTATCAAATATTTTAAGGAATTTTTGCAAGGGTGACAAAATCAAAATAAAAAAAAATTAATATTTACTAAATTAAATAATGTTAAATAATTATCAATCAAATTTAATAATCAAAATCTTAAATAATTTTAAGGAATTTAAGAAAAAATTTTCAAAATTCGTTTTAAACACAATTCTTAAGATAATGAATAGAAAAAATTAGGTCAATAGCGCTAAAAAAAAAGGCTTTTTTTCTATCAGTAATCAATCATTTTAAAAATATTTTTTTGTGGTTAAATGATTTTTATCATCGGATAATTATTGATTGATAAAGGAATGAAAATGAAATCGAACCTATCATCTTCATTATCACTTTCAATCGCAATGCCTAATCCAAGTTTTTCATGCAAAATATCTCTTTTTAATGTCACTTTTTCAAATATAATTCGCATTTTTTTGCCGAAATACTGATTCGATTTCTAAAAGAATTTTACGATTTGCAAAAAATTGACTTAAAGAAAAGAAAAGAAAATGTTCGAGGAAGAGCACTTCGTTTTATTGCGTCGATGAGTTTCATTGCATTCTATTTTCAGTCTTTACTTCCACTTAACTATTTCCATTATTATTATTATTATTGCATAATAACAAATAAAACGTTAAATCACTGAGATATTTCCTGTCACAAACGAATTAACAACGAAAAACTCATAAAAGGCAAATTTTGGTTTATAGTTTGATTTTGAAAAATTTGGCGACGTAAGCCGAAATTTTCGAAATCTCCGGCATTTTTGATTGGATTGGCACCTTAATGAGAGCCAAAATAAAGCAGCAAAAATTATTTATCGTACGAAGTAATTAATTTAAGATTGAAATGGAGAAGAAGACTTTTCAACGGAAAATGGATCGCATAGAAAGCATTATACAACGCTTTTTCTAGTTTACTGTAATGGATATCTCATTTTACACAACGCTTTTAAATTTTTTCGCAAAAAACAAACTACAAAATGTCGCAAAAAAAAGGAATAATCCGCATTTTCTATTTCGAATGATCAACGATCAAATAAATTATTATTTAATTTTTATTTTAACACTATTAATTATCATTTTTTTTATTAATAATTAAATCTAATAATTAATCATTACTTTATTCGTATTCGTATGTAATATTTTACGATTTAGTGATGGTTTCGTTGTTTCCATTCTTTATTTGCTAACCTTTATTTACATTTTTTCTAAGAACACCATTCACCATTTCTAGTTAACATTCTGCTTGCTCTATTGACTCTATTGACTTGTCGGATCATGCAAATTTTATCGGGGAACTGCTAAGAAATATAGATGAGTGGCTCCACACGACAAGCTTACTTGCGCCGGAATTAGAATCCCAGCACTGGCGCTCCAAAATGGCAACAACAGTCCGCTAAGCCATTCCACGTGTAAACAAGAATGTATTTATAAAAAACATGAAGAATTTCATACATTTCTGGTTTGATGAATTCGTTTTTTATTGCTCGGTCGAGTTGACTGAACAGTTTGAATCGAACAGTGCTCAGTTACTGCTGATAATTTTCCTTGCTTTTGTTGATGACTGAAATTTTTTCAAATGTATGTCCTAGTCGTTGTCGTTCATTACTTAGACAATCGTTTTAAGCATCATAATTCGATATTTCTCCCTGAGGGGAGTAAGTTACGATAAAGAGTATTCAGAACTCACAACTCTGCCTTTTGTCTGCCTTCTATTCATTGGTACCTATATTAGCAAAAACATATGCGAATGCTTTTAGAAAGTACGCAAAGGCTGACATAAAAAAATTTTTTACGCAATGAATCGGAAACGTTCGAAATTATTTATGAATTAAATAGAAAATTTTCTATTTTCATATAAAAAATAAAATTTTGTGGCGAAAAATTCGTCCGTCGTCCCTCTTGAAAAAATAGATTAGCGGGGATTACAACGTTGTAAAGGGTACCACTGCTTATTGCTTTTGTTATCCGTTAAATCTTTGTTACAAAACGATCGAATTCGTCGTTTATCGTCCGATTCTTTGCGAATTAATTGTTTCTTTATACAAAGTGTCACATCGACTTTCGAATATTTACGGAATATTTGTAGTGCTTGCAAATGAGTTTTACCGCATAATTCATTGCCATTAACACTTAATATTTCATCACCTTTAAATAATATTTGCATTAATATTAATATTATTATTATTATTATTAATGTTATATTAATTAATATTTAAATAACACCAATATTTTATATTTATTATTTAAAAAAATAAAATTAAATTCAATTCAATTATTTAATATTTTAGAAGACAATTATAATTATTTCATATTGTTTACTTTTTATGTTATTATTTTAAATTGGCTTTCATTTTATTTAATATTTGCGATATTAATTCAATTATCGATTATTATTTTAAGAGTATTTCACCGTTTCTGGTTTTTCGGATGCGGCAAATTCTGGCAAGGAGACACTTAGCGACAGCATCAACCTCATTCTGATTTCTGGAACTCCTTTACTCCTGCTGAGAGAAGAATCTGCTCCACGATGAAAGGAACAACCTAACTGAGCCATTCTACCCAACTTATTCCATTAAGCATTAATAAGTATTATCATTGAAAATATTTCTAAATAATTTAAAAGAATTTTCTAATTCTTCTTAAAAAAATTTCTGCTAACATATTTAACTATCCAAAAGCCAAATGCCGATTTTCAATTACTTTTTTTTTGTGGATATCATTATTCTTCCGATATATCGCATAAATTTCTTTATCTAGCAAATTTTTTATTTTCAAAAAAACCTTTACGAAGTAAACCACTTCGTGCTGCGATGCCATTTGCATAAATCGTTTTCACAAAAATCCCCATAGGACCACGCGGAGAATCAATGCCTCCAACAATACTAAAACCCAACGAATGCCGAGTGGACTGTACTTTTTTCTCACCATTTATATTCGTTGAACCAAATCCACGATACAGCACGATCGTCTGTATTCGATCACTCATAATCTAAAATATTTTTTCAGGGTGAAAATGGTGACAAATTCTTTTTATTGGGAATCAATCGATATGATGCGATGATCTTTTTTTGTATTTATAAATTGTCCTTAATTTAATTATTAGAATTCTCCAATTTTTGTAGACTTTCTAAATCGCCTTATCTCTATGAGAACAATTCAAGTAGGATCATAGGATGAAGCATTTTAGAGTGGTACTGCCGGAGTTCCCACTTCTGGCAAGGAACCTGTCGCTCGGAAGAACCCGACTCACTTGTTGGCGACTCACTTTCATTTCTCTCGTTAAGTGGCTCTCTCGCAAAATTCGTCCGGTGAGCTAACGGAACGAGTCGATTCAAGAGCCCTCTTTAAAAAAAATGATAAAGCAGCGACTACGATGCGATAATCGTAAATGGAAAAAAGTTTTAAATATATGACGTTACTAGTTTAAACTGGTTTACTCTATCGTTTCACAACGTTTTCGGCTTTGTTATTCTATTGATGAAAATCAAAATAGAGCAGAAAAGCAAAAAAAAGTGATTTTTTAAATCGAAATTTCAAAGTTCACTTTGCTTGCTGATTTCAAGCGAAATATAAATGCATGGAAATATTTAATTTAAAATTTTTACATGGAGAATTCCTCCATTTGAGCTCTATTTTGCCTCATCTGACGATTTCAAATGCAATGTGAATTCGATTCGCATTCGCTGACCGAAGATTTGCCTGCGATTAAGAGTAAAATGCGAATGATAGGCATTCGCCAAATAATTACAGGAAGAGTCTCATTTTGGCCAGTCGATTTGAATTTTTTGACGTAAAAGAAGTTTTATTTTAGTCTTTAAAAAATCATTTAATGAAAGAAATTGAATGCAATAAGATTTGATGAATACGAGAAAAAGGATGGATGAATTGGGAAGTTCTAAGTTAACGAAGATTTAGCATTCGACACAGAAGTATTAATTGCAGGAAGGATGTTCCTATAAATTTCTCTCGTAACCAATATACTTTTTCGCTGAATCAATTTATTATCATTTCAAAAATGAATCGAAAAAGCAATTATAGCCCCGAAAGAATTAAAAATCCATCAACTTCTTGCCAAACGTAGAAATGAATACAGTAAACTGATAATAAAATGTATGATGACAATAGGCAAAAAAGCGGTTACGAAGGAGTTAAGTGAGAGGGAATAAAGTGGAAAATGAATGAATAATAGCGACTTCAATGCCTCCAGGAACAGGAAGATTAAATTTCTCACTAAATATATGTCATAAAATTTATAATAGTTGTGTGTAAAAAACTTTCATAAAATCTCTTTCTTAATGTTTAATCCACATAATCGCGATTTTAATCTCAGAAAGGGAAATCTGCCAGCGATCTATTAGAAGCCAATGTGTTAAAGAATGAAAAGAAAATAAATTCCTAGAATTACTATGAACATTTGGATGTAAATCTACTGTTATGCCTGATCAGAATGAAAAAAATATTGGCAAAGTTCATCAAAAGTTGATCAAAATGGAAATGTTGGCCAAGTTGATCAGAGACCACGAATTCCAATTGCAATAGCTCTATTAAACAAAAATGTGTAATATTAGGTGAAAAAAGATGCATTAAAATATTTAATCAATGATTTATATCACTGAACCTGAGGCATTAATTAATCGTGTGAAGAAGTTTCTTGACAGTATTATTCCTGATTTAACAGTATTATCCCTGATTAACAAATTAATATGAGATGTTCCGGGTGACGCTGGTGACCCACCTGTACTTCTATGACGCTGCCAGTGCCACAAGCAACCAGTAATGGTGAGTACTCTTAAAAAAGAAATAAGGCGCTTCTGAAACTTAAACGGGAAACCGGAAAAATTGAATTTTGGATAGCCAACTCAAACCAAAAGAAAGATTAAGTTTGTATTGGTATTGAAATAACTATAATGAAGTAATTAACACGACAAACATATCGCAAAACGAACGCCGTGGAGAAAGAATCGAAACAAAAAATAAGGCTATGAATAGAAATGACCGCGGTCGGCAGAATGCATTCAACGTTAACCCCCCTATCCACTCTCGAAAAAAAGGTCATCGATGAAATTTTTCGATGAAATTCCACTGAAAGAAACAAATTTTTTAATCAAAAATATTCCTTTAAAATTAATAATAATAACATCGTAAAAATTTTTTTTCTTATATCTCATAATATTCCGATTAACATCGAAACATTTTCGAAATTATACAATTTTCGTGCGATCGCTTTTATCTGATTCTATCCATTCGCTTCCTATTCGATTAGAAACGAGGACAATATGATTTGTATTTTTCCAAATTTCTCGGCTGTCGGGGCTAATTTTAAAAATTCCTCTGCGAAAACGAGTAGGTTATTCGACAATGAAACGATTAATTTGCGAGATTTAAATCTCATGCAAGATTTTTTTATTTTTAATTCTTCTATAATATTTATATGACTGTGTTAAGATGAACGAAAATTCTTATTTATTCCTAATTATTATTTAATGGTACCATATATTATACGTTTTAGCTTAAAATTAAGTGGAATTTGTTGCCAGATTTTTCATAGTGCAAAATGAATAAAGATGAATGTGGAAATGAAAAGTTCCATGAAGGATTTGGATGTTAAATGAATGAATAAATTTTTGGATAAAACCACCATATTTAACTGTCTGTTAAGAGAACATATATATATATAGCAAATCGATTTCATCACTGATAATTGGTTTTTTCATTTCAGAGAATCGAAGCTAAACTACTTGACCTTAAGTCAAAACCAGAATTATAATTGCATGCATCTTTTAAAAAATTTAAGTTTCAAGAAAACGAAAATAACGAAAACTATTGCATAAATTAAGATTGGATAATTGCAAAAATAAATAAAAAGCTAGAAAAATTTGCAACAGAAAAATTTGATGTGGAGCGGAATAAAATGGTAGGCAACGAAAAGGCAAGGACACATGAGGTTATTGGTGCGCATCAATATATGGAAGGTATCATGCCACAAAGTGACCTCAATCTGCCTAATTTCATTCATCAATTTGTTGTTTACTAGTACCATGATTCATTAATAATATTCTTATTATTGCCATTCTCACAATGTGAAATATGAATTCTATGATCGCATTTCATGGAAAACAAGCCATTAAAATGTTTAATCGTCGACCTCTTCTCAATGTTCGCGAATAATCTTCCTGATTATTATCACCATTATTGCCGTCATAATAAGGCGAAGCGAGCACCATGATCTCATTCATTCTTATAAAGTCGCAAAAATTGGATGCTGCTTGCGCCCATGGTTCGGCAATAAATTGTAACATTTATCCTCTAATTATTAGCTCAGTTAAATTTAATGGCATCTATCTATAAATTGAAGGCCTTAAAAACCACCTTTCTATTTTCATCTATTTCCTACAGAATTTCGCGAAACTACTGTAAATTTGTTCTGTGTAAGGTACAATGTCACTCTATAGATGACATTTTGTAATTTCTTCGATTTTAAAAACAATTTTTAAAAATTCCGAATTCTTTTCATTCAATGCAAATTGTGTTCAACGACATGTCTGCCGCCAGAAATGAACCAAAAATGAAATAAACGATCAGAACCACAAAGATAATTTCTCAATCCATAATCTTATCAAAAATCATTTCATTATAAACAACGGAAGAGAATATCGATGAATACGAAAGGAAAAGAAACGAAAAGTCGATCATCCAAATTTCATGCCAACTCATTTTTAATTTCTCTTGCAATTTTTAAATCCGTAAAAGCCTTAAGGGAACCATTTTGTACGGTTATCATTTTTTTATACAACTTAATTTCTGAAAAAACATAGTAGTTTTTAAAAAAAACATGTCAGATAATAAAATATGCACTGCATGAGGGAAATTTGATTAAATCCAACTTTTCGTGGAGTTAGGCATCCAATGTGAATTGTTCTATAGACTGTTGATTTAGAAGATATATGGCATGACGATTATGTTTTTATTTGAAATTTTGGTATAGAATGATAATAATAAACTGTATAATCCAACAGAAGGGACGCAGCCGACGAAATTCAGGGAATCAGTAGGTGATGAATGGATAAGTCAGATGCTTAATGCTTATTGATGCTTTTTTTAAAATTTCATGTAAAAAATAAGAATTCTAAAATAAGAATTCTAAATTCAATTAAAAGATTAATATTAAAGAAATATTAAAAGAAAGAAAAAAAATAAAAAATAAAAAAAGAGATATTTTTTTATAAAGGAGGTTGTGGGGGAGGGGGAGGTTGAAATGTAACGAAAACAATGAAGCTCTGAGAAAATGCTATCTTTCTCAAAATTATCCTTGGATAACCATTACCATTTTTTAATCTCGATTAAATTTTACCTTTATTATATTTCAAAAATGAAAAAGTTCAGTTATTTTTTAGACGTCCACTGGTCCACTGGTGACAATTTGGTGACATTTTTATATTTACTAATAATTCAAAGATTTCCAGAAACTTCGCTAATAATTTCGAGAATTTTGACGCTTTCTTTCCTTCAATAAATAAGTTAAGAACCATTCAACAATTTTAAACAATCGCAGCATTTGAAAAACTAAATTGTTCCATTATGCCATCTTTCATTTCCAAAGACAATTGAAGACTTCAAAAGTTTTGGAGATTTGGAGATATTTTAAAATCTCTAAAATATTTATAGAAACTTGTTTTAATTTGAAAATATTTCATTTAAATAATAAAATATTAATAAATCGTCGTTAAGAAGATTTAGTTTTTAAGAAGCGACCTTAATCCCTCGCATTACTCGTTCTTATACCGACCAAAATGACAAAACTTAATCCCTAATACAAATACAAACCATATTAGCATTCTAATTAATGTTTATTCGCTTTTTATGGCCAAAGGCTTTATTGTTACCAAATTAGATTTGAGCCCATAACTTTCTACAAATAATATTAAATTCTGCGCAAAATCTAATGTCGACTATAAAGTAAAAATAACTGAATCGAATTCGAAGGCAAATTGTAGGCCAATTCAATCCGGAAGCTCATATTAATTGAAGATCATATTAATTTATCAATTCCTCATTTAAAAAAACGATTAAAAAGCTATGCATGGAAATCTCTGATAAAAAACATCGGCAATTAAAATAATTCATACCAAGAATTAAATCATTTTACCTTTATTATAACCATTTATCAATGAAAACCTTATAATTCTGCATTTCTATCGCCAATAACTCACTGATAACATTCCATGGTCTCTGGTCGGACAAGCCAGAAGAGAAATTAATCAGAAATGATAAATGTTCTTAGAATAAATAATAAAAAACCACTAAACATCCCAAATCCCAACCAGCACATTTATTAAATGTGATAAACCATCGAACATTTCCAGTTTTATTTCCAAAAAAACTACGTTTAACAAAATGTGACACATTCTTGAAAAAAATTTTGTTAAAAAGAGGTAGTAGAGCAAGAAAGAACATTTCGCCATGTAATTACAAATAAAAATAAAATTTTTTTAGAAATTTAGTTTTAAAAATGAATGAATTTATTTTTTTCAATAAGGCGAATTCATACCGAGCTTCGTGTTAAAACTTAATTTTCTACGTCGCTGATCTCTTAAAAATAAATTTGTTTGATGTTTTTTATAAATTTCATGCAATAAGCAAATGATAATTGCCCATACCAAATTTACGCCAGCAAATATTCCACAAAATTGAGAAAATTTCGATAGCACATCGAAAGAAAAAAGTGCAAAAATCGTCTAAAATACAGCAAAATCAGATCAAAATGAAGATGCTTTGCAAAAATCTGTAGTTTAATATTCAGTTTAATTGAATCTTGGTAAATCGTGGTCGTCCTTTGATATTTTTTAGAAACCGTTATATTTGCTGACATCTGTTCAAGCGATAAAGTAAATTACACCAGCTATCCTAATCCTTATAATTCTTCAACATTATCTTCCTACACTCTTTCGACATCCCTAAACACTTTAGTAGTTTTATAATTTATAATTGCAGCTATTGCAAAAACGCAAAAGAAAGTTGGCTGGTGTAAAACAAGGTAATTAATTAATAAAACTCAGAAATATTTAAAAATTTATATTTATTTTACAAAAATTCTATAAAATATTTATTTATTTTTCAGAATTTTTTTTTTGCAGTACAATAGAATTTTGTTGGAACAAAAGTGTGGCTGCCAGTACATTAGGGTAACACGGTGAGGGCTAATGGAGTCAACATATGAGATATAAGGGAAAAGCGTTATTTTATGGTTCCACCAAAAGAATAAGATATTGTTTGATGAGGCATTAGAAAGAATCAAGGGAGATATGGAGGAAAGAATATTTGAATTAATATCACTAATGAAATGAAAAAATACAGCGAAATTTGATGGAGCATTAAGAAAACTAAAGGGATTGTATATAGGAAATGCTTCAAATTTTATATGAAGTCCAAAGGACATTGCAGGGATTGTGGTATAATATAATAGAGATGGTGGATGGATTCTTGAAAAGGAATAACACTTGGACTTCATAGAAATAAAATACAACAAATTTATGGACAAAGCGAATGAGGATTGAAAAATTTTTGGAAATGAGGAAAAAATTTTGGATTTTTTAGCACAATATGGAGAAAATAAATCTTTTTTTTTCTGGACTCATAAATAAACAGCAAAATAAAAAACATGGATATAGATAAGGCTTACTTGGACTAAAATACAAGGAAAAACCAATATCACAAATTTAGCATTTATTGGATTTTTTGACCAGATATTTTGGCGCGAATGTACGAAACTAACTGATAAAACTATGAAAATAATAAGAATCTGAAAAAATCAAAATTAATATAAAGAATATTAATATAAAGAATTTGAATATATATATGCATAAACCGATAATTAAAAAAAGATAATTGTTTTAAAATTTTCTGAAAAATTTTAAGAGGATCCAGAAAAATTTCAACTGCTTAAAAAATAAAAATAATATAAATAAGCTCTATAAGATGTAACATGAAAATATGAAAATTTTTATCTTTTTTCTAATATGAAAAAATCATACTAAAAAAGAAATCAAATGTCGAGCTGCAACGATATTATCATTTGAATAATCCAGATAAATCGGTGAAAAGCGCCAATTATGTACACCAGCATTAAAATTAAGCAACTGAAAATTTCACTCAAAAATTGGAAGAAATTATTGTTTTTGGAAAATTTTTGTTCAATAATTGAAAAAATTTAAATGGTAAAAATAAAACTAGTAAAGAATTCCTAAAAATGATATCTTGCGATAAAAAAAGTGAAAAAGTGAACGTACCATGAAATAATACCCAAAAATAATAAAGGCAACAGATGGTAAAAAGCAGACTAGATAATATGATAACAAATGAGAGAGGGATTTACGACGCGTCGAAACTGTGAATTTAGGTGCAATTTCGTCTAAGCAACTTCTGTTATCATAAGGAGATAATATTAAAGATAAGGCAATAAGAGGTAAGTACAAACATATAAAGAGAAGCAACTGAAATAAAAAAACTTATAAAACTAAGCAATTAATTTTTTTTATAAATTTTCTGATAAATGAGGGATATTTTAATAAAAGACGACAATCTTTACAAAAGCTGCAGTACTTTATGAAAGAAAAATTCTTATTCAAAATTAATCAATCTGACTGATATATGAACTAAAAAGAATAAAAAGCATCAAAATTACCTGGGATGGACAAAAAATAACTGGCAAGAAAAGCAGAATACTAAGTAATTCTAAGAAAAATAAGGTAATCGAACAATATAAAAAAAATATAAAAGCTGAACGAGTTGAAAGGATTTGATGTCGACAAAGCGATATCATTGACATAACATCAACAGTCTAAAAATATCACAATTTTTTTAAAGAAAACAAAACCATATAAAAAATGTTATTTTTGTTAATGCAAAAAAGAACCTCATCGGAAGAAATTATAACATTTGTTGAGATGCTCATAAGAAGTGAGGCAAGTTGAGTAGATTTTAAAACACTTCCAGATTCATTTTCATTAGGATTATTTTTATAACATCTCGCTGGTTTTTGCGGCTCAATACAAAATGAACAATTTCCCTGCATCATTTAAAATGAAGCAATTGCTATCTTTTTCTTTTTTTGAAAATTCTTTTGGCTTATTTGCCAGATTCGATTATTATTAAAAGAAAAAAATAAACTTGCTACTAGGAAATGAACTAGGAAGACAACTTAAAATATGCAAAGTAATCGAATGATAAATAAATTGAATAATTAATGTAGACCTGACTGAAAATACGCGCATTATAATAATTAAGAGGAGAACCAGCCACCAAAACTATTTCACCATAATCCTTAAAAAATAACTTCTTCATTCAAAAAAAGCCATGTGATAATAAATAAGCAAAATTTATGAATATATAAAAGAATCAAAAGAATTCCCTATAACAACGTAATAAAAATTAGTTAATTTTAATTTTAATTCAATTTTAATTTTACTTGCATTATTTCAATCATTGAACGATTAGCAATATGATCACAGTCGGTGAATAAATTAACCAACAATGGTACGTTATCAACATTCTTAAGATGAGTTCGAATATTTTCAATACCTGAACAACAACAGCAAATAATTAATTTAATCCGACAATTAATTTCAACATAAAAAAGAGCTAAAAAATACCTGTGGGTAATTGTGCTTTATTTGGCATTGCTTCAGCAGTGATTTCATCATTGAATGAAAACGACAAGCGTGCACTCGTTGAGTTCTAAAAAAATTTGATAAGAATTTGTAAAATATTTTAATTTAATAATCAAAATAATAAACAGTGTATTAAATATATTGAACTATACTATATGGTATTATTGTACTATATTAAGTTGGTAAAAAGCAAAGACAAACAGATCTTTTCTGAGACATATTTTTGATCTTTTTCGGTTTTTGTGTTTGTTGAATATCGAAATCAGTTCCACTGAAATGAATTTATCAATAGTTAAAATTTTTCGTTCCAGAAAATATATGAAATAATGTTAGAATTGTGCCTCTGGTGACATGTTTTACTCTAGTAAAAAAGATTTCGCAATTGCAAGATCGGCAGAATATCTGCAATATTTTCTCGTTTATTATTCTCCCAAGCAAGAATAGGTCGGAACAAGTTAGCCCAAAAAAAGAAAAATAATAAAGAAAAATAAATTTAAAAATCTACAATGTAACTCTCATCCCCTCAAAAAAGAAAAATGAAAACATAGAGACTCACCTTGATAGTAATGGAACTTCGTCTTGATTAAAGCGTATTGAAGGAGATCTCATAGTTGCAAAATAGGTTGACAATCTGGAGTTTGCAACATCTTCCTGTTTCTCAATGTGAGAAGTGCGGAAACGTTCTGTTTCTTTACCTAAGATAGATCTAAATAGCCCAAAAGAAGAAATATACGAGAAATTTAAAATAAATCTAATAAATGTAAGGCGATTCAATTTTCTGCAACTTTTCCCAACAAAGTCTATTTGGTCACATTTGGTTAGAATTGTCCATCTAACTTTATATACAACATTAGAATATTCAACATATCTGAGCATGGGGGAGGATAGCTGAGCGGATATAGTGGATAATATATTAAATAATCGCATCGAAAGATAGTATAAAGATAGTAAATCGGTTCTTATTGTCAACAAAAGCAAAACCATCATTAAAAAATCAAGGCAATGACGCACCTATGATCCTTGTTATCGTCAACAGATTCCTTTGGTTTGGCAAAAATCACTAAATTAATAAGCGCAGCGAAAATGATGAACATTGATCATGTATAATTTAACTTCAAAGCATACAATATGGGAAGAAAAACGAATGTTTAATAATGGTTTGATGAATAAAATACAAAACCTCGAGAAGCGAGAGAAATATGACAATTCCACCCAGCTTCCAGACCTAATTTTTCAGCAAAAATACGACTCTTCAATTCATCTTCCTTTGAAAAATAAACAAATCGTATACAAGCTTGATCAAGTTGTTCAATCAAATGAACAACATCTGCACGTGCCTTAAACGACAAACTTAGATTATCAAGGTATATTACAAAATATAAAGATGTTTATTACTAAAATCCAATAGAACTGAGGTAAAATAAAATAATAGATTATGGCAATAAGATTCGAGAAGGTTCAGCTCCCTGTCCCCATAGGAACAAGCTTATTAATAAAAAATAAAATTGTATAAAAATAAAATAAAATTCCTGACAAAGATTTCTAATCATATTACAATAGACAGTGCAGCCAAATATGATAGGCACTTACTAGTTAATAAAAGATCTAGAAGAGACCGTGAAATGAATTGCAAAAATTTAATTTTTGGCGTGGTGAACGCTATAGATATTTTAAAATAAAACATTAACCTAAAAATGAAATTATAAAAAACTGCGATAAAAAAAGGAAACCTGATACTGCATTGTAATTACTCCAAGCAATGCAAAATTATTAAAAAGTCTTTTAATGCAATCATTAGCTGTACTAATCAAGCAATTATTATAAAACTGATCCACAAATATTGAATCGCAACTGAGCGATCGTCGATTTGTCCATCTTTGTTCATTCATTCTTCCAGAAAAATTCAGTGGAATATCTACGTAATTCTCACATAGCTGGTTCGATATGATTGAATCAACAGTACGATAGCCAAATGTTAAGCAATAGCTTGAAAAAAGATTAATAAAAAATTTAACAAAATAACAAAAATAAAAAAATAATTTAAGAAAAAATAAGAAGAATTGTTTCCAATTTTTGGAAAACAAAAAAGAGGAAACCTAGTCATAGAATGCCTCTGATAAAAATCGGCAACTTTTTTACGATCGCTACTTGTTAATAATTCCATAGAATGACCATTCCAAACGTGACTAGATGCGCTTAGTATCAATTTCGCTGTTCCCTGCACCATAAGATGTTGATAAAGTGAATGAGAATCGTTAGTTATAGTTAGAAAAGCGTTTTCTACAGTAGTTCGATGCTTTAACCTTAAGGAAACAATACATACAACAAATATATTTAAAATTGTCTTATAAATAGAGCGATTGAAATAAAGTACTTATATAACGTATATTTATACAGTAAGAATAAAATTTAAAAGAATAAAAACCTAAAAAAGAAGAAAAAAGAACCAACCCATTCAGAATGGAATCATTCGGGGATCGTTTATAGAATCCTACAGATGCCGATTTAGAAATGTCAAACCAGCCTTTCAGCAAATCATTTACGCTAAAATTATTTACATGTTTAATAACTATTTTCTTAACTTGTTATCTTAAGTTTCTGAAGTTTCTTCATTATCCATATATAAAAATACATATAAAAATAAATATAAAAACAAAAGAAGCAAATCATTTTTTTCCACCAAATAAATAATTTTTTAAAATTTTTTCATGATGTCTTAATTTCATCTGATTAAAATCCAGAAGGAAAGAAGATAATAAGAGTAAATGTATCCATAATTTATATCTATAACTTTAATGATATTCCTATTTCTCTTTAAAAAACAATATTTTGAAGAAGTAATGGAATAATTACCCCAACAAATCGGAGAAATAGCAAGCACATTTACAGTTTGGTACCGAAAATGTGGTTGGACTACGATTAAATAAAATAGAAATATGGTCCAATAATTTCGTACAGTTCAAATAATATTTGCACGAATTAAGACCGAGATTGATACCAAATGGCAACAAACATTTACGATATTTCTGCCTAACAAAAATTATCACAAATAATAAAGGAAAAAATTTTTAATTAAAAAAGGAACATATTAAATTAAATTGTAGTTTAAAAGCTGATATTAACTTGCCATTCAAGATCGTCAAAATGAACAGCAAATGGTCGATCACCGTCAATGCTGAGATCAAAAATTCTGGGAACTAATTTATATTCATTAGCTGTAACATATCGGATTAACACTGGTAAAAAGTATTTGCTTATGAAATTTAGAAAAATTTAGAGAATGATTTACAAAGTGGAAAAAAATCAAGGAAAAACCCGAATGAGATGACTGTTGACTATCGAAGCAAAATACTTTTTCTATTGTGGCATTAGGCCAAGAAAGCAATCCCTTCTTGTCAATGAATGCAAAAGTTGTTATGCCGCCAAGAGAATAAATGAAATCTGTTGACCAAAGCAAATATTTGTAATCATCTAAATTATCTTGCATTTGCTAAATAAAATAAAAAACACTATTATAAACAAAAAATTACAATACTATTATAAATAAAAAATTTCAGTTTTTTCTTTTCTGAAATTTTTTAAATTAACAAAACAAATATAACAAAACAAACTTGATATATAACTGAAAAACGACTTCGAAAAAATCTGAACTCTTCTTTTTAAATTTTCATTAATGAATACATCTGAACCTCGCTTATACCGTTTTCCTCGAAATACGGTACTTACTACCAGTAGAAAATTCCTTTAAAGCAAGAAAATGCAATATAATAGAATTAGAATGATAGAATTATGGAATTCTTTGACTTCTTTAATAGCCAGCATAGCAAATTAATGAACCAAGAAAATAGGAAATTATGAAAAAATACCAATATTTCGATAAAACATAAAAAAGAGGATAGAAGGGCGCAACTAATGGCATAATTACCGATACAAATAATATCGATATTGACAAATCATCGCTGTGGCGATAATCAGAACTGAAATAACTATTTTAAAATCATTTAAATTTATATACTAATTTATATTTATATTTGTAACTCTCTTGAAATAAAAGAAAATTTGAGAAATATAAAAACAAACTTTAAAATAAAAAAAATAGCAAGAATGATAATAGAAGAAGGCAATATTAATTTTTCTAAGAAAAAATGATTAATAGCTCGAATTTCCGAATCAAACAAATTTGACCGTCTTTTATGATGATCGGCAAAAATATTGCGAATGTGATTTACTAATGGCGATTCAACAACTGTGCACTGAATGGATTTAAGCGGAATTATCTGAAAAATTTTCACAAATTTTCATAGATTTTAATCTATATTAAATACAATTACTCGTTAATTTTAAATTTAAATTTTTAATTTTTGGAAATTTTAAAAAATGCATCAAAGAAAAGAACCAAAACATAGTTTACCAAGCCTGTTTTCTTGCATTTTTGCTCGCTAAAATAGAAATTAGACTGAGGAAATAACAACTTTCCACTGGAAGAAATGCAACGACATGGAGTTAAATGTCCCGGCCTTAACATTATTACATCTCCTTCGACAAGCAAAATATAAGGAACATTCACCAACTGAAATTATTTCAGTTCATCACAAAATAAAAAAACAACAAAATATTTTAACGGCATTCGAAAAAACAAACTGAAAAAAAAAGCAACCTTTCCATCTCGAAACGTTAACTGTAAGTTTATGCATTCACTAAATGGCTGATCGATATTTTCATATTTTAAATCAACTTGTTTATTTGCAATATCCAAAAAATTTCGTAAAACATAATTTGCTTTATTTATACATTCGTAGAAACGTTTCCTCCATATAAATATTGATATATGTAAATTAAGAATAAGCATAATGCAAAGTGCTGATACAAGTAAAATATTGGTTGTCGTTAATCTGCTGCAAAATATTTTAATTCAACAATGAAGAAAAAATCGTAATAAAAGAATATTATTTATTATTATATTTATTATATGAGCAAAAGTCGCCTAAAAGGATTTTGAAAGAATTTTTCTTAAAATAACCGAAATGATGGTACCATTTGTATCTTTCTATTCAATATGAGGATTTTATTAACTAGAAATTATCTGTTAACACTACATATGCTAGAATTCTATTTTTGCCAGCAGAAAAATCCATCTTTCAAAATTCTGGGTGGTGCTAGCGACTCAGTTGTATTTTAAAGTTGTATTTCGCCAATTGAGAAATCAGCCGAACATTCGACAACAAATAGTCTCAAAAAGAATTATTTACTCATTTATTTGCTTCTTAAGAAAGAAAATTTAAAAAAAAAAATTATTAAATTATTACTAAGAATATTCCTGAAAAAAAATTATTTTAAAAAATGAAAACCTTACTTATTTATAACATCAAAAATAAGTGAAAAAAGACAAATAAGAAGTGTAAACAAATGAATATAACAATAACAACCACTTGAAATATTTTTATGATTTAACACACTAAAAATATTAAAAAATTTTAAATTAAAAGTAAATTAATGAAAAAATGAAATAAAAGATAATTTTTATTCGAAAAATAAAAAATGAGTAAAAAAATTCAAAAAAGCCAAAATTTATCTCGATGAATAAAAAATTCAAAGCCATCAGATAAGAGAAAAGATGAATGGACGGTGGCTTAGTGGATTACCGCGTTGACACTCCAATCTCAACGTCTAAAAGAAGTGGAAGTGTCATTAAAAAAGCGCATGGTGCTGCTGCTGGTGACCAATTTTTAGTTCAGCCAAGCGAGCGAGTGCAACCAAAAATGGAGGCGCCGACCACCTTTTTTTAGTTTAATTTTACAATAATAATTTTTCCAATCATTGTTTTCTTTTCGATTATGAAAATTAGGCGTAAAATTTGAAATAAAAATCTTTAAAACGACCTGAATTTCGATAAAAATTTCGACGATATTCGACGATTTAAGGATTTGCGCTCACTATCAATTTCGTACTTTAATAAAACACAAAGACGACGAAAAGCTTGTTGCGTTGTTAAACCAATTATTTCTTCGCTCATATCTCAATAAATTGCATTAAATAAGCGACCGGATAACGAACTGTCGCTCTTATGACTGCTGAAACTCGGATTTTTCCCCGCGCGAGTAAAACCATCTTCTAGAACAGGTCCAATGGTCCTAGCCACTCATCTGCGCATCACCAAGTACTTAGCCAGCCTGAGAATTCAGTCGAGTGGGAGTGAGCTAGCCAGAAGCCTTGGCTCATATAAGAAAAATAAAAAATCAAGAGAAAATTATACACTCAAGACGAAAGCATACATTTGAACAAACCTTGGCGAAATAGCCGAATTTTTGAGCGTTCAGAAAAATTCGCAAAATCTATTTGTCGGCTTCCCAGCTGCAAAATTTTCCCACTACAGTGATAAGTGCAACGTTTTCGAGGTTCTCGAGAATATTTTTTTTCTTCCAAAGTACATTATTCCAGTTGGTTAGCGGGGAATCGGTTTTGATAGTTTTTTCGCCATTCCTTAAATCCAAGTTTCTATTTCTGAATTGCGCAGCCACGGTTCTCATAAACTGATGGAATATGGCACTAAAAAATGGCTTTGAAGAACGTTTCGAATTATTGCAATTATTATTAATTATTATTAACTAATTTCATATTTACTGTCATTAAATTATTGATTATTATTAATTATTTAATTATTTTTGTTATTTATTACTTTTTATTATTATATTATTATTTTTATTATCGATTACCGCAATTATTATTTTCATTGCTATAATTCGGACAAAAGAATTCGGCAGAAACAAAAGCATTAAGCAAGAATGATGTAAAAAAAAAAATGCAAAGCCGTTCCAATATTGAAGAAAAGCTTGAAGAATCGCGGCAAAATTTGCAGGGGAACAGCCATAACGATTTATTTATTACCGTTCATCTCGCATAGTAATTGTAATGAAAAATTTATATTTAGGAGCCCTCCGCTCCGCTGGCTTATTCTACTAGATAAACATGCCCTATGGCGGTAGAAGTAGAAGTAGGTGAGTTATCAGCACTCGCATTTTTGGACCTTCCAAAGCGCTGCTCTATCAACTGAATCGAAAGCAACTGCAAAATCGATGAAGCACTGGGTTGCTGCTATTTGAACGCAACACCCTTTATATAGCATGAATATCTAGCAAAACCTCAATGATCCTCAATGATCCTCAATGATCGAAGATATTATTTTTTTGCAGCACTCACCATTTTACGATATCTATTGCGATATCGCTCCTTGGCTTTTTTGCAGTCAGACAATTTCCGCTATCACTTTTGTCATTTTTAGATAGAAGTACAGGTGGATCGCCTGAATCAGAATTTTTTAGATAAATTTACTATTGCTATAGAAACGCATCAGTCCAAATTATTTTAATCATTCCACCAAAAAATTCATTTAATGAAGAAAAATTTCAAAATTTAGAAAACATCCAATTCGTTCATAAAATTCATGAAATGATAATAAAGTATAATCATTGAAAATAAAATCTGCCAAATGTTTTTGATTTTTTACTAAATTCGTCAATTATGAATTTAATTTTTTTACTTAAAAATTGGAAAATTTTTCTATAAATCTTTGCTAATTTAAGGCAAAAAAACAATCAATTTGGAACTTTGAAAAACTGAATAGAAAGGACAAATTCATTCAGCAACATTAAAAAGAGGTTAAAAAAAGAATCCAAAGAGCGATACAAAAAACCCATTTTTACTTTAGTTGAAAAAAAACATTTTCTATCGCGATTTCCATATCAACTTACAAGATTATAGCGACTGCTTTTGAATATATTAATGAAAAATTAATATGTTAATGAAAATAATATAAAAAAATTGTGATTATTTAAATGAAGCAATGTGACAGCACTGAAGAAAGGAACAGATCATCACAAATTTTTAATTGTCTAGAACGATATTTTGTTCCTTCATCGCTTTTTCAATTATCTCATCGATCGCATAGCAGAGTGACAAATATTTCAAAGGACATAGATCCTTGATTATATAGAGCTTAGCAGCAAGATATCTAGCTGCAAATACATATATAACATTATTATTTGCAATATGCAATATGAAATCGATAAAAAAAATGGAATACATAACAAATTAATATAATAGAAATAATCTAACTTTCATATATGATACGAAAAAAACTTACCAAAGCTGGATGTTGAATTAAAGGCAGTAATAGGTTTCTTCTTTAATTTAATATAATGAGCTGGAATCGATTTTCGAACAACAATTTGCTCAGCATTAACCAATTTCATATTTTTTCTTATGTCTCCATTTGATATTTTGTGATGCTCAACTTCCCCGCTAGATCGTTTGAACTGTGGAATTCTGGTAGAGTTCTCGAATTCATTAAATGAACTGTTCACGTACTGTTGTTCGTCCATTAAATCGTTATTCGAAACTTTTACGGCTCCTCGTCGAGCCTCCAGTCCCATTCTGAAATTTTTGTAAATTTTCGGAATATTTTATAACCTTTTATATGTAAATTTGTTATTTTATGTTCGTTTCGCAAAAAACGATACAGCATATGCAACTATGAAGTCGAATTTCTTATACTTTCTTAACCTATATTTCAGTGCAGCTGGTCATTTTTTTCTTTATTTTCTATCAAATACAAAATAAACAAATGAACCTAAGCCTTCTCTCAGTTTAGATTTGCAGTATCCCACTTTTAAAAAATTTCCAAAGATTTAAAAGCGTTGTTAGATTTTTAAATTTACAATAAATAGATTTGCAATTTTTTTTTAATTTACAGTAAATTTTACGTATTCTTTTTTTTGTACTCTGTGGAATTCTCCGAATCAATTTTGTTTTAATTTTGTTTTAAAACGGGAGATTTGAAAAGAAAAAGAAAAAAAATATTAAAGCAAAACCATATCCTTACCTCTCTGACTGCTCCGTAGATAATACGATTATCAGCTTATGATTACTGGTAGTTTTAGCATTCATTTCAGAAGTAAAATCACTTTGAACATTTGTCAGATAGCCCAACGGTTGGCGAAACGATGCATCTTCAAGTGTTACCTAAAATTATATTATTATCATTTAATAATGGAAATTTTAAATAAGCAACAATTAAAACCTTTGAAAATTTTTAATAAAATTTTAAAACAATGAAAAAAAAGTAGAATGATACTGGAGCTGCATTTGGGCTTTTTTCAACGAATTGTTCATCGCTTCGAGGAATCTTTAAATTTAAAGAATTAATAAAAAAACAAAGCAAAAACAAAGTAAAAAAAAAATATTTAGTGAATATAGTCTTGAACAAATCAGATAGCAAATTCGTGCATATACACCCCACCTTTGATGGCTCAATATAATTATATTTCCTCTTCACAGGCAGTTTATTTTGTCTTGTAAAATGCAGCATGTCGAAAAACTGCCATTTAGAATCTGGAGGCTCCAATCCAGCTGCGACTGCCCGATCATACCTTCTTCGTAATTGATTATAGTAATCCATTAAATTCTTCCAAGCCAATTTAACCATATCGCCTTAAGAATTTTCTCAATCGCTCGTGAATTAATTTTTATTTTTGGAATTAATCAGTCATTAAAATTTCATTTCTCTTATTTATACTCTTATTTCTCTTATTCAAATTCAAACACTAATTGTTTCAAACGAATAAAAATGAAAAAGTCTCGAAAAATTATGCTGACTTGTAAATGTTATTTGCTCATCAGATAAGAAGCGTGCGATTTCTTCGAAGGCAAGCCAACGTTTTTCAACATTACTATAATTCGGATGACTGACCTGCAATAGCTCAAGCGAAATTTGCTGCACAAATTGGGCTAATTTAAATAAATTTAAACAAACCTTCCTAAATTGAAACGTATTTTTGAAATGAATTTCCTTTCCACAAAATATGAGTGCAAGCCAATTCATAAAAATATAAATTTTTAAAATAGTAAATATTTTAAAAATAGCCAAATCATCACTCACCTTCCATATTAAAGGACGTAAAGCGATTTGCTGTATAAGAATGGCTTTTTTCTCGTCGGTCATTCCAAACATCGCCATGATGATTTGCTTCGTAAAAAGGACAATCTTGAAAAAAATAAAGTTGGATCAAGAAAAAGTGTTGAAAATACCTTGGAATTCAGTGCTGAAGTACAAAATTCACGACAGAAATCGTTTAATTGCAATAAAATTCAATTTCCTCTTGTAATAGTTTCTTGAACGCAATTTAACAAGTGAATGCATTGTTTTCTTAAGTGGTCGAAATGGAATAGCCATTGAGTTAGCTTCGTAAAAAATTTTTACAAGAATATTTGCAAGAGTTATTAGGAAATGCGAAATGAGGCAACTTTTCACAAAATATTAGGAAGATGTGTTGATAAGATAAGCATTCATGATAAGATAATGAAATGGGCAAACGAAGGCTGATAAATGGGAAAGACATCTGATGCCATCGTCGCGATTTTTGCTCCTCAATGCGAGCAAATCCGTCGTTAAAGGTGAAATATGGTATTGCACGAGATCGACCCGTACTTCTATCTCCAAACGATTGTGTCGCGAGTGCCGCACATTTTCGGCCAAACTCGAAACACTGCACTTTGGAGGAGCGAAAAACAAGAATAATTTTAACAGTTAATAATTTATTACCATATATTTGCAGTAATTTGTGAAAACTTTTATTAGGGTGAAACGAAGGCCACTTCAATTAAGTGTATAAATACTTCCGCAGAAGTGAGGGTTTCCTTCAAAAACCGACTGATCCTGGTGGCTCGGCTATGTTTCTATCGCCAAATAACTCCCTGGCAAAATTTATTCGGCCCGACACAAACCAACCAACCGAGCGAGAAATGGTGAACACTTCAGGAAAAAGGAACACAATGTGAATAAAATTGTTTATTTGCTTTCGAAAAATCAGATGGTTCAACGGAATAAATTCATTTAAAAAATTCATAAAAGAAAGCAATTTATGGTACCATAAAGTAGAACTTCATACGGTGACAAACGCTTTTTAAGGAAGTGAAATAAAAGGAAGAACGCTCGCTAATAAGCCAAATTCGACATTAGAAAGCCACATACAAGGAAAAAACTAAAATTCGGTCTGTGAATCTCAAACTTTTTACACTTGACTTATAAGGGAGTGTTGGTACCACTTTCTACGGCAACAAGAGGCCCCTTCACCACAGAGTCATTCGAGAATTACAGATCAATCCGACCAATACCACTCAGAATCTCACTTCCCCGTCAGATCTCCGCTGAAGGATACGCATCAGTGACAAAATGTAGGACTAATATAAATAGTTTAATAATTTACGAAATGATAAAATTTTGAGGGGAAATTATTTTTTTTCCCATGTTGCAAAATTAGAAATTTTCTGAAAAATTCGAGAAAATTTACAAGACTACTTCTTTTAAGACTTTTAAAGACTTTTTCACAATTATGAAGCACTAATTTTGGCATTGCAGTTTAGGAAAAACTTAGATGACTTAGATGACTTAGGTGACTAGGGTGACTTAGGTGACTAGGGTGACTTAAGTGACTTAGGTGATTAGGGTGACTTAGGTGACTTAGGTGACTAAAGTAACTTAGGTGTCGTCGGCATCGTTTAGATTACCTTTAATTAAAGGTTCATTTCCGTGAAGGAGGCGAGGCGAAATTTAACTAAGACAACTTCTTTCTTTTCGTTTTTCTCCTTAAATTAAAACAATTCAGGTGAGAAAAAAAAATTTTTTATGCGAGGTTTTGCATATTTTGTTACTCTTATCTTTTACTCCAGCTTACTTCAAAACTCCAGCAAAATTAAATTTTTTTCTTTTTTGAAATATTTATTAATAAATATAATTTATTTATGAAAATAAATAAGAAATAAAATTAGAATAAAAAGTTTCATTTAATTTTCTATTTTCTAAATAAACCATTTTTATTGGTTTATCAACAGATTATGGATAAAATCAACAAAAAGATTTCTAATCGTAGAAATGATCGCAAAAATTGAATTACGGAACAGAAATAAATTCTGAATCCTTTTATGTTCTTTTATGTTCATATTTTATATTTTATATTCTTTTATATTTTATATTTATTTACATTTCATACACCTCATAAAAACATGGAGAACAGGAAAAAATAGTCGACATTTTTTGTAAAATTATAAATTGTGCTTTTGATACCGGAATGGTGGAGGAAGAAGGAAGGGGTTGGGATGGACCACGTCTACTTCTGTCTCTCTCTGGCAAAGAAGCCTTTCTCACATCCTATTAGTAAAAATAGACACTAAAAACATTGAACTATCGAACATTACTAGAAGAATATTATTTTACTACGAAGACTGAGCAAACCTCCGGGGCTACTTCGAATTCATTCCAGAAAAGTGTGGGAAACTCCGATGCCACGCCTAATAAACTATTCAAACTCTCGTGTCTTGATCGTGAGCGGTTGTGTCATCCCGATTGTCTCGATTGCTTCTAAACGTGTTTAAATTCTTTCTTTTTTATCATTTTTTTTTCTTTGTTTAAATGTTAGTGATTTATCAGTGAAAGTCATTTAAAAATAAAGTTGGATTTGATTAGATTTCATTTAGTAATTTTTTTTAGAAAAAGCGATTATCGATTCTATTTTTGTATAGGAAAATTTTGATATCAAAACACTATACCAATAATGAAAGCTTTACTGATTATGGTATATTTAAGCAAATAAAAATTGTTATTCATGTTATTCATGATTAGCAGAAAAATTAGAAAGAAAGAAGTTATTTCACGGCGTGCACAACACGAGAAATGCAAACCACGCGTAGTCCACAACGTTTCCTCTTCGACTATCAAATGATTCACTCGCAACTATGAAATGCATGGAATGCTATGAAGTCAGCAGCAAAAGTTCTATAAGGTATGAAATCGGTCCAACCTATAATCTGCTATTAATTGCTGAAACATGGCTAACGGCTTGAAAAAAGCAAGAAAGAGATAAAGTATAAGGGCAAAAATTTCTAAATTAATAAAATATTAACTAATCGACTAGAGCTAGCTGGCCAATAATTTTTTTTAAGAGTTTTCATCATTACTGGTTAAACTCGCTTCTCTGGCTTGTCGCATTGGACAAATATGACAGAGAGTTCCTTGGCGATAGAAATACAGGTGAGTCGTCAGCACCACCTTGATTTTTTGACAGGTTTACTCCTGTAGGGAATAGAACCTTAGTATCGGCATTCCGACATTATAAATAATCTATTCGAGGTTAATATTTAAAAACACAAATATAATTAAGAGTATTTCTGCAGAAAATTTAGAAAAATAATTTATTTGGTGCAATAAACTTATCGAACAAGAAAAAAAACTATTAATTATGAAGGATTATTAAAAATTATTGCCAATAAAAGAAAATCTCATAATCAAAATTAAACTGATAATGAAAACAAAATTCTAAAATCGGGAAATATTTCGGATTTATTTTGGTAATCAAATAAGAGAATGGCGATTATAAAAACTAGGATTATATAAATATATTATCAGTTGGGTTTCGCCAATCGTTACTAATCTTAGAGTTAACAAACAACAAGAATAATAGCTCTTCCACGATAGGCATCTAAACTAACAACTCGCAATCGCACGAATCGAGGAAAGTATACAAATACAGAAGATGAAAGATGGTGCCAGCAGTTCCAGGAAAGGATGGCGTTGTACGTAGTGTTAATTTGCTTTGGTCTTGTGCAGTGGATAGAATCAGGAGGTGTCCCACTTACTGAATGTGGGTCGCCCGCTCCTATTCGCCCCGTGCCACCTCCAACAGCTTGCACAGATAAGGATAATGTTCTTTGCACTGCAGTTTTTGCTCCACTCGGTTCAGATGCTGCAGCAAATGCAAATCCGTAAGTATGTTTGGGTTTGACCAATATTTTCAGCTTTATCTTAATTAATTTCTTTGCAGTGCCAACCCTTTTTTGGTTAATCCATTTTGTCAAAATGCGTCGCTGAGAGCAAATGCTGTAAATTTATGTCCGTCATCCTGCGCGGTGTGCTGTTTAGCACCTGAATTCTCATGCAGCAATGGTATAACTTTTCACAAACTTCCTTTGTAATAAGTATGGTGATTGATATTTGCACCTTATACGTGCGTAGGTGAGAGAGAAATTATAGGAAAAAATGTAAGAATTGGTCCTTCATTAGTTCGGTTCTTAGTGCTTCAGCCATTGAAGTCGCATTTCACATTCGGACATTCGGCATATACGTGGTTTCTCCAAGGCTTTGTCGAGGCAGATTAGAGCTAATTGCTGGTTCGACACAGGGATTCTAGCTAAATCTGGGAAAACGACAAGAAAATTATTATTGTTCTCATACTGGAAGAGGCAAATCTGCAAGCTTTCTGGATTTCAAAAAAGTTCGAGCATTTTGGATCAGATAGTGTTGTTGTAGACAAATTCACCACCGTAGAACTGAAGTATTGGGGGCAAATTTCGATAAAAAATTAGAGATCTTTGGGAAATATGGCCTTTTATTTTTTGCGATTATTTTGCGATTATTATTTGCGATTATTTTAGTATCTAAATTTTCGAGCATTGCAATATCGATATTTTAGCTGCGGGCGCTGACTGTACACCTTTTACTACTTTGCCTGATCTCTGCACAAACCCGCAAACGGCGCCAACAGCATTGGAAAAGTGCCCTAGCACGTGTGGGTTATGCAACAGGCCTGGAGCACTTGGTGGTTGCCCAAATGTTGCCGCAAACTGCGCCCAGCTATTGCCCCTTTTGACATGCACAAATGCATATATGCAGGCGAACTGCATGACGACATGCAACATTACAACTTGTATATGTAAATGTTTTGTTCTTTCATTCAGTCGTTTTCTATTTGAGAATGGTATTTTAAATTTTCTTAAATTATTTCCCTGGTGTTATTTATATGCTCATTTCGGAACGTTAAAGCCGAGGTTCAGCTCCTCTCCAAAGCTTGCACCGGAGATCCCATTGGTGCGGCGACTCATATGTATCGCAACCATCAAAACACGTTGATGATTTCAAATTTAGCCACAACAGCGGCCGCATCGTCATGCATGGACACTCGAGCGAATTGCGCGCAAATGTCATCGTTTTGCAATATATCACCGTATTCTACCGTTATGAGGGAACAGTGTAGAAGAACTTGTGGCATATGCCGTTAGACGTTTCTAATTTGGTCTCCAAGTTGATTTTAAAATGAAAAATTTTCGGGATTTTCGAATTAAATGTCTTTGGTGCAAATGCGGTAATTCATTAAACGAATCGAACTTTTTATTCGATCACTTTTCATCGAATTCGATTTTATTAGTTGTTTTTTTATATTTTTTAATTTTTTCCTCATTTGTCGATATTTTCTAACCTTTTTTTCGGTTTTTTATGTTTTTTTGAATAAAATTATTTAACACAAAATTATTTAATTATTTTGCTTGTCTATTAACTCAGAAAATAGCAAAGAAAATAAGCGATGTAATTCTCGCTGATATCAAATTTTCAACCAATTCTAAGAGAGAAAATGCATGAAATAATAAAAATCACAAAAATCGCTTATCAACTTATTTGCCAAAATAAATTAATTGATTCCATATGAAATGGAAAAAAATTTTTCATAAACTATTCGTGATAGTTATTCTAAGAGTTAATTAATTAAAACCTGGAAAACCGTTATAACTTTTATACAAATATTATATGCGCTATTAAGAGAATATTTCCTCGTTTGCGGAATTAATTCGCATGTTTTCATAAAATGAAAATTTCATGGATAATGCGATCAGCTGAGTCGCTTATGCAGAAAAAAACTATGTTTTAATATTAATAATATTTAGAGTGATATTTATTTTTCCAGAAATAGCAGCAAATAATAAAAATATTTTACAAATGGTAGCTTAATATTTAAATTTGCGTAAAATTTAAGTTGATGCCTGCCTCTCGTTCATTCTTTTTGTTTTGCATAGCCCTCATCAAATGAGAGGTTTACAATTTCTCTATATATATCTCATTTATAAAATATTAAATTCTAGTCAAAGTCTTGAAATTTGGGAGCTTTTTTTATCATTTTAATTTCCGACAATAAAACTGATAAATCAAAACCATATAAATATCATTCCATCATTACCACGTATACAAGTAAGTCCTAGAAAAATTATATATAATAAATTATAGAGAATTATTTTTGAGGTGAATGGACACTTCCACTCGCTAACTTGATTTCTACAAGTCTCTAGCACGACTGCTAGGTCAACCTGTATGGTCGAACTTTCTCAGTCGACCATGGTAAACAATTTTAATTTCATATACATTTTGTAGCCAGCGGAACGGGCCTAACCAGTAACGGTTAAAAGAAGAAGAAGAAGGTTCTTCTCGAACGAACTCTGAAAATTCATTTATTTTTGTAAATCTTTATGAAATGAAATCTCTGACAATTTTATAAAATGAGTTCAAATTTCAAACATATGTAACAGCATGAACCCTCATAAATAAGTGCTTAGAAGGCAATATTAAACGAGCTTTGCCAGATGCAATTAAAAATTTGAATTGGAAAAAATTCCAAAAAGAAAACCAAAGAATCGTTCAATCGTTTTATTCGCAACCTCAAACTTGGGTTATTAATTCAAAAACCTCTAAGAAATTTCAGCAATGTCAGAAAATTTCGATTATAAAGTTTCATTAAAAATTTGAAGAATATTTCGGTGAATAAGAAAAAACTCTCGCAAAATTCGGCCAAAACATTTTTTTTATCTAATGGAATCTCCAAAATTTGCATAAAATCAACGAAAAAGTTTCGAAACATGGAAGAACAAAATTAACTATTGAAATTGAATAGAATAGTAGAAAGGGAAAAATTCAGAAATTGTTCCTATTTTATATATTTAATATCTTTTATATGGTTGGCGAATTTGGCTGATTTCTTGCGAAATAAAAAATTATTAACGAGATAAGACGAAATCCATCTTCTATCGCCAAGTGTCGCTCTGGCGAGAAGTCTTTTCCCTTAACTGCTACTGTAGAGAGAAATGGCGAGTGCAGATGTAAATTGCAGACTGGATTGAGATTAAAGCCTTCGCGATTTCTGCGCTCCTTAAATCCTTAAATTCATTAAACTCTGGAAATGTCGAGGACATATCTGTTTAAATTCACCAGCATATATCCAACAATTAAGTGCTAAAATATTCGAAAAGCGATAAGAATGAATAAAATTAAAGGAGAATGGAAATAACGGGAATTTTTAAATATACGGGAACTTTCCCGTATAAATTGTATTATATAAATTGCATTAAAAATAAAATATGCATTATAAGAGAATATTTCGCAGTGAAAAGCAATGCTTGTCGGCATTGGTTGTGCTGTGTCCTTTTCCCAACAATATTCGTCTAGGCGCTTAATTGAGCTACGAATCTCGCTTGGCTCAAGAATTCTTTTCTTCTTATATATCTGACGCTGATAAAATACCTAAATACTTTAGCAATTCTTAACAGACTGGCGAATTGGCAACTTTAAATATCAGTTCTACTCTTATAGGAAATAGCAAGGCGGAAGATGAAATTGCAACCCGTTCACATCTATCTGAATGCATTGTAGGCGTTTTCGCAAAATATGACCAAGAAAACTAGTCAGAAATAAAACAACTTGTTTCTCTCCGAGGCTAGCACGACAGCCGAGTGCTTCCTACTCGGATTACCGTTTCAGCCATCAACGTTCTAAGCCTCTAATAGGAATAAACCTATTATGAAAAACGACATTAGTGACTTACCTGCCCACCTTTCGAACTGAGCTCCTTCTTACCTGACAAATCGACTCCACCGATGTTAGAAATGAGCTTGCTAAAGGCGTTTGTTGCAGTCGAAATAAGAGTTGACTATCACAGGAAATTTCTAAACGGTTTACAAGGCGATATTTTTATTGACTTTATCACTTTATCACTTTAAGTTTATCATTTTAACAAACTATATTAGTTAAATTTCAATTTGATTTTCAAGTTTAAATATTATTTATTCATAGTAATTGAATACACTATAATTATATATAATTGTGAATTCATTTTAGTACTAAAAAATTAAGTTAGGAAATTTTTTTTTTTGCATTTTCTAAAAATGAATTCTTACAGAAGTATAAAATATAGAAAACTATTAAGCATATGTGCAATAGGAAATGTTGCTAAAGGAAGGAAATAGTTGGTTAATCTTCTTAATAGGAATAAGCAGTCCTCGCATTTTTGATCGTCGTTAACGCCGATTTCCAAGCGATCACAACAAAAGAGAGTAAGATATCACGAAAGAAAAAATAGTTTTGGATTGCTTTGGAATGAATCGGTTTGTTTGAATGTCGGCAGTAGGAGTTTTATCAGTGGAGTTTTATCAATCGTTGCTGAATTAGCATAAATAAAGATTGCATGAAAGCACCGAACTATCGATAGTTACTTTCGACAATTTTTAAGACATGGCTTTCCAAATTTGGCCAATCCATTTGTAAAATTGGGAAGAATTTGCGAATGTCCAGTTTTTTAGTAGATTCAGCAATTCTGATGTGTAGTTTTGAAATCTTGCTGCCATGAGATTTTACAAATTTACAAGTAGAAACCTATGCTTCCTGAACATTTTGTGCAAAAGTTATTGGAAAGCAAGAAGAAAAATCAATCAATTTTATCCAAAAGGAGTATTGTTTACACCCTTAGCATTTTCACTTGACGACTACGCAGCAAAAAAACTTCCCTTCCAGTTTTTCAATCTTCTGCTTATCTCCCTCCTGTTGCGCTCTGAATCAATCATTTCTGGCTTAGGCTTAAGCCCAGGCTCAGACTTAGGCTTAGGCATATAGGGTTCCCCTTTTTAATAAATTTCGCGACATTTTTTTCCCATTTCCGACGTAAAGCTTTGCAACTTGATGCTGCTCACTGCAAAGTATTCAAGTCGTTTCAATACATTACATATTCAACCATTTTTTTTCAAAGAGATTTAAACCCGAGGGAAATAAGAACGAAAATAACTTGAAAAACACTTTCAGCCTTTCTATGGAACTGACTTAGATGCTTTTTTTAAAAAAATTTTCTCTCTGAACGCCATTCTCATTACAAAACAAATCTTTAAAAAGTTTGCAATTTTTACGACTGTGTAAAAACAATTTCAAGCAATAAAACGCATAAAATATAATCACTGAAATCTTTTAATGTGTCCGTGCCAAAATATGTTCGTCAATTCACCAGTTCATTGCATATAAAAAACTGGTAAAATCCAAATAACCATCCCCTCTCCTTCCTTCCCAATAAAAACCAGCCAAACCACAAACAACGAACTCATTCGGATGAAGAAAAGTAATTTAACAAAAATAATTCATTATTGTGCTGTAAGATAATTAATAAGATCAGGAAAATGTTTTAAGATCCATCTTTTTAAAATTTCAAAATTTTTAAGATATTCTGTAAATTCGTTGCTTTGCTGTCGTTTTATTTTTTTTTTTCGTTGTAGAGTCGTTTTTTTGTTGAATGGCTTGAAAAATTCCTTTGATTATGATCGTCAGTGAAAGATTATTATATTTGCATATATATTAAAATTTGGAAGTCTCGGAAATGAACACCGCGGCCTGAAATCTCGGCACGCGAATTTTGTCGAATCAAAACTCGTCGATTTTTTCCCCTAAAGGTGCCGTTTTTCACGAAAAAGCTCGTTAAATAGTGCCCAGCACCTCCATTCGCCGAAGTGTCACCAAAGTTTTGGCGCGGCTCCCCAGCTATCGTCTTTGTTCGCTGCAACCCATTAGTAATATCTTTCAGGCTTTTTTTTTGCGATTCTTCAGTTCCGCAGTCTTTTTATTTTTAGGGCCAATTGAACGTCGTTATTTTAAGTTCACCTAAGATTTCCTTTAAAATTATCCCTTTTTTACGCTTATCTAAAATCGCAACATGCGTGTCAGCCGATTCTGTTTCGCTTGAATTACTTTCCGAAAAAAAGTGGTAGAAATGAGATTAATAAACAAACAATAATTGTGAAGATTGGAATTAAATTTTAAAACGAAATACTACGAAATTTTATGAGATTTTTCTAAATTTCATTAGAAAACCTTTGACTAATTGGTTTTGTTTAAGGAATGTCATTTTTTTCCTCTTCGACCGAGGGAAATATTGAAGAAATCTCATCGAGCGATCACTCTTGCAAAATTCCAACCCCCGATATTTTTGAATTCACTTCTGATTCAAACAGGTATTTTTTATGTATTTTTTTAAATTTAACCACTTAAAGGCGACAAATTGGTAGTCTATTCGTTCATATAGTTTAGACGAATAGAATCCAATGATTAGCTTACAATATATATTTTTTATTTGCAATATATATTTTTATACTTTATATATTTTATATATATTTATATTTATATACATATATTTGTATTTTATATATATTTATATTTTATATATATTTATATTTCAATATATTTTTTATATATAATGAGGTGAATTATTCAGGAAAGCAAATAAGCAAATTTTAGAGACGAACATTTTCGAAGATCGCCTAGTCGTACTGTTCTATCGGATTTACATAGTGTGAATCTTCAGATATCGACAAGTACGCCAGTTGCAACGAATGTTGAAGAAGCCGACAAGGAAATGCGTAAATTTAGATGTGTCCTTAAAGGTTTTTCCCATTTTTCTCATTATTTCTTTTCCTAAATGTAATAATGAAATAAGAATCGTTTCGCTGTGTACTGCTTTTTGCTTCAGGTGTTAAAGCGTTTATTGATACTGAACGTAAAAGTGCTCATGGGTACCGTCTGAAACTAAGAAAGTTGGGTGCTCTCGTATACTGTAGGTAATACTACCATATATTTCTGTGAATTCTTTCAATTCTTTTGGAACTTTGAAATTTTTCGGTTTTTTTTGTTTTCTTTAGAATCACAAAAACTGTTACTCACGTTATATTTTGGAATGGTAAACAAAGAACACTTGATCTTGCGCAACAAATGAATCCTCGTCCATTCATTATTTCTTACCATTGGATATTAAAGCAAGTTCCGAAAAAATTTAAATAAATTTAGCGTTTGTTTCATGAAATGCCTCGCTTATCTTTTATTTTTGTACTAGACAGTTTATTTTTTTTGTAATTTTTGTAATTTTATGATTTATTTTTTTTCTAATTTTAGTGCATGCTCGGTGTTTTTCATATAATTTTCAGATGCTTCGAACAACGCAAACATGTCAGTGAAAACCCTTATCTACTTTATGGTTTAACTGATTTAGCTGTACCTCTCGAAGAAATGGCTTTGGGTCGCATTGGTATTATGAAGAAGGTCAACCTTAATAACATCATTAACTGATATTTGAAAAGAATTAGTTATCGAACGAATAAATGAGTTATTATACTTTTATTTAGAATTTTTTTTGATCTGTTTTCCTTAATTCAGGATTCGAAAGGGATTTCAGCAAAAAATATTAAAAAAAGAAAAAAGTTTGGAACAAGAAATCCATTGAAATCAAATCTTACAGTAAGTATACTTTATAATTTGTCAATGCATCTATCATCTTTTGGATTCAACTGTAAAAAAAAATGTGATTCTAATTTATGAATTTATTTCATATTTTAAGAATATATTTTAGGAACATTTTCTTTTTTTTCTGCAAATTTTTTCCATTGGTGCAGATATTTTGAATGAAATACGTTTGGTAAAACGTCTAAATTGCAAATTTATTGAGGTAAAACAAAATGAATTATGCGTTAATGAAATTCCGCCGTGTTCTCAAATTCTATATAGCATGGAGAAACTCTCTGACCAACTTGCATTAAGAATTAGTAATTTTTATTTTAAACATATTCACTGAGTATTTCCTTAGATTATTTGGATTCTTTACATATTTCAAATTAAGATGTTTCTTGAAGATGAATTTTTCTATTCAATATTTGGTAAGTTATTTTCCCAAATGCTTACTTCTATTTTAGCATCTCCAGAAAGTGATCAAATTGTTTCTCCAGATCAGATTATTTCACCTATCTTGGCTCGCTTCAAAATGCGTTGTATGGAATTATGTTAGTTCTTTACCTAATTTTTTGTTCATCATAACTCCGATTCATTTTTTGGTAGCGCCAGAAAATATATTCTTTTCACAGATTTCATTTTTTTGCCTTTGTTATTATTTTTATTTTTTAGATAAATCAAGCGTCAGGTTTGCAAGAGATTTTCCAAGGAAAAGTGTGGATGCTGCCACAAATACAACACCGGAACACGTAGATCTCTTTGAAAGCAGCGCAGATGACCGATTTTCAAATTGTTAAATCTTATTTGTTTAAATTTTATGTGGCAGATATTCGTTATTTAAATTTTGTTTGAATATTTTTCCTTTGAAAATCGAGAAAATGAGTAAAGCTCCAATATTTTCAGTTTCAAACGAGATACCTTCAGCAAAGATTTCAACATTCCTTAGGAAATCTGCAAAGAATTCGAAATCCATTCTCAATTTAACGAGTATGCGAACTCCAGTAGATCATTTATCGACAAATGAAATAACAGCAACACTAAATCAAATGGTTTTAGATCCTTCAGTTGTGCGTCAAACCAGCGGAAAGAATGTGGTAAAATATTATTCATTATACATTATTGTCACCAAAGCTTAATGTTTTTGAACTAATTGTTAATAATTTCTCTTATTTTTCCTTTTTTTGTCCCATTTTCAGGCTGATTTATCAAGATCTTCAGTGAGCGAAAAAAGGAAGAAAAGTGGACGACCGCCGATCACATCAGGTGAACTACTGGAATTTGGTCCAGATGATTTTAATAAGGTAATCATTTAAAAGTCATAAAATGCAATCAAATCTTGTGCAAATAATGTAAAATTCTTTTTTTTTGTAGTTTTATTCTAATCTTAATTATTATTATCTTTTCTCTTGTCTTTTCTCTTTTCCTTAATTTTCGGAAAAATAATTGAAATTGAAATCGCTCTCGAACCGTGGAAAAAAAATCTTATAATAAAAATCTTCTCAAGAGAAAGAATGATTTTAAAAAGAGTCAATAAAACAACGAAATATATTTCGATAATATAATTTAGTGTTCAGCCATATTTTAAAAAAATAGAGCTTAAATTATTCGTTTCATAATACCTACATTGTTATGCAAAAAAAGCCATTAATGGCAAATTATCACAACCATAACAAAATTTACCAATTAACAAATTATCATAATGAAATATCATATTAATGATGTTGATTCAAAATTTCCACAAAATGTCGTAATAGGACATCATAAAAATTAAAAATACAAAGGTACTAAAAAGTAAACGGAATAGATACGCGAGAATGAACAAGTGAGGTTGGCACTCCATATATCCATTTTTCAGCACATAAGGCATGCAGTTATGTTTTCTTATGGAGCATCTAATATTAACCAGTTGCACAAAAAAAAGATTTGTCGATAACCAATAATAATGAAAACTGTTGCAGCACATTTTAAGACGAGGATCAACCAAAGTTAAACAAGCTATTAGAATGAATGCTAAACAAGCTGTAGATGTGTATAGAAGTATTTTTGATAAAACTCAGTCAGAACCAGGTTTATTTTATTTGTACAAATTTCCAATAAATTAATTGGTATTTATTTTATATTACTGATATTGATATTTCATTGATATTATTCGCTGATATTCTTTATGCATTTTTTCTCAGAAGTTGTACCGAAAGCGCGTCCAGTTACTGTACGAACAAAATCGAAAATTTTGAATGATTTGCAAATTATGCCTAGCTCGGAGGAATTCGTTCGATTCCGACATAAAAAAGCTGCTCGGAAGATTGGGAATATCGTTTTATCAAAATTAGAGAAAATGTATTTTTTAATTTGATTTTGGAAATCAAAAAAAGAATTAGCAAATTTAGATTTATTCTGACATTTTTTTAGCAGTCACACTGCTCACAAGAAAATTTTAAATTTTTTTAAGATTCACGTGACAAAACAGGTCTCAAATCTATAGGGATATGATAATTGATTCATATGCTTCTTAGACTGGAAACAAGTATGCTACTTGTTCCTTTGGCAGTTGGCGATTTGGATTCTGGTATAATAATAATAAACTGTTATTTATGATGAAAATTGTGTGGAAACCCACTCTATGAGTGATGCAAGGATTCATCCCAATAGTTAATCACTGGAACCAGTAGAATAAATGATGGGTGTTAATAAAAAAAGAAATTTTTGTGAGAGTGTTTTCTTGATTCATTTAAAATATTTTCAAAACCCCATATACCGACATTAAGTGAATATGAAACCGTTGTTGCAATAGTTAAACGTCTTGGCGTTTTGACGGTAATGAAAGAAGTTGATCAGCAAACTCGTTATGTTGTTTGCGATACTATGGGCTCTATAACCAATAGCGTGCTGGATGCTCTTGTGGCTTGCATTCCTATTGTTACATCAGAATGGGTAAGAAGCTTTGCTCCTGATTATATTTATAATGGCTTGCAACAAATTTTTCCATACGGCTATCATCATACCTGTAATTTTTCATTTTTCAGGCTTATCGGTCTCTTGAAATGGGAGGCTGGTTAAATGGTGTTGAATATCTTGTATCAAAATGGAAGAAATCTTTCAAAATTCGAAAAAAAGGCCATCCACCTCGACTTTTTGCTAAGCTTGGATGTTTCTTCATTTCAGTACATTGCGATTTGGCAGTTAATAAATTGGCCCAGCTCATCAAATGTTATGGTGGACAGGTTCTTATAGTTTCATTCTGGCAGTCTCCACCATTACTTGTTAGCTTGGCTGGCTTCAAGTGCGAGGCTTTTTTTCCATTCTGCTCTACCGATGCCATACCTGCAATAGCAGAAGCTATTTCTTTTTCGACCATTTAAATTCACATATTAGTGCAGCGTATATACATTTATTCACCTATATTCATCCCCATATACCACTGTTACACGACGTTGAAGTGCCCAGAGTGAAGATAACTAGACTTTTCTGATATATATGATTTGATAATCTTTTCGGCACTTCTTTTGATATCTAATTGCTGTATTCCCGAATGGTATTTCAACGTGGATTTCGCCAACTTTCGAAAAACGTCTTTATCAGCCATTCCAATAATGACATGATTTTACTCTGAAATAATCAATTTAGATAATCAATTTGAAATGCTTATTGTCCCAAATATTTGAGCCCAAGGAAAGATTTTGTTTTTTTATCAGCATCAGGTTAATTTTGGTTCGAAAAAGAATATTTCATGAAGGCAGTTTAGAACATGTGCGCAGAATTATCTCTAGAAATCCTATAAGCTAGCCAGAGTATAAACAGTTTGGTTTGAATGTTGGTTAAAATTCCATGTAGCCAGATGTCTCCGATGTCTGGAGTTTATGTTGGTAGCAAAGGGTCCATGCTTTTTGGCAAAAATAAGTTACAATCAGGGTGCAATAACTTTTTAAGATTGGATTGAGGAAGAGAATATCTAATAGATAAGTTTGTTTACGTAATATTTGGACAAAATGTTGTAGATTATCGTCTGACTCCCCACTTCCATAAGTCCTTCAGCTGCCGGAAAAATCTCACTTGTGTGCACAAGGCCGACCGTTCGCTTCCCCAACAACTTCTGAGCAGTTATTGATTTGAGGGCTCATTTCATCTTCCTTTTTCGAGGCCTAGTTCGCATATGCCGCATTTATTACCGGCCTAGCGACATCATTTGTGTTGGTAGAGGTGGGCGCCATAAATAACTAAATTCATCATTTAGAAATAAAATTGCAGGTTACTCCGAAAACAACTCGGTTTTAGATTTTTATGATAGATTTCTGTCAAAGAATGAAAAATTAGAAAGAGAAAAGGCTAAAGAAAAAAAGAAAGAAAGTTTTAATTTTTAAATTTCTTTAAGTCTGAAGCCAAATTTGAAACTTAAAAACTGATTTTACGAATAATACGCTTTGAAGCTTCGAGAAATTAAAGAAAGCAAGATAGCCAAAACAGTCTATATATTTAATATGGATCATAAAGAGACTGAGTTGAGCTTCGATTCGTTAAAGGCTCCCACCAAATTTTATTCAGTAAAACTATATTGTATTTATCATTTAGCTATTCACGATTTTTTTGTAAGATTTTAAATCTTCCAAGTTTTTAAACTTTTTTCCTAAGCTCACCAAACATTTTCAGATCTCAGAATCTTTAAATCGAGCGTCAATTGTCATAGCACCGAACTCTGACTGGCATTTATATGCTAATCGCCGTTTGTTAGATGGCTCTTCACTTTCCGTTGTATCAGAACGTTGGATATTTGGTTGGTTTTTTTGTTTAATTGAAAAGAATTTTTTTGAATTAACGCGAATTTAATACGATAATTTTTAGAATGTGTTTCGGAAGGTTCGATTCTGCCATTCGAAAGCGAAACTTTTAACAATTAATTCTCGCATTTTTAAATTGGAATTTTAAATTGGAAGAATATTTCTATTTCTTCTCACATTATTGAGTGAATTTTTGTTTATTATAATATTTTTTGCTTCTTTTTCTCTTATCATCGTATTTTTTGATTTTGACATATTTTTATAAATAAATAAATTAATAGTTATAGCATTTCTGGTTAGACTCAGCTAATTAGAAAGGAGAAAGAATTTCTAACAGAATTCTGAAGTATAGACGATAGCTAACCACGGTTTTTTTAATTTGTTCCTATCCTATCACTTTCTCCTAACACGATAATTTAATTCATTATCCATTCGGTATTCTGCTCCCCATCTTCAAAATTTTTTGGGGCCCAATGTAAAGGAATGCATATATAGAAGTGCTTTTTCTGCATCTCAATTCATAATACAATGTTTCTTATGGCTAACCTTTTTGCCTTAATTGTTATTTTAACCATCATGACTTTGCTTTTGTTGTAAGAGTGGATCTAAAATAAAAAATTCTACTTCAGTGGAGCCTAGCCAGAAGTGGTGTTTACCAACTTTTGCTGAATTCTTTATTTTGAACATTTTTTTATGAAAAAATAATTAATACTTGAATTAATAGAATGTCATTTAATAATGAGTTTTACTAGTCTAAATCATTTTGTTAACTGTAAAGCTTATTTCAAACATCAGCTTATTTTTGTGCATAAATTCCATTTTTTTCTTTACTCACTAGATTTACCAAATTAGCAAATGATTCGGTCGTTCCACCCCACTACCTTATTTGTCGTTTAAATTTGTATTTGATTCTATTGTTAAAATTATTATTACATTTCTATATTTGGCTTTTGAATGCGCAAAACTGTGAACTGTTTTTCAATGTAAAATATTCATCTTATTTTAATACATTTATTTTTTCAAGAATAAATCATGAAAAATTGTTAAAAATTATTTCATATTAAAAATTATTTAAATTATTAAAATTATTTAATAATTATAACAGAAAAGTATAATATATGTTTATAGTATACGTAGTAATTTATTATATAGTAAATCTGCTTTAATTTTAGCTATTTTTGGGAAAGTTTTCGGCTTTTCGGGAGTTTTTAGCTAAAGCATAATCATATTTTTTATTGTCTACCCAGTAGATATGGCCTTTATGGGCGTTTAAGGGTGTATGTGTGCATAGTCGTCGTCATCATGATGATGGTGGTGATGGTGATTGTGATGGTGGTGATGATGGTGATGATCGTCGTGGTCGTGGTCATGGTCGTCGTCGTGGTCGTGTTCGTGGTGATGGTGGTGGTGATGGTCGTGGTCATGGTCGTCGTCGTGTTCATGGTCGTCGTCATGGTCGTCGTCGTGTTCATGGTCGTGGTCGTGGTCGTGATCGTCATCGGGATCGACAGGGTCGTCCTCATCTTCGTAAACATCAGTTTCATTTTCTTTAAGAGGAGCGGGAGCGAGAATTTTACCAAATTCTTTCTTTTTTATTCCGGAACTTGAGCCTTCATTCATCTTAACAAGAAAATGATCATTATTAGTGGTAGTAGAACGATCTTTATTTGCTCCTAAGTTTGAAGTGGTTTCACCAATCTTAGAAGGTGAATTGTCCCCTTTTGCCATTAATTTCTTCATTTCCGTTATTGGTGTTTTCACCAAGAAACCTTTAACCAGAAAATCGTCATCCTCTTTCAAAAGAGTGTTCACCTCCTAAATCCAAGAATTACATTTTTAAAGTTTTAAAGTTTTACTTGAATTTGGCTCAAATAATTTGGCTAATCGAAAACAAATGGAATGGCTATATCTTTTAAAAAATTATGCTTTTATATTTATTTTATCAAATAATTCATCAAATCTGAATCGATTCCGGGAATTAAGAAACGAATAACCTTGGCTAATGCGAAATGCATAAAAATAACTATCAAAGAAATGGCGATGATCGCTTTCATTGTGAAAATATCCGCAGAATTATCTAAATAAAACGAAAAATCTTAATGGATAATAATGGATGTAACAATACAAACCGTTTTTGCCTTCTTCTACTGACTATTAAAATGAAATTCCTCCAGTAATGTGAGATTGAACTACAGGCAGCTAAGCGGGTTTCATTCTTAATGGCTGATTAGTTCCATCGGGAGAGAGGGAGAGAAATCGGATCTATGCTAATCGGCGAGAGCCGACATTCGACCCCAACCAAATGCCTTATTTCAACGGATTAAAAGTAATAACTGCTTTATGTAATTCACTCGCCAACATTTAATGATTTTCTATCTAAAAAACTAATAAAGAAAGATAATAATCGGTTTGAAATAAAAAGAATATTTCTTGTTGTGAATAATTAGTTTAAATAGTAAAATTTTATCACGGTAATCAGAAACCAAAATTTTATCATTGATCGTTAATCACTTATCATTTAATGAATCATTATCCTTAACAGTAAATGTAATTTCACTTTCTGCAGAATCTGAAAATATGAAAACGGTGACATATTCGACTTTATTGACATTTATGTCTGATTCTGCTAAGCGCAAGCATTACAGATTCAATTTTCTTAAGAAGAGAAAATTGATCATTGAAAATGAACTTTGAATGTATGTACTTAATTAATACTTCCGACGAAAAAGTTTTATTTATTTTATTTATTACGGAAACAAATTAAAGAACAATCGTTGTGTTAATTCAGTTGACATTGGAATGTTGGTTGATGCACCCTAGCCAAGTTGGATTTAGACCAGGGCGCAGTTATGCTGACCAGACATTCGCGTTAAGAAGGATGTTGGAGCATCAGTTCAAATTATTAGTAACCCGCCGCCACAAGTCTCATCGATTCTGCATTTGCTTTCAGTTCAGTTGATAAAAGAGCACTTTGGAAAGTGGCGGAATGCCGCAGCTCCAGAGAAGAACATTCGACTCATAAAAGCATTTTATCATTCAGCATAGGCCTATAACATACTCCTTCGAAATAAATGGTGTCTTTTGCCCTGCATTATTATGATAGAATTGATAAAGGGCATCGCTTGGACACTCAGGATATGTACAAATCATTCCAGAGCATCGTATCAAAGATCTTGAATATGCTGATGATGTAGCTCTTTTGGTGACAGTCATGACAAAATGCAAATAATGCTAGATAAGATGTCAACAACTGCAGATAGAATTGAATTCGGGGTCAATATAAGTAAATGAAAGTATATTCGTCTTATAAACAAATTATTGGTAAAATAGGCTAATAAATACTTATTTTTATAAATTTTTATAAATATTTTTATAAGTTCATTGTTAGGAAGTCTTCGATTTTAAATATTTTGGATCCACTCTAATCCCAAATGAGGCAAAATTACAATCCAGACAATGGTAAACAGAAATGTGTTCTTGCAGTTGATAAAAACTTTATGGAGCTATCGCAAAATCACTGCAAAAAGTTCGCATCTATATAGCTACGATTCACTCGATCTTGCCATATGGCTGCGAGATATGGCCGATGAGAGGATATTATCTGCCTTGACCACTCATATTTAAAAAATATTGTACGGGCCCCCTGAGCGGATAAAATCTCACATGATTGCATTCAACTTTGCTCAAATACTTCCATTAATAGTACCATCATAGTGCGTCGCCTTCGCTGGTTGGGATATATGGGATATATTCTGCACCTACCACAGCAGTTGATATATATTTCGTTATTTGCTAAATCTAAATATAGATGGAGACTTGGACTGATACAGGAAAGGTTTTGAAGAACCAGCGATATATGGGAAAAGAAATGGTTTCTATTACTGTCGACATCAGATCGCGCGGCTTGGAAACATCTTACTTTTGTGGCCAGTGGAACCAGCTTAATCAGTAATGGTGAGAGCTGTTAGAGGAAGAAAAAGGAAGGTAGGGCTTTCTGGAAACCGAATCTTCATTAATATTCTGAGGTTGAAGCTTTGAATTAAAATCCCTCTACACATTGTTAAATTCTGACCCGTCAAACCCTGCGGCGTTGGCATAGTATTTTAATTCTTTTACATTACTCTCAAATGCAATTTTCATCTTAAAATCACGTATTTATTCCATCTTTTTGCGAGAATATTCGGTTTTACAATTTTGTTTTTAACCGAATCCGATGAGAAAAAATAAAGTCAATTTAAAATCAGTTTCTTCCCAAAATAATCTGCAGATAACACTTATCATTTATTATTGCTTATTTCCGTCTTATCACATAATCACAAATATTATTCAATTTATTAATCTATAATCATTGATAAAAAAAATTTTTGCTTTACCTACAATAAATACTATGGCGACACGAATCACTTACAGTATACCTTCAAAATTTCGCTCTCAATTTGCTTTAGTTGGAAGTGGAGGAATTGAGGATTTTGCTTAATTCGTTGAAAATATCAGCGATTTTGAATTTCGACGATTAAAATGAGATTTTTATTGTCGTCGAAAAATTAAATTTTTATTTTAAAATTATTTAAATTATTTCAAAATTTTAAAATTCACTAATAATAAAAGCTAATTTTCAACAATTTTTCGTAAAATTTAATAAAAATTTTTTATTTCTCGCAATATTTTATAAAATTTTTAGATATTAATAATTATCGTTGGAATGATTGCTGTCGCCGCTGTCGAAAATACGCACCGCTGTAATTTTATTGATCATCGCGTCGCTCGCCGCCATTATTGTCATCGTTGTCGCTCAAATAATCTTCGCGATTAGCGAAGTTCGCTGCCCAAATCGCCTTCGTCGTTAAATATTTTATGAGATATTTTTAAAATAACTAAAAAATAAATAACGAAAACCAATGAATTCTTCCTTTGCAACGATAAAAATTACATACGTCGGATGGATTGAATGATTTTCAATTTGTTTAGCTTTTCAGTGTTATCAATTTTAATTTTTTTTTTCATTTGGTCATTTTCGGCAGTTTCATTGGCAATTAGAGGAGTCGTTTGGTGATAGAAGTTGGGTCCTGAGGACCATTCGGACTTCTTTTCACAATGGCTTTACTTCGGCGAAGCACCATTCTCCTATTGTTTGATTTGAGAAAAAATGAGAAATTTTTAATTTCGATCCATTTTAAATTATTTTATCAGATAAATAAATAAATTTTTGTGAATATTTGCGGATTATTTTTTAGAAATTTTTTGAGAAGTAAATAAAAACGGCGAACGGCGAAAAATGGTTGCACTTTGGAACGATGACGCGCGATTTGTCCTTATTGAAGAAATCCGAAAACGACACGAAATTTGGGAATCGCGAAAAGTTTCATTATTTTTTATTGTATAAATAAATAGGCTATTTGAGTGGTATCGTCGCAGCCTTGAAAGGGGTAAAAGGCCAAAACTGTGTGGTGCGAGGGGTAATATAAGCATTTCCCGTGAGATGATTCTGCGATTCTGGCAGTCAACGAATCAGTTAAACCAGTGGCACAGAGCGCTTTAAAAAAAAAAAAAAAGCATAAATAATATGAAAAATAATAAAACAAATTGTTGCAAAGACCATTTGATTAGTTTAATTAGTTAAATTAATTTCGATCATTTATTAATTTTATTTATTAATTCAATTTATAAAAATTAATAAATTAAATTGATTTATAAAAATTTACAAAAAATTTATAAATTTATAAAAATTAATAAATTAAATAAATTAGTTTGACTAATTTGATAAATGGAAAAAAATTGCTGAAAATCCCGTTTCAGATTGAAAATTTAGTCTAAAAATTATTTTTTTTTTAATTATAAAAATTAGGAAAATTCCTTAAAATAAAACTGAATTAAATTTATGTGCAATTTCGCGATTTTTGGTAAAAATCTAATTAAATCGATCGTATAAAATAAAAATCTTAAACGATTTGATTTTTGTTCTCTTAAAGGAACGATATGGTTCAACTGAACGGAAGAAGGAATTATATTTAGAAATCGCTGAAACAATTAATTCTTGTTGCGTGGCACCTTCACAGATTTTCACAGGTACCCTTGCATGTTTTGTTTTTCCAGCCAGATTATTTATTATTGTTATTAGAGAAATCCTGTAGGTGAACTGGTAGAATTGTTTTTAAACCATTGGCCGAGGAAGATTAGAGTGGCTCAGCGGGTTGTTGCTCCGTTCGGAGCGCCGATGCTAGCGTTCTATCCCCGACGAGAGTGAACATGTCCGAAAATCAGGTGATGCTTGCGACTCACCTGCACTTCTTTCTCCATGGCATATTTGTCTAGTGCGACAGGCCAGCGGAGCAGCTCAAGCCTCTTAAAAAAAAAAAAAAAACTGGCATATCCATTGATAAAAGTAAACTTGTTATTAATAAATAGAAGTTTTGTTGGTGAACTACTTTTACTTCTTTAACTTATCATATCAAAGATATTAAAATGATCGTATTGACGACTAACGGAGATAACTTTTGTACAGGTCATCATACAATATTTAACGTATTTTATTTTTCAACAACAACTTTTTTTTGATTGTATAAAAAATTGAACCGATTCTTTTGGATCAGATAAAATAGTCAGCCTAATTCTTAGTTCGATTCTCTGGATTATAAATAAATCGGAGTGGTGGTTTCATATCTGACGTTCGTCAAGAAGCAAAATTCGGGCCTGGTTGCTCGAATCGAAGCAAGATGGGCCAAATCACCTTTATTTTTGAAATCAGCACCATAATTATTTATGCGCCTAATCACCTTTTATATTATTTTTCTATATTAAAATACCGTAAGAGAAGATAATTTGGTAATAATTTATCGACAGTTAAAAATAATTGCATATATGGTGATCAATGGTGATAATTTATCGACAGTTGAGAACAATTGCATATATTAAATATTATATCATTTGTTCATAGAAGATGATGTTCGGACGCAGTGGAAAAATCTTAAAGATACTTTTAAAAGGAAGATGAAAAAGCGTCAGGCTGACATTGAAGCGGGTGTTGAAGACACTGAACCGACATGGAGATTTTGGTCAAAAATGCTTTTTATTAATCAACCAGTAGAGCCTTCACCTTTAGGAATTAATGGGTAAGTATTCGGTTCAAATTTTCATCTTTATCATTCCGATCTCCAAAATATTTTCGTAGAATATGGTAATTTTTGATATCGAAATTGAACAATACTTATTTTTCATCAAAAAAATTATTTATTATCAATGAACTTTTACAATTTGTTGATAATCTTCGCTTTATGAAAATATGATAATTCCTGTTTGAAAAATTTCAGTATCATAAAAGTTATGATTTAGGTGGTAAAGCAAATATCGTTACTTAAGTTCTTTTTGATCGAATTATTTTTTTTTAGGAATTCTAATGATGCTTCAAATTCACTGGAATCATTATTAAGTTCTCTGGTCGAAAAACAAATCACGGATGAAAGTAATAGTTTCGAGTTAGTCTTTTTTTTAAATATCCTTTTATTTCAAACATGAGGGACAGAACAGAAATAAAAATTGGCTTAGATTATGGCTTAAATCGTTAGAAGGGTTTGGTTTTTACTCCCAGTGGCTTGTCATTAAAAGATCGAATGCTGCTGGAATGCTACTTGTACTTCTGTTGCATTCTTTCGCCAGTTGGCTTATTGATAAAATAAAAATTTTCTAAACCAGTGAATCTAAGCAGAAGTGATTAAGCTAATTTTAGATATTAATATTAAGTTTACTTAAAATATACAAAATCTTTGCATTTTCTAAAATTTTAGATGCTCTTGATACTGTTAAGAATTCAAAATATTTCTCATTTTTAGTGGAGCTGGTCTAAATACAAGCAAACTTCCACTAACATCAATGAATTGCGATAGTTTTCAATATAACACGAAGGAAATGCATCCGAATCATCAAGTTATATCATCGGATGATACTGAAGTATATTGTGCACTTCTTTAACTTATCATTGATAGCATTGATAGCATTGATAACAACGTTCATTGTGGTTTGTTACGGATTATATTTCTCAAAATGCAATTATTTTTGAATTTTTTAAAAAATGCTAAATATTTTGAGGCTAATTCGCAGCATTACTCTATTCAGTCTACGATTTCTTTAAATCAATCACCACGAAAAGCGCAAAAACGGCGAACGACTGATTTCGACGAGGATTTTGCTAAAAATAACATCGAAGATGAATTCACATGGTTTGGTCAGTATTTAGCAAGATTTAGAATTTCTCTTATTCTACAATAGCTTTTTATTTTCAACCATTCGATTTTTCTTTATATCAGTTCATTCTGGAATTAATGAAAGGATGATCGGTTGCCTCGACTTACGTCGAGTGTCATATTTTCGATTCCCTGGTCCTGATAAGAGTAAACCAGTTATTAAAAAGCCGGATGGTGCTGGAGACTCACTTATACTTCTATTACCAAATAATTGTTAGAAATTTTTAGCCATACTTTTGGCTGAGTAATTCTGATTGGGAATACTGAGCGCTAACCTTTTAACTTCATTATGGAATTATATATTTTTTACATATAATAATTATGAAAAGGCATAAATAAATTTAGGTAGAATTGTGTCGGTCACATTACGGCGTTTTTCCGAAATTGATAAAATTTTGGCGTTAAATGTGAAAAAGCAGATATTTGATCTGATTTACGACTATGAAGTAAAACAGTTACTTCAGCAAAGAAACATGGACCAATAAATTCACTGATTTAATTATTTACCAACGCAAAGATTTTTTCACATTATAAGTTGTTTTTATTTAGATTTCTTAGAAACTCATTTGATATTTATATATTTTGTGGCCGAGTGTGCATTGCCTAGATTTTCATCTCAAGATTCGATCGGTGATTCGATCGGTGTTTATGGCATCAAAACCGGTCATCTGTGTTGATTGATATTCGAGATGTATTCTGAAGCAAGTAAAAAACTGATCTGACGAGAAATGCTCAATTCTTACGACTTACTAATTCGTTTTGGTAATTCGTATTTAATTTCGAAATATGAATTTTATGGTTAGAAGGGTAACTAAAAAAAATTGAATCATATATTGCTTATTATAAGGGCATATTCACTTTTTGATGGGAACGGGTTGTCTGCTGGCTGCTTATGGTTGCCATTTGCATTACTGTTGTGGCTATAAACAACAGTATTTTTTTAATTTATCGCTATTTCATGGCTAATAATGTTTGCTTTGGTTATTACTAGTGAATATCGCTTCAGAAGATGTGAATTATCTCTCAAACTACCTCAAAATTCAAAACCATGAAAAAAATTTATAAATAAATAACTATGGTTAATTTGTTTTTTATTGAATCTGCTATACGCTTTGATTATTTTTTTTTACTTTGATTTCATATATTTTTCTATAAAATTTTGATCTAATTCTTATTACTATTAGAAATTTTATGCTTTAAACAAATTTTTCTCATCAAAAATCGCTTTGTTTTCTCAAATTTTTAAAAATTTAGACTTCCCGTATTTTTAAAAAAACAACAGCTTGGATAAATTTTTAAAGATACGAATTAGGTGAAAATATTAACATTAATAACATTAATAACTCAGATTCAGTTGATGTACAAACTGGAATTTCAAAATTTGTGGAATTTTCGTTTTTCTTATTTTCTAATTCTGATTTGTTCTGATTTATTTTCCAGTTTGGAATTTAAAAGCTCTATTATCATCGTCATCATTGCAGCTTTTAGGATTTCTGTTGTATCCTTTTTTAACAAAAAATTGTGAGATTTGATTAATTCAATGAATTTTTAAGATAATAGTTTGCAAATGATAAGCGATAAAAATTGATAATTTCGTAGAAATTCGAGAAGAATTCCATGGCTTAAAGTTTTAAAAATGAGAAAAATGTGATAAGGTAAATCAGATCCGCAATCCATGGTTTATGAGAAAAATCGATCATTTAATGAGATGCTTGAGGAATTTTTATAAAAAATTTTTAGCGACCTTTATTTCGATTATTTTTTGTTAAAGAAGTAAAAATAAAATAAATAAAGATTTGTAAAATACCCGTACGTCGTTCACAATTTGAGCAAAGAAAAGGACTTACAAAAAAGTTTTGAAAAAAAGACAACGAAACCTGTCGCAACCTCTGCAATGCAACACGAAAAATAAAGATTCAGACGTGAGTTTGTATGGCAAAAGATGCCGATTCGCATATAAATGGTTTACATGGTCGAACTTTTTAGGAAAAACCAATCTTTATTTTGGCCATAAAAAGCATCTTTAATAAGCTGAAGTGGTTGACTGATAAGACTGATAAGCTGGTAAGATTCCTGCGAAACTGCTTTTGACGAAAAGCATCCTCACCGGGAGCAAATTGAACTTGTTCGACATTGCTAAGCGTTGCTGGAGTTCTTTAAAATGTAAATATAAAAATTCAGGCAGATGCAATTCTGGAGAAGCTTTCAATATATTTTTTTGGTCCTTTTAAATAGACCATTATATAATCGATCCATTTTTGGTCCTTTGGTCCTTTAGTGCGGATATGTGTGTGTCTAGCCAAGTGACTATCTATTGAGAAGGATTCAAGTTGATACAGCCAAACCAAAAGTGGTGCTGGAAGAAGTTTTATTATGATTGGAATTGTAAAAATATTTATTCCTTGAGAGTATGGATCGAAAAGTGGCAGATTAAAAATCCTGGATCCGCTATCATATCTAATGGCCGCGCGGATAAAATTCTAACCGAAATCAGTCCCAAAACAAAATTCGCATCTATAACATATTGTCACTGTAATATGCATAATCCTCCTAAATGTCGGCGAAACTTTGCCAAGTGAAAGAAATCAGGAAGCTTTCTGCCTTTGCCTTACTTTTGACTAAAGTAGTTATAAAATACTCGTCTCGTGTGGAGGGATTCTTACAAGATTTCACCTTGAAATACCATCAGCACAAAGAATACATGGCCATATTCCACGTAGAGCGAGCCAAATTAACAATAATGCAAGAAGAACAAAAAGTAAAATAGATGCGTGGAATATAATGAAAAATTTCATTAATTTTGAATTATTATAAAGTCATAAGTAATTTTAAAAGAAAAATTGAAAATGAATTTTCAGTTTCTGCGTACCAGGTTTCTAGTTCAGTCAGTACCTAGTTGATAGGAATTTTGCCTAAATTTTGAAGACACTCGCACTCCTTCTACGGAGATTTAATCAAAAAATTGGCTTTTATGGCGAAAGCAAGGGTCAGAGGTCGAATAAAAGAAGCATATTGATGTGAACCAGTGATTATTCGACAACTCATCCATCAAATTTAACAATGTAATCGTTATTGCTCCATGAAAAACTATTTTTCAACATTGAGATGTCGCTGGGGAGTTGCACCAAAGTTTATCGCGGCACCGAATTCTACCAATAACAATCATTTTAATTTTAATTTTATATTTAAAATACTCTCTCGATTTTTTTACTATTTACTATTTTTTTACTATTTTTTATCACTCAGTGATATTTTTTTTCTAAATTAAACATTAATTTTTACCAATATTAATTTTGTTAATATTAATCCAGTATCAATGCTAATTTTGTTGATTTATATTTATCAATTTTTATCAATTTTATCAATTTTTATTGATCTTTGTCAAATTACAAAAAATTTACCACATTATTTTCCGATGTTTTTGAACGAAAAAAATTAGTGATTAGTGATCAAATAGTTTTGCCTATAGTTTTAATCACTTATAAAAGTGGATATTTATTCAAACAACCGCTTAGGAAGGCAAGGAACTTTTAATTCTGACAGGTTTTAGCGTTTGAAACCCCTATGGCTTCATTCTTCATGAGGACCATTTTTAAAAATAGTTTTGGTTATTACGCTGAATTTTGTTCAAGTTCCACATATTCATTTCTGGCATAAGTAGTTGGGTAATTGCTTAAGACTGGTTTGTTCCTTTGAAGCGGCATACAGGGTTTAAAATTAATTCCACAATTCTAATGAGGTTTTGTTTTTTTTATTGTAGGTTTATTATTTAAGCACGTGGCTATATGTCGTGCTTGGTCCTTGTATAAAATAAAATAAACAAAGAACAGTTTCATCTTTACGCCAATGGTTTTTAAACTGAAGTGGACATAATTCGGCGGTTACATGAACTTTCTCGCGACTTCTCATATTTTGAACCAGTGGATCTCGCTATGCCTCGCCCACTCGATTTGCTCGTCATATCTGTCCGAAAAAATTAATGCTAAAAATTAATAACAATAATAAAATTAATGATAATAATGAATAAAGAATTTTTAAAATAAGATTAAAAATGAAACAATTGAAGTGGAAAAATGTATTTGAAATTTTAATTATGTGCGGGAGCATATTTTATCAATATTAAGTTAATATTTATCATAATGGAATTATTTAGCCAGCTTGTCTGAATCATTCTGTGATAAACACAAATTATGCGATTTTTCGAATAAATTTTACAGCTATCAGCATAGCTGTAAAATTTATTCGGAGATATACACAGATATCGGAGTTTAGCGTAAGATTGGTAATATTGGTAATCCTTGTTAACAAAAAAGAGCAAAGGACCAATACAGTCACCTTGAGGCACACCAGATTTATTTAGCTCTCGCTTGTTAATACGTGAGGCTTGATAACGACCATATCATTTAAATAATTCTCGATGTACTTATCTATCCGTGCACGTGGTGTTCATTTATTGATAGTAGTTGATAACCGCTTTTGTGGGATAACGTTAGAAGTTTTAGCAAGATTTTGATAAGAATAACGTAATTATAACTCCTTCTCCACGATCCATGAACTGTATTTGTTGAGATTCTTCGGAAAGTCCATGCTGAAGTGGAATTATTAAATTAGATTACTATTTTAAACATATGCTATAAGCCTTTCGCTCACAGATGTATTATTTCGGAATTTATTTACGCACGTAAGGTTAATCACTTTGAAGGTATATTCTTATGTAGAGCCTTTCTAGAGAGAGATTATAAGAGAGTTTCCAGATTTTTGGAGTGATGCTTGTCTTAATTGCAAAGAGGAGAAAAGAGGAAAAACTAATGAGGTGAAACATTTTTGTAAAGAATTTGGCAAATACGAACAGACATAGCAAAATGGCTAAGAATTTTGGGAACACTGAAAAGATCTAATAAATCTTCGTTCTTAATATTGTCAAGAAAACAATGCATTATCAATAAGGCATACGTTTTCTTCGGTATTTTCATCCATAAGTGCGTTGGCGAAACATTCATTTAATATATTAGCAACATTCATTTCATTAGTGAATGCATTAACACTATGTGTTAGAGTTCTTTGCTTATTTGAATCAGAGAATTTGGCTCTGACTTGGTTCCCAAAAGGTTCTGTTAGGTGAATCTAATATCTTTTTTCAGCAAAGGAAAGATTCGAAAATAAGTTTACGAAAAATTTTCCAAACGATCTTTATAAGAAGTAAAGGGATTTAGTAATACTAAAGTGTTTCTTTATTTATGTTAAATTCTTAGATAAATAAAAAAAATTTTTGTCTTACGTGAAAAGTTTTACGCGAACCAACGTTACACCGTTTAAAATGTCCTTTTTTTAATCAGTTAAATCATCAGTTAAAAACAAAATTGCAGTTAGCAATATACGAATCATTTTCGAATCGAAATTATAAATGTCTGAAATATTCACCGTTGCATTTGAATTGTATCATTTTTACAATAACATGAATGTGATAATGTAATCACTACTACAGAAGATCACTATCAATCAGTAAAATGGAAGTAGACAATATTGTTTGGTATTTTGCATCGAGTAGGCACCTCGATACGCTGCTTTAGACTAGTAAAATGAATAGAAATTAAGGAAACCACCATTAAATTTGTTCACATTAGGCATATTAGCGATACTAATAAGAAGCGCATAAGCTGAATTCTCGCGAAAATTATTTATATCATTTGTAAAATTATTGCATAGTTCGCGGAGGGTGAAATTTTAGTGTGAATTTTTATTATAAGCGATTCAACACTGAAAGTTGCCATTCTCCATTATTTTATTTATATTTATATATATATTTATTTATATATATATTTTATGGAAATAATACTTAGTAAGTCGCCAGTCGCCAATACGAAATACTTCGCCATCATTATCTCTCCATGAACGATTTTAAAGCGTTAAATTCCAATTATAGTCAGTTATTTTTTTTTAAGAGTCCTCACCATTACTGGTTAAACTCACTCCACTGGCTTGTCGCATTGAGCAATAGGGAGTCCTCTGGCGATAGAAATACAAGTGAGTCACCAGCATTATCCGGATTTTTGTAAGGTTTACTCCTACGGGGAATAGAACCTCAGCATAGGCACTCCGAATTAAGCAAAAACCCACTGAGCCATTCTATCCCCACGGCACTAATAATTTTGCAGTCCGGTAAGGCGGTCACATATTTTATTTTTCATTCAACCTATAATTATCAAATATTCTGTTGCATCACACTAAAGATATAGGCGGATGACCAATATGATAAAGACAAAATAATTATATCGTAAATGGAAGAGCAACTTCAAAAACCGATCGCTCACGATAATAGCAAACTGCTTTTTATAATTATTTTAATAATTATATTATCGAAAATGTAATATCACAACATTATTCATTTCAAATCAGTTATCAGCTTAACGATTGTTCCTAGTTAAATTTGACTGCTAGAAAAAGAGTTTAAATAAGTTTCATAATAAAAGGCAAAATGGATGAACATTTGCTAAATTTTTTTTTTATCAGCGAAATCTGCGTAAATTTATTGTAAATTTATGCTTCATTTGTACTAATAATGTCGACAATGTTTTTAATTTTATTTTGTTTCTGATAATGATAATTTTTTCTAAAACCAATTTTCACAAAAATTTCTGGAACAAAACAAAATTTTTGAAATGATATATTTGAATAAATACATAAATTTTTCTTTCTAATTTTTCTAATTTAGTTCATTTTATCATTGCGACAAGACATCATATCAGCTATCAGCTTAATGGATATTCGGATTCAATTCTTTCATCTTTTCATATTCTTTATTTTTTATCCCTCTTATGCTCTTTTATCAGTTCAAGGTTATATTCTTTTCACTTTTCACTTTACTATTCCCACTATTTATCGTGATTATTTTTCGTTTATCTTTATTCAAATTTGAATAATTCGAATTTTTTCATTTTTTGAATTTAAAAGTTTTGTTAAAAAAATTCTACATTAGGATATTTTCATAGAATTGAATATTGAATTTTTTAACAATTTCGGATTTTTTTTTCAACTTTTAAAGTATTATTAAATTTTTCTTACAGAAAATGAAGGCAATGGTTGCAATTCATCGCAATTTCAGTGTCTGAACGATAAATGCATTGCATGGAAACACGTATGCGATGGTTCCGCAGACTGTCGTGATGGTTCAGACGAGCGACATTGCTACAAGGTTGGATCTGAACAATATTTCCTTATATTTTCTCTGCAAAAAATATAATTTTTTGCTCAAATTATTGGTTTAATTTAATTATACGAGCGAAAAATTTTAAATTTTAACATTTTAGGGATGTATGCCAGGCCTTGAATTCCGATGTGCCGATGGACTTCCATGTATGAGTTCATTATTGCTATGCGACGGTATTAATGACTGTGAAGATGGGTCTGATGAACGAAATGATACATGTCGTTAGTCAATTATTATTCTTTTAATTATTAATTATTCTTTAAACTTTTTGCTATTTTTTACGATTAGTCTAATACACCACAAATACACCACTGCTTAAAGCCATAAATGATTCGTTATATCAAATTATTTCGTTATTGTTTCGGTGAGAAAAGAGGACGAGGAGTAATGGGGATAGTAATTAATATCGACCTGGTCTGGACCTCATTTTGGAAAGTAGGTATTTCATTAAAAATGAATTCTGGCGGAAACATTTCATCCTAATTTTTAATGGACACAGAAATAGAAAGGTATTTCATGATTATTTTGCAGCACAGCCTTTTGAGCATCATAGATGTGATTCCATAAATCAATTCAAATGTGTAGGCTCCGACGAATGCATTCGTTTAGCATTCCGTTGTGATGGCCAAGAAGATTGTGCTGATGGGTCGGATGAGGAAAACTGTGGTATTCGTTTGTCGCATCTTGTTTTTTTTTATTTCTTTCAGGGCATTTCATTTTCCCCTCGGAATTTATCATCATAGGTTTTTTTCAGTTTTATAATTTCAGTATGAAATATTTGCAAAATACTTTGTTCAGAAAATTACACATGCAAGCCAAATGAGTTTTTTTGTAAAGATACTGGTCGGTGCATTCCTATAAAATTCCGCTGTGACGGTAACCGCGATTGTATAGATGGCTCTGATGAAATGAACTGCGGTTAGTAATGCATGAACTGAATTAGTTAGAAATCAAGGAACTGTATTAGCTTCTTTGGCGTACTTCGTTGGAATTTATCTCACAAACGAATCAAGGTGGTTGAAAACGCAATACTAATATTTGCAGCATCATTCTATTTCAGGTCAATTTCGTATAATGAATTCCGATCGTTGTTTATCGCCTAATTTTCTATGCAAAAACGACTCGAAGAATACTTGTCTTCCACCGAAATTTGTTTGTAATTTCGTCATGGATTGTCCATTTGGCGATGACGAAGGGTTTCTCTGTGATAAGCAGTATATTCATTAATTTTCTCCGTTCTTTTCCCACTTATTCCCTCTTTAATCCTTTTTAGCAAATTCGTTTTTTTATTGTTAAATTTAGAATGTGTTCCACAGCAAATTGCGAGCACCTATGCCATGAACGCCCAAATGGTTATGGTTTCGCTTGCTCATGTCGAGAAGGTTATATTCTCGCAGATGACGGCAAATCGTGTCTGAGTAAAATTTAAAATTCCTTTTAGATGGTATTGAAATATTTTTTAAAATTTTTCATTAAAGATAGAAATAAAATTATTATTTAATTCATAAATGAAGTTAGCGGTTGAAAAGAGAAGAGAGGAGTTGCCGTACGAAAATTCTGTTGCTCAGTTTTGCGATTAATTCTGACTGAATTGTAAAAATTTATGGATTTTAAAAATGTTGTGAATCTGAAAACTATCGAATTTATGGATTTTAAAAATGTTGTGAATCTGAAAACTATCGAATTTTTATAAAAACGATATTTTTTTTGTTGGAAAATTGTTCTTTATAAACATATTCAGTATTTAGCTTATAGTTTACGATATGATTTATTCTGATTATCGCACCATGTAACAGTTGCAGAACAACAGCAAAATCCTTGCACATTTGGAGCGTGCGGTCAGTTGTGTCGGTTTCAAACTAATCATAAATTTTGTCACTGTGAACCTGGCTTTGAATTAATGGAGGATAATTTCACATGTAGAAGCACTGGTATCTTTTTTTATTATCAAAAATATTGCAAAATAAAACATCTTTTTAAATGTATGAATCTGCCTAACATAATAGATAATTCTCATTCCCATAAATTGGAGCTTTTTGAGATTTGATGAATAAATCTGTAAATGAAATGCCCGCTATCGTTATGCTATCACAGACTCTATGACTCTTTGTCGGCAATACCTCAAGCCAAATAGTCTGTGGAGTCAGTTAAACGAGGTGCAGAACGAGAGTAAGGCGAAAAAAACGCCTGTGTTCCGAAAAGGCTTAGAAAATTATTTCGGCATTTACAATAATTTTTATTTTTAGATCCGGATCAGCCCAAATTAATTTATACTAATCGACACGAAATTCGATTACTTCAGCTCGATTCGAAAGAAATCTCATTTTCTGTTCACTCGGATTTACGCAACAGTTTTTCGATTGATTATTTTTACGGCAATTCTAATGATATTTGGTTGTTTTGGACGGATACTGATAAAATATATAAAGGCAAATTACAAGGACAATGTTAGCAATTAATTATTGCTACAGCTTTTTTTCTTATTTGTTTCATAACAGGAATTTTTTCCTGGAATTAAGCTTTTCAGTGCTGTTAAACATCGAACCATTGGTTTCTTATGGGATTTGGAAAGTTGAAGGTATCGCAGTTGATTGGTTGGCTAAGAATGTTTACTGGGTGGATAGTTCGTTGAATCAGATTGAAGTGAAATTTTGCAATATTTTAGCATTGAAAAATGTTTTATTAAGTCGAATAAAGGAATCAATTTTTTCATCTGAGTTGATTCTTTTCAGCTAACGAATTTCGATGGAACTATAAGAACGATCATTCTGCGTGGTGATATGAAAAATCCTCGTGCAATCTCACTCGATCCAAAGTTCTTTAATTCATTAAAATTCATTTCCCTTCTTATTGGTCTTTCTTTTGTCATAAAATAAGCCAAAAAATAAAACATAAAAAGTTTTGCTCTGATTACGTATAACTAGAAAAGTAGTATGCATTTTTAAAAAAATGAAATTGTGGTGCAGTCTTATTTTAATTATTTTTAGTGAAGGATTGATGTTTTGGACTGATTGGAACGAAACAAATCCTCGCATTGAGCGTGCAACTATGGCTGGCAACGACCGAAGAGTTCTTTACCGAATTGCAAACGTAATCGATGGTGGATGGCCTAATGGCTTAATTTGTGATTTTATTGCTACTCGATTATATTGGATCGACGCTAAGTAATTGATGGAGCTTTCAAGGATTTCAGATTAGCTTATTTTATCGGTCGAGAATCTCTCTTATCTTGCGATATTCAGGTCAGACAGCATTCATACAATAAAATACGATGGTAGCGATCATAGAGAGATCCTGCGGGATGGTGCTTATCTCGCTCATCCATATGCCTTATCCACTTTTGAGAATCGTGTTTATTGGTCAGATTGGCGAATTAATGCAGTAGTTCGAGTATAATTTTTTTGCAGTTTCTTGGCTCATTTAATTTATACTTATTTTTCCAAGAGGGCAACTTTAAATAATTAGTAGAGAGTTAGTAAAATTGTATCGGATTTGACTTACATTTTATCGCAACATTCACGAATTTTCATGGATATTTCATGGATATAGAAGCGTGGTAAATTAAGAATTAGCATATTTATTATTATAATAATTTGAGGCTAATAAATGGAACGGCTCGTCGATACAAATTGTCGAAAGGACGAAATATCAACCTTTTGACTTGAAAGTGATCCACAGGTTTGAAATTTGCATGAAATATTCATGCATTACACATTTTTGTGAAATTATTTATCAGCGTTGCTGCATGTTTTGTTAGAGATCATTGTGGGCATCTTTCTCCCCAACTGACCTAATGTGGTTCCTCACACTAGAAATCTCCAGAGCTGAACAAGAAATGGCGAAATTAATCAGATAAAGAAACCCGAAGTATTATAATTTTAGATCTAGGCAACCACGAGGTTTAAGAAATCCCTGCAGCAAGAACAATGGAGGATGCTCGCATATTTGTACCATAGATTCACCACGAAGTAGAGTTTGTGTTTGCCCACAAATGATGCAGTTGGACCCTCAGTCGGGATATCAGAAATGCTTTCGTAAATATTTTCAAATATTATCTTTAAAATTTGTGATGGATATATTGATAAATATTTTAACGATAGATCTAACTCATTAAGTACTAATATTAAACATTTAATATGAAATATTATAAATATTCAGATTGGTTCAAATCAATTCTATTTTCTTAAAACTACCTACTTGCATTTCAGCATTCTATCAAACTTTACTTATCGCCACTTCCATTGCGATACAATCCATAAACCGTTTTCATTCCGATGTCTTATTTCCTGTGATTACTGGCAAAAACATCCAAAACATCGGTTATATGGCAATTAATAATAAAGATGCGGTTGTGTTTTGGTCGGATATATCACGAAAAACGATTTCAAAAGCGTTTTTGAAAAGGACTGGCGAAGAAAAAGTTGTTCAGCGAGGCATGTTTCTTATTTAGCTCTGTTTCGATGGGAAAAATCGTTATTTCTTCAATTTTAGATCTTGAAAACTGCGAAGGCTTAGCAGTTGATACCGAAGCTGGAATTCTATACTTTTCTTCTTGGTCTAGTGAAGATGATTCTGCTCAAATTTCTGTCATGGATTTTGATGGAATTTATCGTCGAACAATAATTAGTAGCATTATTAGCCCACAGTTAAAAAAGCCTAAGGAATTGGTTCTTGATACTCGGTTGGGGTAAGTTTTTCATATTTTGAGAAATCATGTTGAAACAGACCCCGAGTGATTATTCCTCAGATTATCGTAATGAAACTACTATTGGCTTATTAGCACCACCCGGTTTTTTTTAGAAATCTGCTGCTAAAATCCAATCTCGGCAAATGGCTCTACGGCAAAAAATTTCCACTGAAATAGCAGCTACTGGACCTTATCAAAAATAAGAATCACTTATTCTTATAGGCAAATGTATTGGTTGGATACCGGTTACGAACCTTATGCACTTTTTACTGCTACAATGGCTGGAGAAGAAATTAATAGAATAGTATTTGACGATGATTATAACTGCACAGTTGGTGCTCATTCAACATCTTTTGATGAAGAAAGTGGAGAGCTTTTTTGGTTGCAAACGGATCTGCCAAATATTCGAGGTTTCAATGTGAGGAATAAAGAAAAGAGCCAAGTTAGATGATTTCTCTTTTATGCATTGGATTCATTTAAGTTTAGAACTCTCGCCCAGATTTAGAACCTTAAAATGCTTTTCTTCAGATTATTGATGTTCCAAGTCCAAATGAAGATTTCGCGTCTTCGGATCAAATTGCCGTTGATTCAATTCATAAAACAATTCTTTATTATAATACGAAAACTAACACGGTTTTTGCGAGCAAATTGGCTGATTTTAAACATGGCAAGTTTGCCATAGTGAATCAGTATGTTCATTAAATTTGGAAAGACTGTTGTTGGTTTCTTCTATCGCCAGAATAATTAATTGCAGGGAAAAAAAGCTTAGAATATAGGAAATTAGATTTTTAGGATATCTGAACAAACTATCGAATCTTTTGTAGTTGGAATGGCAATTTTTAAAAGAGAGTTTGAAACGACCGACTTAAAAGGTTTCTTAAAACTAATTTTTTCTCACTTTTTCCTTCGAAAATCGATGAATTTTAGCTACTTTTTACTTCTTTGAAGACGATAATTTAAATATGCATTAATCATGGTATTTTAAAGAAAAAAAAGCTTTGAAAAATTTCACTCTGAAATGATAATTTTGCATTGTTTTTTTTAGATGGTATCAACGCTTGTAAGGGAAAAGCACATTTGTGTCTTCGCAGTTCTCCGTCGTCTGTTCGACCTTTTTGCACTGCTGGTTATAACTATAAGGAAAGCTCTGAAAAGATTGCAAAATGTGAACGTAGGTTCTTAACTTCTCATGGATTTCTAATGTTATCACTGATTGTGAATGAATAGGTCTTCGATATGTTAGTTAAATTTTTTATTGATAGGCATTCGGACAACTTTGGTGTACAGTGTCGAAGGAATCGGACTAAAAGCTCTAAGTACGCGTAGTGAATCCGCTGAGGATAATTTAAATTTGTTATCGCTACCGCCTGAAATGTCTTTTAAGCCAACATTTCTTACAATCGATCCACGTCGTGAAAAGGTTTTTTATAGAAATTATTCCGGAATTTTTGTGTCACAAATCGCTAATAACAGTTGACATTAATCGCTAATAACGTTTACATTCGTTAGTTTTTTTAGGTTTATGCTGTTGATAGTAGTAAAAACGAAATTTGGGCATGGAATTATGACTCAACTGATTTCACTCTCATCTATAATGGTGGTCGCGCGGATATTGTATCAATCGCGGTTGATGAAGCTACCGGTACTCACACCGAATTCATTATTATCTTTGAACACATTTATAGATCTACAGTAATACAAATCAACTTTCTTGCTTAAGCTTATGGAAGTTTCAAATGGATGCATCATGAGAATAGCGTTTCGTCTTGAATCATAATTCAGATCGCATAATTCAGGAAAGCATTCGTTGTTGGTGATATTTAAGCTATTCAGGTCATCTTTATGTCGCATCAAAGAGTCCAAATGAAAAACTACACGGCATTATCGAAATGATTGATCCAAATAATAGTGATAATGTGATGGTGATAATTAAAGAAAGGGATTCCGTGCCAATTGCGTTGAGAATTGACGCCACCGAAGGGTTTGTTTTTTTTATACAGGGTTCTATTTCAATTCTATCGCTTACCATTTCATTTATAAAGGTCAGCATGCTCCGGATGAATATCGCCTATCTTTTCGAGCATCGTGCTTCATATGCCCTGAGTAAATCGGCCATGAGAATATCCCAGCAGTGCTGGCCTATTAGTCTAATCTATTTGGCTACTTCTGCAAACAAATTTGTAAATAAATTTCCAAATCAATTTGTCTCAGCCTAATAATAAATATTTGAACGAGTCTGAACGGTGCTAAAATTACTGCTAACCGCTCAATAATTTTTATCTTTAAAATATATTTTAATTAATTACTCAACTTTAATCGAGCAAAACATATTATAACATTATTATAAATTAGTATAATAGAATCCCTATAAATTAGAATCATAAATTTGGAATTCGTGGATGAGTTGGCGGAGGCGGCAGTTTAGGAAAATTGCCGTTTTTTCGAGCCAAAATACTGGTATATGGGTTAACGATTCTCAGAAAGGATTAAACCCTGCATAATTTGGTTTAAGAATCCCGCATAACTTAGCATTAAACCACCGTTCCATTCATTTCATTTATTTTGCAAAAAAAGTTTTGAATGGGAGATAATCAGTTTTCAATAATGAAGTTTCATTTTCTTTCTATGAAACGCTTGGCATTTTTTAAATCTTCAGTTATTTATTCTGGTTGTTACCGTATATTGGCGTTCGAAGAAGTCGGCTCGATGGTTCTTCGCCTAGAACCATTGTTAGTCGAGGATTTAACTTTATGGCATTTTCGATAAGATTAGATGAAAATCAAATTTGCTTTATCGACTTAACTCGGAAATTAGAATGTTGCGATTACCATGGCAAAAATTTGGTTATTTTTTAAACATTTTCCCAGAAATATAAAAATAGAATTATAAAATTTTCAAGTAAGTAATAAGCATTCTTTAATTTACTTCCCTTATTTATTCTTTATTACCTTTCCTTTTATTTTCTTAATTCCTAATTAAATGGAGGAAATTCGCGTCGAGCACCATAGAATTATAGGATTTCCTTGACCTAACAGGATTATTAAAAGAATAAATAAGGGAAGTAATAAATATATAAATAATAAAGAAATAAGGCCAATGATTTTGTCTAAGCCTAAGAATATGGCTTGACCACGGCCAAATCCTTGGCCAAGCCACAAAATCATTAGCCTTTGACTATTAAAAGATAATAAAGGATTGTTAAAAGATCAGAGTGACTCACCTATTGCCAAGTGATTCTCTGGCAAAAATTCCAAATGTATTAATAGCTGGCGGAACTAAGTTAAACTGGTGAACACTTCATAAAATATTTGAACGCTATCCGATGTCGTTGCAGAAAAAATACGCAACATTTAAGAATCCAATATCCTCCTTCGTGATCGATAAAAGTACTCTTTATTATGCTTACAGGTGATTTTTGCTCCTGAAGAATTTCGAGTTTTAGTTTCTAAATTGATTTTGTTTTCAGTACTGCAAAAATTATTTATTATTATTTTTTTATAAAATTCTTTTTGCCTTTTTTTCGGGATTTATACTAATTTAACTTTGATTTAACCTCCAATTTTATTTAATACAAATGGCAATTTTTATGTAAATTTTTAATTTTCATAATTTTAATTCTATCAATTTAAGCGAGGCCGGAGATTGGTTTATAGCCGAGCGTTTATTAGATGAAAATCACGAGGGTGGAATGTCGCACAGAAGGCGAAAAGAAGGACATTTTTCAATAATCGACATGATTCACTTGAATAGCATCGTCAAATCTGGCAAAAATTTTCGAAAATTCATTCAGAATTCAGAATTAGAGTTGCATGGAGCTATATATAGAGGATTATTATTTTTCATTCTTATAGCATAGCGACAATAAAGGTGACCAATGCAGTTTGTAGGCCCATGCTCGGATAATAATGGTGGCTGTGAGGAAGTTTGTTTCAATTTGGGAAAGAATGAAATAACATGTTTTTGTCCTTTTGGTCGTTTGGCATCTGATGGAAAACATTGCGAAGGCCAGTTTTCTTTTTTTTATCAATTTTGGCAAATTTTGTCCGATCAAATTTTCTATGAATAGCATAGAGATTTTTTCCGTTATGGTGAAGGATTAGCTTTTAAGATAGCTTGGCTTGGCAAAATAATCTGACATAAGGGCGAAATTTTTTTTAGCCTGCTTTGTTGGGTACTGATGAAAATAAATTTCAGCACACAGTTCATTCCTAGCATTTTCTCAGCGTCATTCAATTGATTTCATCGCAATGGATGGTACAAAACCAGTAGAGAAAGCTGCCTTTAAACCAGTAGGTGATTAGAAATAGTAATTTTTTTCCATGAATATGTATTTCTTTGTAGGATTTTAATGAATTCTACCATTTTTCCAGATTCGAAATACGACATTCGTTAGGAATGTCGTTGATTTGGTCGCAGATGAGGAAAGATACCAGTTGTTATTTAGTGATACTAATTTGAAAAATATTCAAGCTATTTCATATGATGGCGGCGATTCGTTTGTCGTGACGGAGAGCAAGTTTTTTACTTAATTAAAATTGGCTCCGCTAATTACCAAACTGAGGCGTTTTCAAGCTTTCCGATGTAGCCACACATTTAATTTCGCACTCTTGAAGCCTATATATTATTTATTTATCTAAGCATATTTTTCCTGAATCTCGGTCTCGCACGCGGGAGGAGAATCTGAAGCCATTGATGGCTTAGCATGAGCTGTATGTGCTACATTATTTCCCTTTATTTATTCCCTTTTTTAAACTTATTTCTAGCAAATATTCACTTGAAAAAATGAGTGTAAATAAAAGATTAGAAAGGATAACAATAAAATGAAATATGAATAATATAACCTTATCGAGTGATACGAAACCAAGCGATTATTAATTTATATCCACAAAACTTATCAGCCAAACTTGATAGGTATTTAGTACTTAGCGAAAACTTACCTGCTTTCATGACATTAGCAAATTTTCATTTCACTGACTTTTTTTTAAATATTAATTTCAGAAGTGGGAACTATAGGAGGAATTGCTTTCGATTTTGCAAATCGTGATTTGTATTTCAATTCGCTCGGTGAGCATGCGATAATGCGAGTTTCACTTCGTGATGCTGAACCATTTTCTTATCCAAAGAAGTCAACAGCAATCATCTATTCGTCTCAATCGGATATTTTGCAAGGAATTGCAGTTGACCCTTGCTCAATGACGATTTATTTCGCCAATTCTCGCAGTGATGCACCCACTATTGAACGAGTTTATTTCAGTGGATATGGTAGAAAGCCTATCATCACGAGTAACATTCGAACACCAACTGCTGTTGCAATAGATTTTAATGAACGTAAACTTTATTGGTCAGATGCTGGGCTTAATAAGATTGAACGATGCGATATGGATGGTGAAAAACGAGAAATAATTTTACAAGACGATGTTTCGCCATTAGGATTTTCAGCCCATCCATTTCGATTGACGATCTTTGATAATACTGTTTTCTTCACCGACTGGGTTCATGCTGCTGTAATTGCTATTGATAAATTAACTGGTGGAAATGAAAAAATTATAAAGAATGAACTTACTGAGCATCCTATGGGAATTGTTGTAGTAGACGGTATAGTGGAACAATGCATTGCCCATGCCTGTAAAAATATGGGCTGCGAAGATGAATGTAGACTGAATACAGTGAAAGAACCATTTTGTTTTTGCAAAGGCAATCGTCGTCTAAATCCCGATAACAGAACATGCACTGACGGTATTTTTTACATTTATATTATTTTAGAAACACTGTAAAATGTGGAAAGTAATATCAGATGCTGAAGATCTATTGTATTATTATCCTCAAAAATTATCTCTAACGTATATCCTTGGGATCTGACAGGGAGAGTGAGTTGAAGCTAGCTGGACTGAATGGTGAGTGTTGCTAAGAAAGTTTTTTTAGAATATTTTAATTATAGAAAGGATATTTCGGTTATGTGCAAGCGAGGAATGGGCTTGCTTAATAAGTCAAAGATGTATTCGATATGAAAACACTTGCGACTCGGTTAAAGACTGTGAAATGGCGGAAGATGAAGATCCACGTTTCTGCGCATCTCGCTCTTGTCGTAATGGTTATTTTCCCTGCGGAAACGGTTTATGTATTCCTGTTCGCAATAGGTGTGATGGAGTGAATAACTGCAGGAACTTCCAGGATGAGATCGGCTGCAATTGCTCTAAGGACGAATTCAAGTAATTTTTTTCAGCCGTCTTAAAATTAAAATCAATTTCCAACAACTGTCTGCATATTGGTCCGAGAATATCAGAAGATTCTTTCAATGCAGAATACTCCTTGCACCTTTAAGGTTTCCAATTTCTGATATGTTTATAGGTGTCGGAATGGTCTGTGTATACCGAAATCAGTAGTCTGCGACCAAAAAATGGACTGTAGTGACGCAAGTGACGAAATGGATTGTCGTTAGTTTATTTCTTTTTATGTAAATCGAACCCAATTTTTTTCCGCTAATCTCCTGATTACATTTTGCCAGAAAAGAAGGTAATAAAGACTTAGTTATTACTAACGTTTTCTATTCTTTAGCACTTCGAAATTGTTCTGCCGAAATAGTTTTGAAGCAGTCATTGGTAAACTGTAAGTACACTACTCAATGTATTCACCATAATTGGTTATGCGATGGTGTCAACGATTGTTGGGATGGTTGGGATGAACAGCAGTGTCTTCTTGGTGAAGGCTTTGCAAATTTTATTCTTGATATTGTTATTGATCTTTTTTTTTTTGTTCTTTTTCAAGTGTACCTTTGTTCGAGCACAAATTGCTGCTTACAGTTACAGTTTTGAAAGCCACTTTGTTTCATTATTGTATGAATCCATTTAAGCCACAGCGCCACCAAAAATACATCGGAAAGCAGTAAAATGTGCTGATGGATATCGTCGGTGTAATTCCACAGATATTTGTATTCCTGTTGGATGGGTATGTGATGGTAATCGTGATTGTGCTGATGGTTCCGATGAAATTAATTGTGGTAATTGTTACTATCAAATTTACTACCAAATTATTTTTTTTTTAATCTTATTTTTGCCTACAAGATTTATTGTTCTTTTAAAATTCTTTACTTTGATATTTTGATTGCTTGTTAATTAATATAGATTTCAACCACAACTGCAATTTTGGTACCAAAACCAGATTAATATTGCAGAAACCACCTGCAATGGTGAATTAGAGTATACTTGCAAATCAACAGGAAAATGTCTTGATAAAATGTGGCGATGTGATGGCAAAGATGATTGTGCTGATGGAAGCGATGAAATAGATTGCGAGAAGTTAATATGATTCTTATCAAGTTTTCATTTGGCTTCTACCGTAATACCCAATCTAAAACACAGTTGTTTAAAATGCACTTTCACTTTTGTGGTGAAATTCGACTTGAAGCATGATGGATTTCAGTCTCTTCCTCGCAGATATGTCAAGGTTCCAGTCGACTATGAATTTCCCATACCTTAGCCTTTTAGTGGGTGATAGTAATATTTTATTTAAGTTTTTTGTAATTGTAAGTATATCTTTAATTATCATTTTCTTTTTTAGAGAATGTGATGAGAAGGACCATTTTCTTTGCACTAATGGTAAATGCATACCCAAAAAATGGCGATGTGATGGAATAAGCGATTGTTTAGATCACACAGCGAATAAATCGAGTTCTGATGAAATAGGCTGTGGCAAGTCTTAGATTTTTAAATTTCAACCAGTTAAAATTTGTATGTGTTCTTTTTGCTGAAGTTGAAGCAAATTCTCGGCCTTCGATGAGACTAAATCTATCATTAAAAACGAAGTTCGAATAACGCTGGAAACCCATTTCTATTTCAAATGAATGTGTATAGAATTGTCATCTTAAATATTTGCCAACTAGAAATGGTTACTTTGTTGGAAAAAAACAAAAGTAAAGACCTTTCTTTTGAATTTTCACTTTTGAATTTGAATTTGAAATCTATTTTTTCAAGTCCTTTACAGTAAATTTGCTAAATTTAATTGTAACGAATTTATTTACCTATTGCAGAAGATTCATTGGTCGGATTGTCCTGTGAACAAGGCGAATTTAAATGTGCCAGTCCTACAGGAGATTCTGTTCAGTGTGTTCCAAGAAGATATTATTGTGACGGTGAGGCAGATTGCGAGGACGGCAGCGATGAACCTTATTTTTGCGGTAATTACGATAATAGTTTTCAAAATCATCCATAAATTGCAAAAATGGTTGTTCAGTTATGCGCAGTATTTGATATTCAGATCAGCGTCCTTGCTTGTCATGGCAATTTCGATGTGGTAATGGACATTGCATAGCAAAGAACTGGACGTGTAATGGTATTCGTGATTGCGCAGATGGTGCAGATGAATCTCTTGAATTATGTGGAAATCTTATTAGTGGATTCTGTGCTAGTAAAATGTTCCAGTGCGAGAATCACTTATGCATTGATAACGCTTTGGTTTGTGATGGTAAAAATGACTGCGGTGATAAGTTCGCGTTTATTTTATTTGAATTTTATTTGCACTTTTTTTTTGATTTTTGAAAATTATATTTATAGTTCGGACGAATCAAAATTATGCAACATAAATGAATGCCTTAATGATCCTTGCGAAGATCGGTGCATCGACCTTCCGATTTCATTTAAGTGCGATTGTGAACCACCTCGCGTTCTCAGCAAATACGACAATCGTTCCTGCTTGCGTAAGTCTAAATACTACGTTTTTACTCGTTGTTATATTTAAATCGTCACCGATCATTAAAATCATTTCCTTTAGATAAAAATTCAACAATTCTTTGCCACTAAACTCGCAATTTCATCGAAATTTTTTTAGTGAAGAATCAATGCGATGATTCGCCATGTTCGCAAAAATGTATTAACAAGGGCGATCTCCAATATATTTGCATTTGTGAACCGGGCTATGAACTTTCGAGCGACGGTCGCACGTGCAAGCATTCGGATTCAGGTGATTTCTTTTTTCTTTGCCAACTTTGTATTTGCGTTTATAATTATTTATTTTAACATACTGGGGTATAGAATGGCTCAGTGGGTTATCGTTATTGCGCCAATGTTGGGGCTTTACTCCCCCAGAAGTGAACATGTCTGAAAATCCAAATAATGCAGGCAAACCATCCGTACTTCCATCGCCAGAGGATTCCCTGGCATGTTTATTTAGTGTGACAAGCCAAAGGAGCGAGTCTAAGCAGTAATGTTGAGAGCTCTTTAAAAAAGTGTTCTTCAGAAAAAACGTTTTTAAAATATTCTTTAAAAAAAAAATTTTTTTAATATTATGTCTGCCTTTGACCACTCATATTTTATATCAAACATTTTACGAGTTCGCTGAACGGATAAAATCTCATCATATCCACTTTAGTTCAAATACCACTTGCATTAACAATACCATCACAGATCGTCGCCTTTGCTAGTTAGGGCACACGAGAGTTGATATGTATTCCGCTAAACGTTGTGATGTATGGCGTCAAAAGCGAAGTGTTCTAATCAAGACCTGGACTGGTACAATCAGGAAAGATTTTGAACCTATAGGCATATACACAGTGATGTATGGACTTAAACGATGGAAAAAGGAATGGCTTCTATTACTGTTAATGATAGATCGAAGACGTCTTACCCTTGTAGTTAGAAAAGCCAGTCTAACCAGTAATTGTGTTAGAAAAAGAAAGATTCAAAATTTTTGAAAATTGTCTTAAAAGAATATTACTTCTAAGGGGAATGAAATGTGTTCTTAGCAATTCAACTTCCCGTCGATTTTCTATGTCATCAGCACTTAAATTCAATGTGGTACTTTCCGTTCATTCATTGAGGAAACGTTAACTCTGTAACTCTATTATTTAATATCTTCTTGAAATCTTAAAAATTTTTTTTTAAGTTGTCCTATTCCATTTTCAGTTGAACCTGAACTTCTAATAATCAGCAAGCATTATATCCATTCTTTTTCGTTAACCGGTAATCCGAAGGGTGCATTACTATCGAATCTTTCAAATGGAGTTGCGGTTGATTACGATTCATTGACACAGTTAGCTTACTGGACTGATGTCACACAGACTAGAAGTAATATTGGTTATACATCGATTAATAGGTCTACTCATTATAAGGTACATCCGAGATTTTTGAACATATCGCTGGTTAGTTCCTAAAAGTGATTACAATTCTGGAAATTAATTCGAGAATATTTTTGCAGGTTTTTAGTGGTTTATCCAGTAATAGTCCTGAAGGATTAGCTGTAGATTGGCTGGCTCGAAATATTTATTGGTGCGACAAGGTTATTTTTTTTGACAGGATTTTCATGCTTTCTCGCTTGAAGGCTCCTGGTGCAATTTACCGTCTATTAAAAGATTTTCAGTGAACCTTAAAAGATTATTTTTTAAGGATGGAAGTAGCATATCGGTCGCTGATTTGAGAGGTTTGTATCGTTATACGATTTTTAAAGGTGAACCGTTACGTGAACCACGAGCTATTGTCTTAGACCCAATGGAAAGGTTTATTTTTATTCTAAAAAAAAATTTTCTTCATCTCCACCTTAGTATTTCATTAATATCGTCTTTTTTAGTATTTTACTAATATTCTCTTCAGGTTATTGTTTTGGACAGATTTGGTTGGTCCTTATATTGGTAGAATGAATATGGATGGTACTACCATGCGCTTAATTATAACAACTTCTTTACGATGGCCGCATGCTTTGGCTGTTGACCCTACTATGAACCGAATATTTTGGGCCGATGGACATTTGGATTATATCGGTGAATTTTCAAAATTATTGAAAGAATTATCGAAATTAACAAAAAAATCGATTATTCTTAAGATATTCGTTCATAGGGTCTTCCGATTATAATGGAGAATATCGTAAAGTGGTACTTTCCAAATCTATTGGTCATGTATTTGGTCTTACCATATTTGATGACTTCCTATATTGGTCGGATTGGTCGAATCGCAGCATTGAAAAGGCTCATAAAATCTCAGGTCAAATGCACTCAACCGTCGTCAACTTTGCTTATAATCGTCCGATGGGTATTAAGGTCACATGCATTTTCTTCGCATAATAACTGAAACAAAATTTTGAGAACCATTTATTTATTTAAATTTCTGAATGATACCTGGCTAATGAATTTAGATCGTTCATCCGGTACTTCAGATGAATATTAATGCTCAAAACCTCTCGCATCCGTGCACCAAAGATGGGATTTGCGATAATCTTTGCTTGTTGTCTGATAATAGAGGTAATTCTCACGTCTTATATCAGATTTTCTTTAGGCTATATTTTTCTGGTTGAAAATTTCCATTTACAGAAGGATTCGTCTGTGTTTGTGCTCAAGGATTCCGTGCGGTTGGTGGTAAATGTATTCCTGATTGTAAGAAGTAAATTTTAATTTTCATTGTATTTTCGGATTATCCTTATTCATGGGAGATTATTTTAGAATTATCCCTGTATATCCAAATGTTATGAATATAAATAATGCAATGATCCTGAATGTTACTAATAATGCAATAATTCGGTATTTTAAAAATTCTTTTTTTTCTTCCAGTGCCAGATGTCACAGGCTGCTGATCGAGTGATGTGTCGCTTCACTTAGTTTGACTGTCACAGTTATTATTATGAGGCCCTTCCTCCATAAGATCACTTGGGAATAGAGGTGGGGTTGGATACAATCACTAGTTTTCCTCTTTCGATTTTACTTCCATTTCTGTCAGCGGATAGGGATGGTTACTTCGAACACCATGATTCCATCTTGTAATGATCAAGCTTTTCAGTATTTTCAAAACTCTACCTCTTGCTGCATGCTATTCGTGGTTTTCATGACTTTTTTTATATTTAATATTATTCTCTTTTTAGAACTGATTTCGTTTGTCGCAATACCTATAAATGCATACCTTTTTGGTGGAAATGTGATGGACAAGATGACTGCGGTGATATGGAAGATGAATTTTTCGGTCTAAAAGGTTTTTGAGTCGTCGATAATCATTCTTTTTATCTTTTCAAGAAATATGAAAAAAATATGAAAATTACAATTTTCTTTATTGCATTACCTTTTTTCATTATTATTATTATTTCGTTATTATTATTATTATATTATTATTATAGTTTTTTCATAAATTTTCTGAAATTATAAATGGTTTAGGCGCATGTCCTGAATTTAACTGTGAAGGCGGTCAGATGCAGTGCGAAAGTGTCAACAACCAGTCTACTTGTATTGATAGTTCACAGATCTGTAATGGAGTCCAAGAGTGTCCTCTTGGTGACGATGAAAATTCTCATTTGTGTGGTAGCTATTTCGAATTAAGCATAATCAGAAATTTTTTGAGAGAAATATATATTTTAAATATATTTTTAAATTTTTTTATTCAGATACGTGGCAATAATATTGTTGATTTTGTATTTTGCTGCTAACTCATAAGATTTCGTGACAAATTTGAGGCAAATGATTTAAGCATCAATTTTACAGCTTCTTATGAATGCATAGGCGGACAGTTTAAATGCAGGAACCCACCAAAGTGTATTCCAGTGTCTGCAGTTTGTGATAGCAAAGTAGATTGCATGGACGGGACTGATGAACAAAACTGTGGTGAGTTATCAATAAAGCAACAATTATGGATAGCTTTTTTAAAATGCGAGCAACTATTTCCGAATTTTTTAAAGGTTTCCTTAAAATTAGTAAGAACTCTTCCATTTAGCTTGTTATCCATATCTTCTATCAATTTTTGATTTTTGGATGGTGAATGATCAATATGGGAGTCTGAGTCCTTTTAATAGGTGTTAAGAAAGCATGACATAAGTCCTGAAAAGAGTGCGTATCCGAAGGAAACAAATTATTCATGTTTTAGCTCCAAATAACAAAACACTGACTTGCAATGATTCGCAATTTGCGTGTATTAGCTGGACGAATGGATTCGTCGAGAGATGTATACCTCGTGTATGGTTTTGCGATGGACATCGTGATTGTCCAAGCGGTGGTGATGAATCTCCATCTTGTTTGAATCGTGATCGTAAGTGTATTGATGTTTGATTTCAATTCGTTTAAAAAGGATTTGAAATAGTGAATGTGCTTATTGCTTTCCAGCCTCTCGACCTTGTCTCAATGAACAATTCAAATGCCTTTCGGGTCGTTGCATACCAGTTTCGTGGCGATGTGATGGCCAGCATGACTGCGACCGAGGCGAAGATGAAAAAGGTAGCGCATATTTCTCATCTCTAAACTTTTCAGCCATACGATTATTGTTTTCAGATTGCTTTAAGTCTTGTCATTCGAATCAGTTTGCTTGTGCTAAAAATTCACGATGCATCGATAAGTCGTAAGTTTTATTCTTTATTTGATTTTTATTTAATCTGCTAATTTTTTAAAATTAGCCGACGCGTATTGTAGCGAATTGAAATGAAATGAATTTTTGAGATGGATATGCGATGGAGATAATGATTGCGGTGATGGATCGGATGAAACCAGTTGTGAAGGGGGTGATAAGTCGATTTCGTTTGGTTGCGATGCTCCCAATTTTCGATGCGACGACGGTAGTGGTTGCTTGGAATTAACCCAAAAATGTGATGGCAAGCGTGACTGCGTCGATTTTAGCGATGAATTCGGCTGCAACAGTTAGTTGCTTTTATGAATTCGTTTAATTGTTAATGGAGTCAGCCAAACCAGAAATCGTCTGTGCTATCAGAAAATTCTCATAAATCTCTTGCCAAAATTTCAAAAAATTGCAGAGTAATTAATTGAAAATTTCTTGTAGAATGCTCGAATGATTCTTTTGCTTGCGGTCATATCTCTTCAGTTTGCATTCGATATGACCAATTTTGCGATGGCAAAATTGATTGCGATGATGGTGCCGACGAAATTTATTGTTGTATGCTTATTTTGCTCAGTTGGACTATTTGCCATAGAGAAATGATTTTAGATGGTTATCTTGGCAAACTATTTTAGAATTACACCTGTAGGGTAGAATGGCTTAGTACGTTGTTGCTCAATTCGAAGCGCTGATTTTGAGGTTCTATTTCCCGCAGGAGCAAAAATCCAGGTGATGCTTGCGATTCACCTGTAATTCTATTATAAATTACTCCCTGACATATTTATCCAACGCGACAAGCCAGTGGAGCTAGTTTAGTCAATAATGGTGAGAGCTCTTAGAAAAAAAAAATTTATTGTTGTTTATTTGTTCATTTTAACTATTTGCCAATGATTTTTAGATGGTAAATAATAATTCTTTCTATTGGCAAATTATTTTAGAATTACGCAGATGTGTTGTTAAATGTTGAAATGCTAAAATTTTCAGCATGTCAATCCATCTCAAATGGTGAGGAAAATACTTTCAGATGTTTTGATAAAAATGTGTAAGTTTAAATTTGATAAGGACAAACTTCGATTTACCGATATTTGCAGAAAATTTTCTATTCTATTCAGTTTAGCCCTTCCGCTTTTCTGGGTGGTGTGTTCTTCGGATGTGTTGTGCTTCTATCCACAAATAACTGTCTGAATGCAAATCTCATCGTAGTAACTGGACATGGCGAAGATCCGCATGTCTCATGCACTTTTAGGAGAAGGAAATTGTTCTAATCTTTTAAGATTTTCCAGTACAAAAAGTGTTAATTTCCTTCCATACTGTATCGAACGGAGAGAAATTTGTGATGGAATTTCTCAGTGTCCCAATGGACATGACGAAGATCCGCGTGTGTGCGGTAATTTATTAAAAATATTTAATTTGCTATTTAAATAAATTGGTGAATAATTCATTGAAATACTGAAAATGCTAATATAAATTTATTTTGTTTAGCGATTCATAGTTGTGGTGAAAATTATTTGAAATGCAGAAACAATAAGTGTTACCCTCAGGCCGCTCTTTGCGATGGCATCGCCGACTGTGAGGATGAATCGGATGAAACGAACTTTTACTGTAATTACTATTTCTGATATCTTCGTTTCTATATTCGTTAACATATTCCTAACCTAAGCCTAAGCCTTTGCAGGCAATAAAACATGCCGAAATTTATTTCGTTGTGCGACAACCAATCGCTGCCTACCGTACTCGAAGCAATGCGATGGTCGCAATGATTGTGGAGATGGCAGCGATGAACTCGAATGTGGTTAGTCTTATCTCTTCTTATTTCTGGAATAAATACGACTATCATTTTCATTAAATCTTTCTGCCTTGGTATTTGCATTCAAAATTGAAAATTATCTAAAAATTTTTAATTTTCCTGTAGGTGTTATTCCAAGTATTTGCGATCATTTCGGGCAATGTTCCCAAAGATGTGTTCGAAAGAACTCTTTCATCAGTTGCGAATGCAGTTTGGGTTACGTAAGAGAATTTGGAAGATGGGGTCAGTGTAAAGCAAAAGGTACACATGTTTATATTTGACCTTCTAACTCACTTGTCTCCCTTTTTTCTTTGACTATTTATTTTTTAGGATGGAAAGAAGCAAAAATTATTATTCTCGATTCACAAATGCTTCATATGGCTTCTCATTTCCACAATCTCTCCAATGTGCAATTAAAAACAGAAGAATCAGAGTCCTATTTATCTGATTTTGATTACTATTTTGAAAATAACGATGGAAATATTTTAAGTCGAAAAATTGTCTATGTTTGGGCTGATGCAGTATGTTTTATTTTTTTATTCTATTCTAGAGTTTTAAATTTATATTTATTCGTATTCCTCGGACAACATTCAGACCCCGAAAGGTCACTTGAAAAGCCCGAGTGGTACTCGCTCCCCCACCTACACTTCTCGTCGTGCTAGCAACCAGTAGGAACAATCAGCGATTGATTGCATTTTATTTATCATTTATTTATCATTAACTTTTATCATTTATTTAATGACATCAAAAATTTAATTTTCATTTCAATAGGAAAAATATGAAACTTAATTGAATTTATTTTTATTATTTTTATATTATTATCTTATTGTTTTCAGGAAACTAACACTATTAAGAAAGGCGCGCTGGAAGAAATGTACAAGAAAATGCCAGAAAACCGGTCGAAAGAAATTCCTACGGTATTTTTTGAAAACTTTCGTGGTTTTTGCAATTTCTCTATCCTAAATGAAGTTATTAATGCCTAAGCATCTCGGTTTTCTGGTATTTTATGATATGGCTCTATTATCCAATATTTATGCAATTTTGAAAAAATTTAGAGTCGTCGTTCTATTCGACGCTGTGTATTGGCTATAGATTGGTTGAATAAAAATATTTATCAGACTTCTGTTTTACCCGAACTGAAGTAAGTTTTTTTTTCGAGTTTGATACAATAAATAGTAAAAAGTTTTTTAAAGTCATTTTGATAAATTAATTACATAAAACTATTACTATTTAAAGTTTTTGGAGCAGTTTTTTCATTCATTCAAACTGATGAATGTGGACAATTTTAGAATTAATGGAGTGGTGATCACCGTAACCGCGTTATCACAGTTAAATAATGCAAATCATACGATACCAATCATTTGGGGTTCGTTAAGTCGTGTAAGTTCAATCGCCGTGTTACCATCAATCGGGTGATTGCTGTTTTTTTTTAACAACTTATTTTTATTTTATATCAACGAATGAATCTTATAATTTGGTTATTTAGGAAAATTTACTGGTCTGTGTTGGAGCCCTTTGCAGCTATTGAAATAGCTAATCTTGATGGGAGTGAAAGACGCGCACTTGTTTTGGATGCCATTTATTCGCCAGACAGTATCGCTATCGATGAGCCGAATAGGTATTGAATTTCTCGACTTATCAGATCAAATTAATCAGATTTCACTCTTTACCTGCATTTTCACGAAAGCCAATATCTCCACTTGCTTATCTTTCTGTTTGGATTGACCATCTCAAAACAAGTTTAACTGATCCAAAATCTCTTCATTAGTTGTTTGATTTCTTATTGTTTCTAATACTGGATGAGTTATATCTGTGATTATTTTAATTTAATTTAGTCGCTTCTACTGGACGGATGTCGCAAAAGGAACAATTGAAACGATGACTATTGAAGGAAAAGATCGACGAGTTATCGAAAAATATGGCTATAAAAGTAAAAATATTTTGCACATTAACATGAACATGCACATACAAGAAATGCACCCGTAATTTGACTTCTTAAATTTTTCGTATTATTCAAATTTAATTTTTAAATATATCGGCTTGTAAATTTCCAATGAAAAAAGTAGCAGTGAAATAGTAAAAAATAAACTTGTAAATGCCAAAAAAATTCGATTTTATGGCGTAAATCATATAAATTATGTTTACATGCATGCTGAAATTATAATTGTTTGTAGTATTTTGCTGCTACTTATTTATATTTAAGATGGCAAACTTCTGGACAAACCTTTTGGCCTCGATGTCTTCGAAGATTTTTTGTATTTTACTGGTCTCCCTGGTGGCACTGTTTGGCGACTAAACAAATTTGGCAGCCTTGCTGAAACTGAGATCCATGGTTTAATGATATCGAGTAGGATAGTTCGTCTTCGCGTCGTTCATGCAGCAAAGAAATGTTAGAATTTTATAATCAAATGGATGTAGATGGTTATTTTTAGGCTTAACTTTATGCTTTTCCCTTAGTAATAATAATAATTTCTAATAATAAGATACTTTGGTACTTTCACTACCCGAAGAGTTGATGAGATGAGTCTCTGGCATACACCCAGGCTTTAGATTTTATCTATTTCTGTTCACTTTTTTTTAAATCAAAGAGCAAGATTCGAATTCATCAAATTTTTCCACTGAAAAAGGCTATGTAATGGATTTGAGAAGCAGTTTTATGAAAGATTGAACTAGTTGTCCATTTTATCTACAAATACTACCTAGATTTAGCTACTGTCATTATAATATTATGCTCATTTGCATTTATTTTATTTGCTTTCATTTTTCTTTTTATCGAATTGCCAACTTTTCTTTATCATTTACCATATTTCATTAGAATTGGCCACTTAATATTTTAGATCCCTTTGATTCACCATGCCGATCAGATTTGTCACGAGGGATTTCGCATTGTGGCGCGCAACCGTGCATACCAAGAATTGGAGACACTGCTAATTATATTTGTCTTTGTCCCTATAATGAAATTTATGATCATGGCGTTGGTAAATGCTTGAAATTATCAGCAGCTGTGGTTTCAGTTCGTAAGGCTTTTATCTTAACACTTTTAATAACTTACCACGTGAAATATTATTATTCATTTGTTTACTCTTTTGAATGTTGTTTTTCACTGTAATGTTGAAAAATTATTTTATTATTATTATATTATCATATTTAGCTTGTGGTCAACAATATTGCCTAAATGGGGGTAGCTGTGATGGCAAAATCTGCAAATGCCCCGAGGGATTTGTTGGGAACAGATGCGAGACTGATCTTTGCCACAATTATTGCTTAAATAAGGGAAATTGTTCCATCACTTACGATCCAATTTCTTCTTCACGTGCTGTGCCAACTTGCAGGTTTTTGATTCACTTATGTTTGTGTTTTTTGATTTTTTATTTTTATTTTATGTATTTATAAATGATTATTATTAATATTGCAGTTGCCCTATTGAATACACTGGTTCTCGTTGCCAGCAGTACAAATGCACAGGTCGTTGTGGTGCATATGGAACATGCTTGGTGACTTTTTCAATTTTTTGTACAGTTCTATAATATAAAATGTGATATATGTGATGTGATATGTGTTTTAACATAAAATAGTTTTTTGATTTACTCAATGCTAAAATTTTATTATTCGAAGAGTGTGGTGAAATTTATTTTTCAAGGTGTCACAAAAAACTGGCTTACCGATTTGTAATTGTCTTCCAAATTATGGTGGAGCAGAATGTAATCGGCGAATTGATGCATGTGAGACTTATTGTTTCAATGGAGGTCTATGCTCATACGACGAAAATATGGCACCGTCTTGTCAATGTCCCGCCGGTTTCATTGGTATGATCTTATTTTTTTTTACATAATGTTTTTATTATATTTAATGCTAACATAGCTTTTTAAACCTAAAGCGATGGTGGTTCTAAATGAGCAAAAACCTATGCAAGGAAAATAACGTTTTACGGAATTTTTGAACTTATCTGAAAAAATGAAGAGAAATTTTAGGTAACCGGTGTGAAAATTGCATGTTGGCTAAGGGAGAAATACGTATATGTCAAAATGGAGGATATTGTAAAGATGGAAATCAATGTTCTTGTCCAGCTGGATTTAGTGGATCTTCTTGTGAAACAGATTTTTGTGATGGTAATCTTAAAAGACACCATTTCTGATTTGTTTGCGCCCGCCAGTTGCTTAAGCAGAATTAGCCGAATGGAGAGTGATTATGTTGACCCTATTGAGAGATAAGGATTAGACCTCCTTGGATTTTGCCGGAAATCTCTCCATACTTCTATTCCTATCGGGAAAAAATATTTCAGATATTAAAACTTATTTATTCTCTTTGCTCACCGTCAGATTCCTGGAAAGATAATTAGGGGACGTTGTTTCACCATGAATTTGCCAGCTATAAAACTGCGATTGCCATTATTTATAATGGCGATAACTTTTGTTTGCTGCATTTCGGCAACTCAGTTGTTGACTTTTTTTCGTATATTTGATAATTGACTACTTTTTTCATATCATAAAATTATGGAATTTTCAAATTCTAGGACATTGTTTCAATGAGGGAATTTGTTTGCCTTCAGTACTTAACGGTGTAACTCATCAGTTACAATGCATTTGTCCTCCTGGTTTCGGCGGATCTCGTTGTGAAATTGATTGGTGCCATCGTAATGAACATTACTGCCTTCATAATGGTACGATTTTAAGTTCCATAATTTTTCTAGAATCGGCTTTTAAACTCTACGATTCACTTCATCTCCAATTCTTACATTTGTTTTATAGAATCTTAAACCAGTTTGTAAGAGTGCTTACTCTTGCTTTTTATTTTTTCCTTTCTTTTCCATTAAATTTTCAAAAATGAAAAACAATTACAGGTCACTGCATTCATGATAGACTTAAAGGAATTATTTGTATTTGTTCCAGCAAGTTCCAAGGTGATCGTTGTAAGGAGGAAAGACGGTGTGAAGATTACTGTCTCAATGAATCTGAGTGCTTTTCAAAGAGTGCTTATGAATGGGGTTGCAGGTCAAACATTCTTTCCTTTTCTTTCAGTCATTGTATTTTCAATTTTTCAACCGATATAAGCACTAATCTATTTGTTTATTTTCAAGGTGCAAAGCTGGATATAGTGGCAATCGTTGTGATGTATTTGATAAGTGCTCGAATCAGTGTCATAATGGTGGCACTTGTCAATTTGATAATCGTCTAGGAGGAGTTTGTGAATGCCCAAAAGGGATTGCGGGAAGAAGGTAATCGTTTCGGTTCCATATTTTTTCGGTAAAATTATCGCGTGATGTCCCATCTAATCATATCATTCCTAGCTGCACGCAAATAATTGCACGTACATGTAGCGAAATAGTTTGTCTGAATGGTGGGAAGTGCATGATGACGGTTCTTCATGGCGTCCAGTGTTCATGCCCTATTGGTTGGGGTGGATTGGTATGTGCCGAGCCGGAATGTTATGGATATTGCCAAAATGGTGGGACATGTGCTGTTATCGAGAAGCGTGTTGTTTGCTCGTTAGTTTTTCTTTTATTTCAAATAGTGAAAAGGAATGGCTTCCATTACTGTCGACGATGGCATCAGACCGCGCGTCTTTGAAGCGTCTTACCCTTGTAGCCATTGGAGTCAGCCTAACCAGTAATGGTGAGAGCTATTAGAAGAAGAAGAAGTGAAAAGTCCTATTTTATTATTTTCATAATTTGTATGATGCAAGTAAAACTAAAATTATTTCCAATAGACGAATAATTGAATTAGGTGTTTTGAAAATTGGTTCGGTGATCGCTGTCAATTTTTACAAAGGAACAAGGGAACAACTGATGAGACGAGGAAAGGAAATTATAAACAATTGCCTTCTCAAGGTTATATTTACGAACGTATTTTGATAAAGGCCTATTCTAAGGACAAATGTTCATTCACTTTGAGGTACAATAAATGGAAGATCTCCTTGGGTTATTGCTTAGTACTCGATGATAACCTCTATGTCTGAGCAATTTATCTTGCCTACAATAAGTGATAAGTGATTATGGTCTTAGCTTATGATTATGGCACCAAAGTGTTGACAGTCAAAATTGGCAGGGAACTCACTCATCTGTATTTCCATTCCTAGGGTGTGTCGAGTGAAGGGATTTTTTGCTATTAGAGCCAAATAGAGCCAAGCAAACCAGAAATGATGAGTACTCTTAGAAGAAGCAGAAGAAGGGATTAATAAATGAATGAGAAAAATGAAGGACTTTTATTAAAAATAGCAAAAAAAGTTATTAGAGATTCTCTTTTCGCAGTATTTCACAGTAAATAAATTCACTTACAGAAATCGCACTTGTGATTTTTCCAATACTTCTCATCGCCTTTGTTGCGATTGTTGTGGTTTTTCTTGCTTTCGTCTCAAGGACAAGGTAAAGCGAGATTATTTTATCTATTTTTTAAAATTAACATATTTAGAGAGTTCAATTTAGCTATTCGTTCTTGCACTCGCACATGGAAGGTGCTGTCACTGCAGATGGATTTCAGAATCCCGCTTATATGATCAATGATCAAGGCGTGGATAATTTCGCGGTGAACGGGGTGAATATTTTTAATTTTGTCGTTTCTGGTTGCTTATTTAATATTTGAAAGTAACATAGTTTTCAAGCACGTTTCAAAGAACCATAACCAACATAGTTCGAGTAGAATTTATCACAACGTTGTGCATTCATAAAACAGAATCATAAACCTGGGGGTGGGCGAAACGTGGAGGATGAGCGGTGACCAATGCATCTTCGGGGAATTTTCCATGAGCATTTCATAAAATTAGCATACAGGTTAGTGGTATTCTAATGAAAAGCGGAAATTTGCAAACTCTTATTTAATTTTCACGCCTTTACTCAGACTAATCAATTCAGTTTTTCTATTTAGTTCACAGATTTCACCAACTCTATTGGTCCTCTTGTGCAACCTGACAATGCAACTCCACTGCAAAATATTGAGAACGACGTCGAACTTCTTGACAGAAGTCCTTCGCAAAAGTGACGAAAATCACTGCATTTGCACCGATCTCATTTAGCTTCATTTGTCTCATTTGGTTTTTGATTTGAAGAAAAATTTTTAAGAAGAAAAATAAGATAGTTTCCTCACTCTCCAACCTTTTATTTTTATATTATTTATTTGTGTTATCATTTGTTGAGTATCGTTTCGTTGATAACACTGATAACTTGTTTTTATTACTTATTGGTATTCTCTCAGTTATCCCAAATTCCTAAATTAATCTCAGAAATGATATTTCTTGTGGTACATTGGTACTTTCACTTAAAACAATTGTAAAGGAGTTTTGATGATTTATTTTTCTTTTTCTTTGGTAAAATAAATTTGGCATGTATGCGCGAATAATTTTTTAGAATTAATTGATGCCAATAAAGAATAAAATATACAAAACATCGAAAATACAAAAATACGTGAATAAATGGATGCGTAAGTGATCCTCCGAGTGCAAAAGCTCTTCGGGAACCCTCGGAACAAAGTGTGTTTTGCAATTTTGAACGCATCGGCACTTTAAAAGAATTCGCAATCTGGAGATCAAAAAACGACTGGGCTTTCCTACTTTTTTACACATGTCACAGATTGTAAATCATAGTAACAGTAAATAACCCTGACATATCATAGTTATAAATGCCTCCAACAATTATCTTGGTTGCCGTTTTGGCGGAGTATGTTTCTATTCGCTCGGATTCTCAGTTTCGATCTACGTAAGCAGAATTTGTAGCAAAACTATTCAGCATTTCACTATACAAATGGGCACTGATACTTTATTATAACATTGGTGTTTCCGTAGGATCTATTGTTACACCACAGCACTATTTTGGGAAAGGAAGGGATGGCGCAGAAATAGATTTATGTTTGCTTTCAATAAAATAAACAATATAATGAGGAAAACTTTATTTCATGTAAAATCAAACAAAAATTAAATTTTAAAATAAAACTGAGCATTAACTGAAAGCAAACGTTTAACACAGTTTCTGAAATAATCGCTTACAAAATAACAATTAATAGTTTTTCCGCACAATAACCATACTAGCAGATGGACATAAGCCTGAAATAAAAGATTTTTGACATCAAATATAATTAAATATGCCTGAATAAATATTCGAAATACATATGATGAATATACCTAAAGATTTCAATGGCGCTTCTCGATCTTCACCATCATAAACCTTGCGAGGAAATGGTGTCATAAGTGAGAATGGATAATGATGTTGAGGCTCATCAGTCCTATTCATTTCTATCCAAGTATATACAGCAGCTAATGTTTCAACTGACTGAAAGCAAAACATTTAGTAAAAATAAGAATAAGCAAAGCATACGTAGTATATAATGAACGATGAAATGAATGAAAAATTATTATATAATCAATGTTACTTTAAATTTTTCCTTCATCACAGATCCATCTGGAAGTCGGATTTGTAAGCAGCAAAATTCTGAATCAACTTTAGGAATACTAATACGTTCAACGGCAGAGGAAGAAGATAAATTTTTCATTTGATCTGCGAATTTACGACTTTCTTTATCCAACCGAATTTGTTCAAGAACTCGCTTGCGTGCAGCCTCATCCTACAAATGTGTTTAAATACATGAAATGCACCTTATAACAACGCTCGACTGCCAAATAATACTTCTCTTTTCTCCCGTTTTCGATCTTCAATTGCTTTCCTCATTTCTTTTTCGCGTCGCTCTTCTTCCATTTTCAGCGCATTTCTGCCATCCAAACGTCGCCTCTTCTCCTTAAATTAACCATTTATTAAAGTGAACTTAAAATTTTTTAAAATAAAAAGTCGAAAAAGAAAACCAAACAAAGCTTAAATCATTGAATAGAACCTCAGATTTGCAAATTACAGTCTTCAAAGTAGAATGAAAAATTTTTTTGAATAGTATTTCTCGTTTGACTGTCTTCGTCAACTAGAAAAAGATGGGACCTTTTCCTAAGGTAATCATAAGGATAAAGATAAGGATGAGTCCCCATTACTCCAGTTTTCATTTCCAACATGCTTAGTCCATGAAAAAGCACGCATTATTGCTGGTTAGACTCGTCGAACTAGATAAATATTGCAAGAAATCCCTTGACCATAGAAATAAAGGCGAATCGCCAGTATCAAGAGAGGGGACAAAAAATTACTTAAGAATAATTTCGCAGAGAAGTAAAGACTTTTCTATAAGTTTTGCGATATTATTATTTTTTTTTATTTTTATTTATTTTTACTATTTTTATTTTATTTTATTATTATTACTTTTATTTTATTTATTATTTTATTTTATTATTACTATTTTTATTTTATTTATTATTTTATTTTATTTTCGATATTATTTTTAAGATTGAGACTTTTTTATCCAGAAAATCAGTATAATCAGTAATTACTTACTTTCTCTAAGGCTTCTTTTCTTTCAAATTCTTCTTTTTTAATTCTGGCTTCTTTCAATTTTTCATGCAATTTTGCCAATAATTCATTCTTCTCTTCTTCCGAGAGAGGTTTTACAGAATCAGTTGATTCGCTATAACCTTCATGTTTTGTTTTTGCCGCATGAAACATAACTGCGGCATCATCTGCCAGCGCTTTACCACATCTGCATCATTTCCATTCAACTGCATATTATTCAACTGATATATTGCAGCGAAAAAAGCAAACTCACGTATCACATTTGAACGATAATGCTTTGGGAGGTGTGCTAGAAGAATTTGCTCCTCTAATTTCATTATTTGCTTCATTAGCTGCCCCATCAAACGTTTTTGCTGCTATATCATTTGCTTTAATTTCTTCCATTTTTACTTCAGCTTTATTTTGTTGTTCATAAAGCCAATCCATTGCTTCTATTAAACCGACCTCATTTGTTGCTTGCAGTGCCGATTCACTGAATATCCAAATTATAAATAAATCACTATCATAAGCTATTTCTTATGATGTACGATCAGTTTATCAACCAACTATACTGGATTACAAATTCATTGAATAAATCAAGTCTTAGAAATAAAGTAAGGCAAAAAAACTGCAACTCACGCAAGATTACGCTCGAATCCCATTTCAAGAAGTTGATCGAGCATCGACATCCTCCAAAAACTATTACCTGCAATAAAATATTCAGTCAGTAAATAAATAAAAACACTTAAAAGTGACCAAAAATAAGACTATAACTCCTTTCAGAATCACCTCTTAAACCTCTATTTATTCAATAAATTTCGCTGAAATATATCCATAAACAAAGTTAATTTTCAATTATTGTAAGGTCGATAAACGAAGAAAAACTCGTAAACATCCAACTTTAAAACTTCTAACTACCCTATTCTCCTTTGAGTCCGCTTCCATACAAATATTCCTTGACAACTTCGCTAAATATTAATATTTTCATCATAATGATAAAAATGGAACTATTAAATCTCCTCTAAACAGAGTTATCCAAAAATTGTAGATAAAATAATTGCACCAATTCACCAATACTTGCTTTTTACATTTAAAACCGCAAAAATTTTTATTTTTCTGAATTAAATATTTTTAGAAATTAAATGTATTTATTGCAGTCGGAATAGCTTTCGATTCATGATAACTTAATCATTTAAAAATATGGTTTATACCATTATACATTTAATATTTAATAATAGCGCCGACATTTTATTATTTTTATATATTCAATTTAAAAAATTAAAAAGTGATAAAAAAAGAGACTATCAGAAAACAAAATGGAAAAAAAATAAAAATTAAGAAGACTATAAAAAATAATTCTCCATCAAATAATATACTAGTAAAACAGACGCTAGCGATTTTTAACCAAAAATCTCACTCTTAAATATGTCTTCAAGCATTAAACAGGGAAAATTATGAAAAATATACAAAGTTTTATACAATATTGGCCAAGAATTAAAGCCTACTTTAGATCGACTTTCCTCATCATAAGATAATGAATAAAAAATAGAACACGAATAAGAATATAAAAAATTTGATTCATAAAATTTATAAAAAAAAAAAAAAATAAGTGCAAGGATTGTGATAATATTGCAACATTCCAAACTAATAATCACCGGCAATGTAAAATAAAAAAGTTGAGATCACAAAACTGGGCTCATTAATGATAATATAGATGCGATACATGTGATGTGAAATCCTGCACGAAATTATTAACGAAAAATTTCCAATTCAGCTGGATTTCTGAAATTTCTTTTACAGAATAAATGAAGAAAACTGAAACGAATTTTTTCCGATTAGGATATTATATTTTAAAAGATAGAATGTGAAAAGAACATTCAACATTATAAATTAGGCACATGTTTATTTTTGCAAGATTCAGAATAAAGGAAGAGTAGACTTTTCTACAAACCGAATAAATATGTAGGATCGAAATTTGGAAAGCATAAAGCATAACTTACTTTGCGAAATCAAGCTTAAGATATATCGAAATGTTACTTCGAATTGTACTATATTATATTGATTGTAATTTCCTCTTTAAATTGTTAATTTTTGTCATATTGTTTTATAATTAATTTTGTTTATGTTATATTTTTTTTTTTTTGTGTTTTCGTTTCTTTTTCTGTTATCTTAATTGTTATTATTAATACAAGCACATAGCGTTGTTGCCCTGCTTGGCTGGTTATCAATAAATAAATAAGTAAATAAATATGACACCTCAAGACAAACATAAATAATATGAAAAAAAAGGATAAAAAAAGAAATCATGCACAAACTTCAAGGTCCTGAACATTCTCTGATCTGAACCTTCCTTTACAATCTGAGCAAACCCAGTCATTTTCTTTTTTTTTTACTCCAACGTTATACCTGAAATATTAAATATTCATAAAAGATAAGCGTATATTTTGATAACAGAATAAATCCATAAATGATAACTTCAGGCTCAACTATCGGCTTTATTTTAAAATAAAACAGTACGCCACTTACCTTTATACTGTCCTAAGTGAAGCCGTAATATATAAAAAAATGTCAAAAGTTAGCCATCGTATGACCATATAACTAATAAGCGCAGGTTAATAAATTAATAAAATACCTATTTCTATTCCAATTCATTGCCATTTATCCCCAAGTGATTCTCTGGTAAAATTATCGCTTCCGACTAATAATCTGTGCGTAGACTCGCCCGCAAATAAATGCTTACCAATAACTCAATCGGTGTCACCTAAATTTTTAGTAACTTTTCGCTGCCCTCATTTGCTTCTCTTAAACTGCTTAATTCAGCCATCGATGCAATCTAAAAATAAATATCTATTAACGAATTTCAAAAGCGATTTTGCCAATTTAAAAAACAATTAATTTAGAGAAAACATTTTGATGAAATATTAAATGAAATATTAAATATAAAAATCTAAAATTAACGATATTTAGCGATAAAATATTTGCTGAAATTAAAAAATAACTTTTTACGAGAAATTCTCCCTTGGAAATACTGCGGTTATTTATTAAAATAAGAAATTAGATTTCTTCTTCGACTTATTTGGTATTAAAAAAAGTGAAAAATGGACAAAAAAAACTATTTGGAAATATAAAAAATTTTTGTTTATTTATTTCCTCACAAATAAATAAATGAAAGATAAAAATAATGGAAATATTGTTTTTGAAATAATAAAATGTAAATAAAGAAAAAATTTTAATTAATTATATTAATTATTATTTTAATTATAATTAATTATTATTAATAAAAACAAAAGCCACAAAAGAATAAATACAATACTTATTTTCCACTACAACAACAATAAATCCCTTCCTCGTCTGCGCACCATTTTTACTTTGGCCGTTCCAGTTGGCTATAACGGTGATTCTAGATCGCCCTGGAAATAGAAAAATAGGCGAGTTCTAAGTCTGACCACTTTTTTTTTAAGTGACAGCTCATTGTTAAGAGAGATTTATAAGATAGCCTAGGCGAACCAATACACTTTTCAACCATTGCTACTTTATCGATTACCTAAAATAATAAAATATGGAAAAAAAACACTCCTAAAGTCACCGCGCCAACCGCCAAACCTAATCCTCGTGATTGATTTCTACGACACTATTTAAAAAAAAAAATCGCCGAAGCCGATGAATAGTGTAACTCTGAAAAACCAAACGTCAGTCTCATTATTGAAATTTTTTCATTTTTTTCTGTCATTTATTGGCCATTTTTTCCTAATGCAATTACGTTTTTCTTTTTTTTTTGCTTTATTTAATCAATAATAATAATGGTAATAATAATAATAACAATAATAATGATGATAATAATAGTGATAATAATAATGATAATAATAGTAATAATATTAATGATAATAATAATAACAATGATAACAATAATAATAATGATAATAATAATAACAATGATAGTAATAATGATAATAATAATGATATAACAATAATATTTTCGTAATAATAATTTTAAGTGTCTGATTTTTTCAGAGATTTTTAAAATTTTTTTTTGAATAACGAAATTTTATTTTATTTCGATAATTTTAAGATTTTCCACTTAAGAGGATGTATTTTTTAATTTGTAAAGGGTTGTGTGCTGTGAAATTTTCTGGCAATTTCATTTATTATTCTTCCTTAGGAGAAACTTTACTGGTTGGATTGGCTGCGTTGTCTCCGAGGATAGCCCGTTTAACACCATGTCTGAGGGATAGAAGCCATTGCTTCTCGCATGCACCGCTGGGCTGCCTATGCGTCCAAAATCTCACCTCTTTCCTGTCCAAGTCAAAGTGTTTTTGTCCTCGTTTTTGGTTCCATCTGTTGAAGAGTTTAGCAAGTGGAGAGATAATCAGCATGCCTAACCAGCATGGGTGAGCTCTGTTAATAAAGATTGTATTTGTATGCATTCATATGAGATTTCACCCGCACGCCATGTAAAATAAATAATTATCTACAGATGGCATTTGAATAATTATCTGCATATGTTTTGATAGTGATTTCGATTCCATAACAAACGAAAGGGCGCACTTTAACAACGATTATCAGGTCTGCAGTTTCGTCTTTCTTCTGCCATGTAAGGGTTCTAAGATAAGGAATCTAAATTACTTGAAATCAGCGCTGATGGATAAGCCCAATTTTTATTTTAAAAGGATTTATCATTTCGTCCTCCACCACACATATAATAATAGTTGTTTGCTGACCAGCAAAATATGTTTATAAGTCGAATGATCTTTGAAATACCATCATTTTCAAGAACTCCATTCTGTCAATTGAAGGCAGTGGTAGAACCAATGAAACATATGGAAGTGAGTTTGCCGGTATTTGAACTGGTGTTCCGAAAAAACTCATCAAGGTTAGAAATAGTTGGCCCACACACCTTAGCCTAAGTCCAGTCTTTTTTCGTATTAGCACAAATCTGTTCAGCAGAATAGAGGCAAAAATTTCCAGAGGTGTAAACTAATTACCTCGATTATTACGGTATGTCTTGTCAATCTTTTTGGGGATTGGGAACAGCATTCCCTGTTTGATGCAAATTCTTTCTTCTATATCAGAGAAATATTTCCTTTGAAAGTAATTATAAAGGATATTGGGTAGCATTTGAAGACATCAGCCCGAACAAGATAATCATCTTCTCTGATAATTTTTATTAATTTTTTTTATTAATTTTTATTAATTTTATTGATTAATTTTTTCTTAAGCTGTTAAATGATAAGGATCATTTCTTACTCTGTTGGTAGTTGCAGTAATGTGACTGGACGAGTTTCTCAGCTCTGCGATTTTTTTTTGAGTAAATAAATATTTTTAAATATTAAATAAATATTTTTTATATAATGTATTTTCTTTCTTTCATATTATATGCATATAATGTAGTTTTTCTCACTAGAATTTTTTTCATTCAACAAATTTATAGCTTCAAATGCTTCGTATTTTTCCGATTTTTTGAAAAAATTGATAAAAAATGAAGTTTATTTATGTATCAATTTTGATGGACATTTGACACGGCCTTCATATTATATGATTCGTTATGACAACGATTCTTGTAGGTTCTTTCTTCTTTTAACAACTTTTGCAATATTTCTTCATTCCTGTTTTGAAGAACCTATAGAGTCCATGAAAATAGTGGCATATTCAAAAGGCACTTGGACGTCACTTCTAATGATGAAATTTAATCATAGGCCAAGATCGAAGCTGTTCTGTCTCACTATAAAACATAATTAACTGAATAACTATATATAATTAACTAATTTAGTTGCATTGTTCGTCAAAGCTAAATGAATTAAAATTATGAATGAAAATCGCAATGGAAGACAATGAATATACTTTTTTATGTGGTTATCAACGAAATCGTGGTTATGGAACTATTTTAAGAGGTCAATCAACTGTAAAACATTACACTTCTGTTGTAAAATACAAAGTTGAAGCGAATGATACATTGCAAGGAATCGCTCTTAGATTTAATACATCGGTTTGCTTTTATCATTCATCGTTTATTTTGTTTAATTAAGAACTGGATATTCCTTTTTTAGCATCTCGTTTAGTTTTTGTAATTTAAGAAAGAAGAAAGGAATCGAATCCTGATTCCAATTAATTTCACTGGAGAAATACCATACAATACAATTTTCAGATGGCTGAAATAAAGCGATTAAATCGTTTGTGGGGTAACGAAAGTTTACATCTTAAAACTCATATTGAAATTCCCTTATATGGCAATGAAGACGCGGTGGCGAATAATACGAAATCATCGAAAGCTTCACATTCGATGAGCGAAGAACATTTGGCGAGCAATAACGAAAGTCTTAACGACATCTTTAAAAGAATTGATTTAAATATTAAAAAGACATCTCATAACGTGAATAGGTTACGAAAGGATTATAGGTATTCATTTTGGTTTATATTATCTTCTTTATTCAAACAAACTTTGTTAGTTTTCCTTTCACTGGCCCCACAGAGTATTAAAACCAACATTCGCGTAGGATGCATATCAGCGCAAGCTGCACAAGTCGAACTTACGTCAATTCGGATCAGCTTACGTTCTGCTGGAGATGACTGTTGCGTACCAATTCTGTAGATTTCAGGCATTTTGAAAGAGCATAATTATAAAGTTAACATTTCAGCTGCGAAGATACGCGTTCACACTGCTTCGAACGCAGTTTGAAATTTCCTTCGGCTCATTATCAATCCCTTAATTCAATAGATATCGGTTACCATACACAAGGAAATAGATGATATTAAGCGATTTAAAGTGATCATGTGACCGTATTGTAAAAGTTGTAAATTTAGTATTGTTTTTCTCCATATGAAATATTTGTAGATTTTGCATGCAAATAAAGAATTGAAAAGTACCAAACAATTTTATCAAAAAATTCCATTTAACAATTCACCAAACAATATTATTAGTCAAATATATATTTACGCCTCAACTGTTTTTGCGGCGCTTTTTTTTTTAATAGATTTCTTCTTTTTGACGATACCCTTGGCAATTTTCTTTTGTTTCTTTTTCTTTTCTTTAATCTTAATCTTTTCCTGCAAAAAATTAAATTAAAATATATATTAATAATAATATATTCATATTTCGACTTGAAAAATTTGTTTATATGTTTTATGTTTTAATCTAACTTTTAATATTGCAAATGATCGATTAAAACTTCACAATTTATAAACAGAATCTCAAAATCTTTATGGAGTGAAAAGGATGGAAGAAGAGAGAAGGTCCTGAATCTGAGGTTTTAAAAAAATCTAAAATAACGAATAAATTATTAAATAAGCAAAGAAGAAAATCAAGTGGCTTGATTCAATCAAAATTAAATTAAGGCTTTAATTTCAGTAAATTTTAATCGGTTTACCTTTTCCTGTTTTTCTTTTGCTTTCTTCTTAGGCATTGCATATTTTTTGCAGTGTAATCGACGTTGTCTGAGGATTGCTGCGCGCTTAAGTACAGCTGCATATGGGTTCAATTTAACCATAAGATTCGATTTTTTAAGTGGATTGCGATGGATTGTAGGAGTTTTTACTGTCTTCCGGCGTGGACGAACAGCTTTAACAATTTCTTCGGATCTAATTAGTCTAGAAAAATCAGGGTTTGCCATTTTTGCTGATGGCATGAAGAATTTTTTCTTAACTTCTGATTTGCGCACTTCTGTCCCGTATATTAAATCCAATTTACGAAAAGCGGACTCAGTCCAAACAATTAAGCGTCCCAAATGACCACCAGGTGCTACTTTTAAAAGATTCAAACGATCTACACAAAGCGTTTGAATACCAGGAATATTTCTAAACGCTTTTACCAATCCATTATCTTGATTATAAACAAGAAGTGGTCCACGTTTCATTTTATATCTGCGATTGCGTCCTTTTCCCTTGCCAGCGCGATATCGTTTTGAATTCATAACCTAGAAATAACGTTATGTATTCATAACTCACAAAAAAGGATCATACTTAAAAAAAAATACTTTTTCCACATCTCCAATCAAGTGAATATAGCGGATGAAAAGCATTGCTTCTTTGGTTTTCTTAAAACTTTCGATCTTATCACTAATAACAAGCGGAATTTCCGGTAAACGATCAATGATATGACCACGCGCTTGGACCAAGGCTGGTACTCCAGATGCCGAAATGGCCGACACAATAGCAAAACGTTTCTGAGCAATATTTACGCGTCTATGCCAACGTCGATACACCTTAAATACCAAATGATATACGGCTAAACATAAACTCATATAAAATGAATAAAAGCCCGCATTAAATTGCAAGATCTAAGTACAAAAATCTAAAAATCTAAAAAATCAAAAAGTTTAAGCTTATTAAATCTTTTGGTAAGTACTGATACATAAATGCATTGTTTAATTCGTACAAATATTACATTACCTTAGTGGGCGCAAACATTCTTCCACCCTTGCACATATTTCCATATGCACCTTGGCCACTTCGGTGAGTGCCACCACCACGTACACGAGGAATTCTTGCGACGGCACGACCTGTTCCCCATGATTCGGCCGATGTTTGATGACCTTTAACACACACATCAACGAATAAAGCAGTATCCTTCGAAATAAAATCTGTTATCAAACTTCATAATGCTCCATAACCGAAAATGTAAATCTAAATGGGCAAACAGAATGGTAATCAATCTTAGTAAAATGAATGATGAATTGCAACTGCGCACTTCTATTTGGCTTGACTTTGCACAAATTATGCAATGCACTGTTCGATATGCAAACCAATGCATATAAAAAAACTATCTCCCCTATGTAGTAAAATGAAATGCCTGGAATATGAACTGATGGTCAGGCGTACTGAAAATTGCTCTGCTTACCCATAGGACAAACGTTATTAATAAACTGAAGTAAGAGAAAGAAAATGAACCCGCTTCAGTCGAAACAGCATATGGCTGTCGTTTATTTTTTCTCATCTGATCATGAATGAACGAAACAATGTCGGGTCGAAGTGGCGCACGAAAAACGCCCGGCAACTTGATTTCCGTCGTCGTTGCGTCCGCCTTCTCATTATAAACTCGAACTAACGGCCGCGCAGTCATTCTTTCGACGACCTTCCGACCTTTAACCTTCGCTTTATTTACAGAAAATAAATAAACAAAATAAATATCTTCCTCGAAGTAAGAAAAAATACAAACTATAAAATCATAAAAACAGAGTTCTTAGACGATTTCGAAACCAAATTTTATTAAATGTTTCGCCCCAATCTACCAATCTCTCTAAAATTTCCCCTAAATTTTCAACGACACAGAACACATTTTACCTACATAATTCCCAAATCTTCGTTGTACGTCCCCTTATCACTAAGAGTCAGCCAAGAACTGCTATCTTTTCTCTGACCTTATTCAGTAATAATAATCTGAATCCGAAATCTGCAAAATATAGTGAGTCTGGAGGATTGCCAAGTCACCCGTTGACTCAAGACAACCGTTGCGAGACCAATCATCCTATTTCGAATTCCTATACACCTATGTGCAATATTGACACCAACCAAGTGCTGTTACCAAGGAAGGCCTGACCGTTTCACCATGGAGTCACCTGGAGGTGTAGTTGTAGATTGGTCCCCAGCACCGGGATTTTTGTTATCATGATTGATTCATTCTTGTCAAAAGGACAATAAAATTAAGGAGTAAATTAAGGAAGGAAGAAAATTAAGAATAGCGTGGAAATGTGCCCTAATCATTGCAGTCAGTCTAACCAGCAACGGTGAGAGAAAAAGTGGTAAAACTGATGTTGGTGACGGCTAATAAAGCAATGAGATTCTTGCAGACTTTCTTATTTATTTGTTACTATTAATACATTTATCGACATTTATAAATATTTATTATTAAATTATTTATCGATAATATCGTGAGAGAATGTCGTTGATTACAGTTTTATCAGTTATCAGAGAAATTTCTCGTCAAATGTCCAAATGTCTATGGGCCACCAAATGCACGATGGTTCGTTCATTCATTGATAAATTACAATAAATTCAATGAAGACTGATTACAGAGAAATGGCGCTTTATTTCAACTTTATTTAATTTAACCAACGCAAACAAAAGAAATTATTTATATTATTCGAGAATTTAATTTAATGGTTTTGGATTTTAGCAAATTTTTGAAAGATTTCAGATTAAAGGGAAATTCACAAAGATTTTTGAGAAGGAAGGGAACAATTTTTTTAAAAATGAAGTTATTTATTCAAAAAAAATTTAAAAATTGCGAATCAGTAAAACAAATAAAATAAATTATTATCGCAAAATTGCTTATAATATTTTACGAAATATTCAAATTCTCTTAATTTATGAAAATCTCAATTTTTAAACCGAAAAATTTTTTAAAAAGAACAGAAATGAATAAAGTAAAAGAGATTATTTTAATATTATTTTAATACAATCGAAATAAATTTTAATGCAAAAATTATGGAAAATGAAAAAAAATGAAAATTTTTAAAAAAAATTTATGGGGAATTTTTTGCAAAAAATTTGGGATTATTTCAGTTGTTTGAGGAACGGGAAAAGTTTTTTAGCATTTTCAGTTGTAATTTTAATAACATCTTCAAGAGGAATTTTTTTTATATTTGCGATAAATTCAGCACTAATAAAAATATTTTTCGGTTCATTACGCTCTCCCTTTTTTGGCCCTAAAACCGGTGAATCGCTTTCCAGGCAAAGTTGACCGAGTGGAATGCGTTCGATTAACTTGATCTTCTAAAAATATTCCTATTTGAGAGCGAGAATTTTGATTTGATAAGACTCTACGAAATATACGTTTTCTTCGAGCTCCAACAACAATTACTGCATTCATCACCACCTGCATTCCACGGTTGATGGCAAATTTGCCGTCTTCAAAGAACAGATCGAATCCATGCTGCCTGCTTCCGAATTTCTCGGCGTTTAAACAAATATGAAGTATATATGTTAAAAAGACTCATAATTTCTTTAAAATAATTGTTTTTTCACCTTTTCTGAATTTGAAAATGATGGTGGAATAGAGAAGTAATAGCCAGCATCAATCGCGGGTTGCGCATTTTTCTCATTTCCATCAAAAGCGTGTAATAAAACTCGTCGAGCTCCGTATTTCTGGAGTAATTCGATAACTGGTCGACCTGCCGATCTGCTGTGAACATTTCTATAAAGATTTTTCTCTTCAAGGGGAAATCTATCAGCTAGAAGAGCTGAATGAATGGATAGTAATTTAGATTATTAACGTTTCGAGGACTTCCTTCCATTTTTAATAAATTTATTAAAAATGTTAGCGGTTCGTTACTTAATTAAAATAAATTTCAAGTGCGAATTTCTGATGTAAATTCGGAAATTATAATTAAATTTGCAAAAACGAAAGAATTATTAGCCATTTCTTTCTTCAATCACCTGGAAAATAACCATAATTTCAATGGTGACTGGTAAAATTAATAAGAAATTAGGTAAACAAACAATGGCAGATCGTATTTTAACGCCATATCCATTTGGCTCTTAAAAACTAATATTTGTTGTTCTTTTGCATCGGCTGATTTTAAATAACGAGGAGAAAAATCGAGTCCAACCTAAAATTTTTTAAATGTTCGGTAAAAAAAATTTTTCTCAGTATCAGTCTTATCTCGATGGAAGAAAATATGCCATTGAAATTAAAGTGTTGAGGATCCGAATGTATTTCCGTCCACCGATCTCCGACCTCACCGCGGTGCAACCAAACCAAAAATTATGAGTGCTGTCGGAAGAAGAATGAAGAATTCCATGTTTAATCGAGTACAATTCATTTTTAATTGTCCAAATTCATATGAAATTAACATTGTAACGAACTTCACCAATAGCAGCAATTTTTGCATGATTTTGATCAATTATCTCCGCAACTGATTCGAAATCATCCAAGCGAACGGAAACATCGTCTTCCTTAATTTTCTAGACCAGTTATTTCATAAATCAACAAAGAAATAAAAATTGTCCTTTTGGTCACTAACTTTTTATCCAACCTAAAAAGATCGTAGTAATTGATATTGAATAGAGAGAAATTTGCTAAAACAAAGTAAAGCAAATTACTTACCTGGATAGGGTGAACTCCAAGACATGGGAAACAAAAGCCCGGAAATTTTTCAGCCAATTCAAAAACTTTACTGAACTGCTGGCGATATTCTGAACAAACTAAAGTCGCCAAAACATTTGACTGTTTCGCTCGTTCAATTACCCCTTCTATATCTGATTTGAACTGATTATCAGCCAAATGACAATGACAGTCGATCATCTGGGTAAAAATTCATATCTATTTGCAATACTAATAATTTAGTTAATATGCCGATCATGGAAATTTCGAAATATCTTATCCTAGCCAAATAAGTCAGAAACATGTGTGCTGTCATTCACATTCACACTCGATTTTGACGAAGTGAGAAAAAATAATAAAAAATCAAACTGGTAATACCGACGTATTACCAGTAATTTTATTGTTACGTGGCTCGCTGGCGGTCATTTTTTCTAAACATACTAAGAGAAACAAATCCAACAAGTTGTGCGCGATAACCATTTGCTTTAATTTTTTTACCAGTAATATTATTTATCGAATCTCGAGTTTGCTGTTGAGAACTATTGTATATAAAATTATTTATTAAAATTTCTTTTCCTATAAAAAATTTAAAAAATTTACAAAAAAAAATTAAATTTACAAAGAATTTTCGATAAACTAGAATATTTCATTGATTAAAATTAAAATTACAAATATTTTTTGAAAGATAAAATAGAATTTTTGATGAATTTTGGAGGACTTAACTCTTCGAAATTCGGCGCTTTTCAGCACTTTTTACTTTAATAAGAATTTTCGAGCCAAGCCAATTTGCCAATTAATTTCAAATGACTTTCGCTGAAATAAAAATTTATCCGATACAAAATTCTGGTGAAAAATACCAACAAAAATAAATAAGTGAACAAAGTGAATAAATACATAAATAAATACGGAGTGGTACATATATATCTGATCAGCCAATATAGACTAAGTAAATCTTGAAGAAGCAATCGTGCCACCCAAACCATTACTTTTTTGTTTTGATGGAGAAGAGAATACTCGATTCTTGACAGCAATTGGTACTCCCACATCTTCAACCAGATTTACCTTATATGTTTGAAGAAAATTTATCTCTTCTTTGCAATTTGATGTTTCATCAGGCGAAATTTCTACGGAGTCTGGTTTTTGCACCGTTTCTTCGTTTCGAATCCGTTCTGCCTTGAAATAAACTGGACAAATTGTAATGTTTTTGAAGAGAAAATTGAAGATTTTGATGAAATGAATTTATTACTTTTTCAGTTAATCAATCCAATTCAATCAAATTCAAACTCAGGTTTGCCTAATACAGCTGTCTAAACGACAAAATTTATTTTATCGTTGCCCACATGAAAGAAATCTTATGACCGTGTAAAAAAAATTTTACACCCACCCAAAAAATTTTACCAATTTTTTTACACCCACAAAATTTATATATTTCTTAAATATACAAATAATATAGCCAGTTCAAATAATGATGAATGATAAAAAGCTTCATCATTTCATAACTTAAGGTGATAAATAATCGAAAAAAATTTTCTGAAAATTTATCAAAATAAAAGGAAAATTTGCATAAATAACAAAAATTAACTGAGAGAAAGGTGTGAAGATTAAGGATATTATCTGTACATATCTTTAAAAATCTTTCACCGGTTAATATTTAAGAAAAGTTAAATCTTAATTATCAATCTGCGATGAATGGGCAGATGGATCCACAACAGCTAATCGAATTTCGCTAATTCGGCGAATTTATTCGAATAAGGCGACATTTCATTGAAATTACTGAAATTCAAACGTTAGAAAATTTACTTGAGCTTGGAGTTGGCGTAAACGATGAGTAAGCCTCTTCAAATTCCGCTGCAATGAAGAATTTTTCCTGATGATATTTTTCACTTTAGTATGCATTTCATTCTCTTTTTTTTCGAATTCCTGCAAATTAACAGTTTTATTTTAACAAAACTTAAAGATAAAGCTAACAAGATTAACAAGATTTTAAAATCTTTTTTTTATCCAAAAAGATGAACTTACATCAATCAACTTTTTGATTTCAGCATTACCTAACGGCCTATCACCCCCGAATTTCAAATTTATAATATTAGCACCCACGTGTTGTGAAGAACGACATTCAGGACAACTGAATATTTTGAACGGCAAAAACTGAAAACGAAGCATGCATGTTTTTAGTTGAAATAACAGAATTAATAGAAATGCAGATAGTAAAAATAATTTTAAAAAAAGGAGAAAAACTAACAAGATTGGTTTGTTTAACCCAACAAGAAATACATTCAGTGTGAAATAAATGGCCACAATGAAGGGCACAAATATCGTTACGAGGAATTATATCATAGCAAATTGGGCATTGAACAAAATCAAGCGATGTCATTGAGAACTACAAGAAACATTTGTTGCAAATATTATTGCTATTTTCTTAAGAATTTAACCATTTCTAGCGATGCTTGCTAATTTAACCATTTCGTTAGCTTGCCGAATCAGATAAATTTTGCCCATGAATCATTCAGTGACAGAAATACGAGTGAACAGCCAGTACCGCCTTCATTTTTCAAAGACAGATTTATATTCCTACCGGAAATAGAATAGGCGCTCCGTAATGATAATAATAGCTCACTATGAACCATTCTAATTAGTTTTATGATTCGGCAACACCGTCGTTCGAATTACCAAGTGCGTCGACTCTATCCGAATTTGACAGCCATTTTCGATAGCAGTCATTTTACTATTAAGCCACCAGCTGCTTATATGCTTGATTAAAACTGAACCTCGACTTGAAGAGACAATTCCTTTATTAAATCACTGATAGGATTTCTGATAAACAGGCGCTGTTTCGGGATTTGACTGATCGTATAAATTTCCAAATAGCAACAACTCGCACTCCGGTAAACCTCAAAGTTAAATTATTAAAAAATTTTTGAATATAAAAAGAAATGGCAGACGAAATCGAATTAGATGAAAAATTTAATGATCGAAAATAGAAATAAAAAATATGACAACAAATTAATTAAAACCATAATAAAATCATATTTAAAATTAATGAAGATAAAATTTATTAAGTTTTATGATTAATAATCCAGCGCAACTTTCGCTTAACGATGATATCTTTTTACAACATTACGAAATTACGACTTCGTGATGTTTGATTCTTTTATCCTCCATATTTTTTACTATTTATTTACAATAGCAATATTTAGCAATATTTTATTAAACAATCAAACCATGAACTTCTCAACATATTTCTCTACAATTATTATTATCTCTATAATTGACAAAACGAATGATAATTTTATACTCTGCGACATTTCTGCCAAATAATACGGCCAAATATTCTCTTAGTCAGCATTCATTTCTAACAGTCCTCATCATTTCTAAATTCAAATCTTATCTGTAAAGGAAGTTTAGAGCAAAAAATTGCGCGAAATATAAAGTGAATTTTCAAAAACGAAAGAAATTATGAAATAAAAAACAATTTAAATTATTAATTAAGAATTTTTACTCCAAATATTATATCTTTTTCTTTATTTTTAAATGTTTAGCGCAAATGTTGATGAAAACAAATGATATGAAATTCAAAAGCAAAAAAGAAATGAAAGGAATGCAATATAAGAAAAAGAACCATAGGATCAGTGGTTTGATATTGCGATTTCACGAATTACATAGATATTTTCTTATTATTTTCTTTTGAAACTGTAAGCCAATATAGCAAGCATAAACACCAACTTGTTTTAATATTCTAATAGTTAACACCTAATGAAAGAAATGCGTCAAAGGATATTGGTTATCCTGGTTGTAGATCGGTTTATGAAACTGCGAACCATTAAAACGCTTAACATCGAAATTCAATCTAAATTATTCTTGTCTGAAAAAGTCTCACATGAAACAGCCGAATAAAATCCTTTAAATAGAAATCCGATTTTGTTCATTTTTAACTCTAAGACTGTGCAAATTATGCATATTTATTTGCAGATACTAGAGAGCCAGTTAGAACGATACTAAAAATATTTATCAACCTTCAGGCCACCTTTTCAATCGGCATTTATCACCATCAATGTTATTAATGTCCACCATAGCCTCGAACTATTTCCATCGAATCCACTTTCTTCAATCTGAATTCACCGATTGCTCTTACCATAACCGCACAATATTTTATAACCATATATGAGATCTTAATATATTCCTTATATTTTGAATGACCTTGCCACGAAATACGAATAAATTTAGTTCAGTTGCTAAGATCAAATTCAAATCATCAGACTAATTAACCGCTCGACTTTCATTTCTTATTTAATGACAATTATTTGTTATGATTGAATACATCTGACCTTTAATTACCCATTTAATACAAATAATAGAACCAGAACAATTGTTTACAATGTAAATGTTTGAGACTTTATTTTCCCTTTCGATGATGGTCGATTAATGTATTCGAAGATGCAGCTTAGCACGTCATTTCCATCTGGAATTTTATTTTTTACAATTAAAATTGATTTTTAATAAATTAAAAATATCATTATTATTAGTTATTGCTCGAGAATGAATTCATTATAATTTTCTAAATTGTTTTATAATCGTATTTGGCTCGTCGGTGGCTCAGTAGCGAGGTAACTGCCAACGAGGAATAAGTTTTGAGTTCGAATCCAGCTGAAGCACCACATTTCGTTCCGCCGCAGCGTCGCCTAATTAAGAGAGCAAGGGAGAATAGATCGGTTTTGCTCAATTCAGCGTACAATGCTGAAGTTCTATTCCCCACAAGAGCACCTGTCCAAATATCCGGCGATGCTGGCGACTTATCTCTATTTCCATCGCCAAGGAACTCCTTGGCATATTTATGTAAACCCATATGCTAGCAGATCGAGTATGATCAGCAATGGTGGGTGATCCTAGAAAAAAAAATGGAATTTACTAGTATGTTTGATGATCTAATATAATAATCAAAGATTCACTGATAACTATATTTACAATGTGATGGAATAATTGTACTTGAACCAACGTCTCTTGCGAGTATTCTCACGATCAGCTCCATATCATCACAAATTCAGTTCAGTAACCTAGATTTACTACATTTTAAAATTAAAGTATTCTATTAAAAATAACCTGAGGTCACGAATATCTTTGCACTTAAAACTTTTTACATTAAAATAGTTCTAACCGGCGTAATACGGTTCTTTATGCTGCATGGCAGCTCCGGGACAAAGCAGTAGGATCAATCAGATAGTTCGGCAGAGCAATATTAGTCTATTCTTGACTGTCCAACAGTTCTTAATCCTTCATAAAGTCGCATTTTTACTGAAGTGGAAGTAAAGATTGGACTCAAAAATCACAATAATTATAAGAGAGGTTCGAAAAGATTTAAATCATTTTATATGCTTCGAATCATCTATAGTTTTTTTCCTTACGAAAACCTATTTCAAACAAAAAATCACAGTTTTTCAGAACCAAAAAAAGAGAATTAGTTATAAAGTGGAGAAACCAGTTTCTTGCTCTTATTTATAAAAATGTAATCCTATTGAATTTGCTCGGATATATTTATGCCGTGTGGCATGCTTCCTCTCTTTGAAAATGTTCCTCAGTTTTATCAATAAAATCTTATCTTCTTTGTTATTTCCAACCTTTATTTTTGGCAGCACCAAATTTAAACTACAAATCTACAAACAGGATTTTCGGTATCGTTTATGTCTTTATTCGCACTATTTAGAGATAACTGGACTAGTTGTATGCTAGTCTTCTTTAAGCACAGTATTAATTGGGCCTTAAATTCTTGAATCAGTTTCTTCGTAGTTACCAGTATCGCATTGCTGCTAGTGGGTGCAATAATTTACGATCTTGAAAAAAAAATGAGATTGTACATATATATATACATATAATTATGAATCAGATATATACATTGAATTAACTTCTGTTGCAATTTTCCAACCGAAATTTTGTGAATGTAATCTATTAAAACGTAATATTTGCATTCTGTTCAGGCCAATCTTAATTTAAGGATCATTTGAAATTTGAAATTATAAAAATTTTTTTATGTATAAAGTCAGATTAATATAAATTAAATATTAATATTAAATTTAATATTAAATTTTGTATCGAAATTATCAATCTGTAAGAATCAATTGAAAAGTCATAACTTTTTTACACTTCGTTATTGCAATAAATTTTTTTTTTAATTCTTTTGTTGTGACGACGACCATTCATTTATTTTTAGACTAATTAATAAATGAATTAATTAACGCGAAAAATTCTTAAAAGCAAACTTTCTTTTTATGTTAATTGAAGTGCCTTTCAAAAAAAAAGATTTGATTTCCGCAAAATCCTTTCCATGAAATTCCCTTCTCTTTGAAATTCCCTTTGAAATAAAGCAACAATATCAGTTCGAAAAGCAATTTTAAAAAGCCTAAACAGCGTAAAAGAGAGAAAACACAAATTTGAAAAAAAACTATTATTTAACTAATGAATAACCCTTTAATTTATTGTCATTTCGTTTCATTTACTGGTGTTGAGCAACCAAAATTTTAGATAAACATCCAGACCCTCGTGAACCGTCCTTCATTTTTTCTATCTAAATGAGAATTGTTAAATGAAAAAAACAATTCCCAAACATTCAAAACTGCTGGCTATACTCTACTGGGAAACTTCTCCACTTTTTTCACAAGAAATGATGTGCTATCACTACCCAACTGGACTTCACTTCTAACGACAAATTTACTCTCGTCAAGGCGAATGTACCGAATTATAATATTTAAAATAACCACTTAGCAATTATAACACTCGATATTGCTGTTAGCGAATAATTCAGATTCATAATGGACCATTTTTTCAATAATTTTTTTACTAGTTCCTTTTTTTAATTTTAAAAGAACTGAACGATGTGAAGGAACAGAGAACTTCATTTCTTAGAGTATTGGTCCTCACAATTATCCTTTTTTTTAAAGACCCACGAATATCAAAAATGAAAGAAAGCCAATCAGTGATAATTTAACAGTTACACCATTTATAAAGTTCATTCCTTTTCTCTTTCAAGAAGAAAAAATGACTAAAGTAATACAAAATAATGAAACATACTTCACGACTTTTTTCGAAAAGTGCAAAAATTTTTTCAGATCTTTTCCGTTTCAAATGGCGAGACTTTATTATTAATTTATTTCGTTGCTTTCGGATTTTTTCATATCGATCTTTAGCTGCCTAAAACCGTCAAAACGAATTTAAAAAATTGATTCAGTTATGTTATGTCAAACGCCATTTTTCAAAAAATCGAGTAGAATTAATACTATATATTTATGCACCTAAAAATCTAAAATTCGGGGACTTCGGTGGAAGTTAATTGTAATTCGATACATCTTCAGAAAATCCTCGTTGAATATTCAGTCAAATGCATAAAAATTTTAGCTCTTCAAATTCATATGAATTTCTCGACTGGCTGACTGTGAAATAAAAATCATTTTTTTTTAAACGGACATACCTTTAAAGAAAGCTTTAATTTTTGATTTTCAAGAAACGCTTCTTCATCGAACGTGTAAAATAATCGAATCGGATGGCGACCGTGTATTTTAACGGCACATTCATCAGCCGCACATTTAACATCAACCTAAATAAACAAATACATGAAAAAAATAATCGAATTTAAATTTTGCTAATTAAATTATATTAAAAAATATAAGTGATAGATAGAAAATAAATTTTTTTCGTTAAATTCAAACGAAAAGATGAATAAAGGCCCCACTTTTAAGATCAAACATCATCACTTGAATAATTTTGCTGCATCCTTTAATCCAAATGAAAACTGCTCCTTTAAGAAAAAATTAATGAAAAAAAACCTTAACGTGATTTACGAAAGACATCGCACATGCATCGTGGTACAGATGACCGCATTGAAATATCGCAAATATCGATGAATTGTCGATTTCTCGCTTGCAATAAACACACTTCTCGAATTGTTCGAACTGGTGATCAGCCATAGCCTTCTACCAACAAAGAAAAACATACATTATTTTAGCAGAGGAATTACTTTTATGCATTAAAATGCGGTCTAATAAGGCACCGATGGGTTAGGCCCCTTCCTTTTCCTCTCCCTATTTGTTGATTTGGTAGTATTGCAAATTTTTCATGCGCTGTATTTGCTACAATAAAAAAACACATAAAAGCATGAAACGAATAACTTCGATAATTTTATGCAATAAAAGCCTTTTAGTAGTTCATCGATGCAAACGATCATTATTCTTCAAGTATATTCCATTACCGCACTATTTGAATATTTACAGCCCAGGTTTATTTAACAGTTTTTACAAAACACACACATGACTGATTATACGACATCGTCCCCCCCCCCACCCCCCCCCCCCCTCCCCTAATTCTCGCAAATAAACCACCACTGTCACCCTTATTTCTCTTCGTCGCATCCACTCAGTGTAGCAAACACAATTTAGAGCAAATGTGTTCAACTGGCGAGCAGCTCGATGCGTCCTCGCAGAGTTAATAATGTGGCCCGTTGTACGTCTGAGAGCTCAATGAGGACTGCAACAAGCAGAATAGAGACGCAATAATGTCAAATATGGCATTGTCTTTATATTCCTCTCTTTTAATTTCACGGTTAAAATTTTATTTATTTTCGCATAAATTTGGCTCGGTACCGTTTTTTTTCGCTAACTGCGGACAAGGAAAGCCAAAACGTTTGTAAAATCAAAATATTTACCTCAAAAGATTATCTGCCAATTCCATTTCGTTAAGAAATTACAATTTTGTCTATTGAATCGTTCATTTTTCTCGTTAAACATGTGAAAAAAGCCTAACTTAAGGAACGCAAACTCGGCCAAAAAGAACGAAACAAGCCTTATGAACGAACAAAAACAAATCAAATGGTCGTGCAGCACAACGTAATCGTTTATACTAAATTTAAAAAGGCTTCTAGGAAAAAGAAACGGCCACCTGGCTGCTGAACGCTCGGTGTTTTGTCCCTCATGCTAAGCACAGTGATACTTCCAGCTGGGATCGATTATGGATCCACTGTGCATTGATCCATCCATCTTCATTCAAATACCACTTGCATAAATAATTCATCGCCTTCGCTGGTTAAGGCACGTTCTGCGTCGTTCACCACAAGAGTTGACGCATATTTCGTTATCTGCTAAACCATGTGATGGTTGGCGTCAAAAGCGAGTTGGGTCAACCAAGACCTGGATTGATACAGTCAGGAAAAATTTCGAACGTATAGATGGACCAGCAATATATGGACTTGGACGATGGAAAAAGGAATGGCTTCTATTACTGTCGACGATATCATCAGACCGCGACGCTTGGAAGCGTCTTACCCTTGCAGCCATTGGAGCCAACCTAACCAGTAATGGTGAGAGCAATTAGAAGAAGAAGAGTTCGACTGTGCGTATTTCAAGATTTTTGTCACCTATTAGATTGGTGTTTTATTCAAATTTGAGCAAAAGCTTGTTTCATTGTCAGCTTGAATGATTCCCGCAGTAATAATAATTACCTTTTACAGCATAATAGAGAGATAAGGTGCGCAACAGCAAATAAGACTCCACTTTTAATGACAGGCTTACTCTTATCAACGAAACGTATCGAATTCGTGTCGTTTGATATCAGTCAAAATAATCAGTATATAAAAAACGTTCAATGTGATTAATGCTTGTTCCACTGGCTTGTATAAAATCAGTACGAAATCAATAAGAAATTTTTACCAAGGAATCAGTTAGAATTAGAAATACAGACGGTTCCTCACTTTTGTGTCCTCAGCATCTGCCAGATCCCTCACTTCAGTTGTCTCCTCAGCATCGGCCAGATCCTCACGTCAGTTGCGTCCCCAACATCGGCCAGATCCTCACGTCAGTTGCGTCCTCAACATCGGACAGATCCTCGCGTCAGTTGCGTCCTTAGCTTGCGTCAGCTCGAGCTTATAATAATTATTATCGAAAATTCTCTCTGCCACCATTTTTTAAATATCAAATTCAATAAATAAAACAGAAAAAAAAATAAAGATTTAATGAAAGACGAAATTTGTATATCCCGCCAGAAAGGTGATTATTAAAGCGAATGCCTTAATTAAAACTTAACAGCGAAATATCCATCGAACGGTTTGTATGCTTGTTATGAAATTTTTCATTTCATCATGAAGAGTTTTTTGTTATGTTAGTGTGTGTGGTTTTAAGTGAGGGGAGAGAGGGGAGGGGAGACTGGTGAGAGCAGTCAGAGCGAACAGAGGGAAGAGGGAGAGAAAGACGAAACGACGAACGAATTTTCGTTCGCTGGTTTCTCTCTTTCATACGCGCACCAGTTCCGAATTATTTGGTTTTCTTCACTGACTGGGAAAGTGGGGCAGTTGTAAGCGTTCCGTCCGGCTAGCACCAGCTGAGGTCGTTCTTCGTTCCAGCTCGTGCATTTCACGCGCTTTTCACGCACGTACTTCCCCATAATCATCAATTTCGGAGTCCTTTCTTTGTCGTTCTGCACCTTCATTAAATGAATTCGTTAGTCATTATCACGTATTATTTATATCTAAATGCCTTTTTAATTGGAATATTTTTTATTTTTCGATGGATTTCAAATATTTAAAACGCTCATCATTTTTATACAATTTTTGCCAGGGAGTTCCCTTTGGCTGTAAAACTACCCGTGGATCCAACGCCACTCGGGCTCTTTGAAAAGCAGGTCCACTCCTGTCTGGAACGGAACTCCAACATCGGCACTCCAAAATGAGAGCAGCAATTTTGTGATCGTTCTATCATTCAATTATTCTATTTTATTAATATTTTATTAATAAAAAAAATTTAGAAATGAATAAGATAAGGAGTGAATTGCCAGATCAAGTTGCATATGTTTTGCAAGTACCAGATGATGAAACACCTCGGTTTATTCGCAAATTATGGAATATTCTTGGTGATAATACTTATTCAGATATTGTGCGGTGGGATGAGGTCGGTCTATACTTTTCTTTACTTCTTTTTAATCAAATTGTTAATTTTTTAAGTTTCAGAATATATATTTTTCCTAATTAAAATAAAAAAATGTAGGATATTATCATGGTGAAAGAAAATGTTTTTTATTAGATTTTTGAATTTGTTGTGTAATACAATAATAATTTGAGTCGTACAATCATAAAGCATTTTTCTATCAGCGCCGGCATAGAAATGTATATGTATATGGAGAACTGACAGATTCTTTCGAAATGAGAACTGGTGTCTGTCAAGACCCCTTTCCCCTTCATCGTTGAGTTATGCGATATATCAGATAATGGATATTGCCTGTCGGCACTCAAGAGATGTACAAATCAATTCAGAGCACAGTATCACAGTATCCTAATGTGCTGATTATTTAGCTCTTTCCGCTGACAATTTTGATGTAAATGATGACAGTGTGTCGACAACTGCAGCGAGAATCGTACTCAGGTGTAATGTAAATAAAACGAAAGTCTTCTCGTCTTCTGTATATAATATCTGGTAAAATATCTATTTTTATCAATTCATTGAGGAAATGCCAAGTTTTAAATATCTTGGGTCCACTCTAATCTCAAACGGCCATGCGAATGATACAGTTATAATCCTGGGTAACGGTAGCTAGGAATTGTTTTTCTGATTGGCAGAATTTTTGTAGCCGTAATGGAAGATATGTAATCGTCGCGAAATCTTCATAAAAACGAAGGTTCATATTTTTATAGCCGTAGTTCGCTATTTTGTGATATGGCCGATGAGAGTGGACAATACTAAGAAATTATCATTTGACCACTCTTGTGTAAGATTTTACAGGTTCGCTGAGAGGATAAAATCTCATATCACTGCACTCACTTTCGCTCAGATATCATCCCCATTAACATAATAGCGTTGTCTTCGCTGATTAGGGTACTTTCGTTGTCACCCAGTTGAATAGATGGTGTCAAAAGCGAGGTGGGCCTATTAAGACTTGATCTAGTAGTCACGAATGATTTTGAACGCATAGGGGAGACCAGCGATATAGACTTGGGTGATGGAAAAAGGAATGGTGCATGGTTCACTCTCCACGATAGCATGAAATCGAATTGTTTGGAGATGTTTTGCTCTTGTACCCTTGTTGTCAATGGAGCCAGCGTAACCATCAGTGGTGAGAACTGTTGAAGTCGTATACGTGGCATATATTACTTAAAAATATTAGTTGCATTTTTTTATTGTCTGGTCTCGGCTGAAGTAATCTTATCATTTAAAGTTAATTCTGCGTTGCACTTTTGTCTCCAAGAGCAAACAAGAGCGCTTTTATCCTAATTGCCGATGGAGTCAGAAATGATGACTAAAACAATTTTTTTAGTATGGTAATATAATTATTTTTTTGTGGTTCCGTATTTATTTTTTAGATTTCATTTATTAGATTTCATTCATTTATTATATTCAGAAAACTCTTTTACAGAGATTTTTTTACATCACAAAATTTTTTTGGAAGGATTTTTGTGTTACCGTAATTAACTAGAGATAAAAAAATATATTCACTCTAATATTGCTTTTTTTTAATTTGTGTTTCTACAATAGTTATAATATTTTAGTACTAAAAGTAACAACAATAATAAATTAATAATAATTAATAATAATAAGCAGTAACAACGAATAATAATAGTTGTATAAAAATATAATAATAATCAATAAAATAATTAAAAACAAAATAATTAATAACAAAATAATTAATAGTGATGGTATTAATGATATTAAAATATAATAATAAACAATAATAAAATAATTAAAAACATAATAAGAGTATTAATAATAACAAATAATAATAATTGGTAATCAATAGTAATAAATAATAATGATAAAAATGATAATATTTTTGCAGAGTGGATACAGCTTTCATATCGTTGATCCATATACATTTTGTCGTGATGTTTTACCGAGTTATTTTAAGCATTCCAATTTGAGTAGTTTTATTCGCCAGTTAAATATGTGTACGTCTTTATTTAAATAATTCTTACCTAAACCTTATTTCTTTGAATTTTTTCGGTTGGTTGGTTTTTTTCATTTATATAATTTCCATATATATTCTTATTGTTACTATTTCTGTTACTGTTTCGATTTCGAAAATTAGTGAAAAAATTTGTAATTTGTAGATTCCAGCGATTTTTTGCTTGTATTACGATATTCTGTAAATTTTTACGAACTGTTCGTTTTCTTTATTCAATTTTTGTCTTTAAAAATACCTTTGATTTTATATTTATTGAAGTGAGAAAACCACTGGTGAATTGAAATATTTTAGATGGCTTTAAAAAAATTACTCCAATTGATAAGACGGGTTTGTTTAATACCGAAAGTGACCGAGACCACATCGAATTCTCACACCCTTTTTTTATGAAAGGTCATCCAGAATTTTTACAAAACATAAAAAGAAAAGTTTCTCGTGTCACTGAATCAACGCCGAATACAGTGACCATCCAGGCAACTGATCTTTCCGTTCTTCTTAATGAAATCCGACAACTTCGAGAAAAAGAAAAAGCAGTTGACGCGAAACTCTCAAATTTGATTAAGTATTCATTTTAATTTTCCACTAAAAACAAATCATTCCTCGTTTATTGAGACAATATTGTTTGGTCTGGTGCCAATTTAAATCTGTTTTTTTTTGTACCATTTCTGATTTGTTCGATTTCTCTGTTTTTTATGTTATCTCAAAGAATTAAGGTGGATTTTCAACAGTCGCTTTATTTATCAGTAATTTTGGTGTCAATAGCAGGTTTATCTTTCTTAAAAGACTAATAATTGAACTTACCTTATTCCAGGCAAAATGAAACAGCTTGGGAGCAGCTCGCACATATGAGAAACATGCATATGAAACAACAGCATGTGGTGAATAAAATTGTCCAATTCCTCGTTGTATTGGTTCGTTCTTCACAAACGCGCTTGGGGAAGAGGAATTTGCTTGCAATCGATGAGGTAGTTTCTATAAAAACATTTTTCCTTTTACAACTTTCCTACACAATTATGGTACTTTCCAAACAAAAAATTACATTTTCAGTAATTAATCTGGCCAAATTTAGGTGGGAGGAAAACGCGCTCGGACGTCAACTCCTGTATCACTTGGTCGTCAAGATAATAATCTAACGGAAGTACTTGATCGGTTACAAAAAGTAGTTGCTGGAGAAAGTGAATTGACATTTTTTAATCAGAATATCAATACGATTCATAATCAGGGGCCCATTATTGCCGATGTCACTGATGAACCAGATACATCATCGAATTCCACGCCATCGAGTGCATACAGGAAGGATTCAGCAGCAAAGAAAATCATAGATAATAAACGAGCCACCGCTTCATCTAAAGAAACTGATCCTACTTTAGCCCAAGAAATTTTTCTTACACCAGTGATCGATCGCCAGTTATCTGATGATTTGGCTGAATTTTTTACAGATCAGACGCATTGCATAGATAATTGCCGTGAATTTTTGGCAAATAACTGGGATGTTTTCAACAATTTTATGGACGAAAAAGATCATCGACAAAACCAGGAAGAACAAGAAAAAGAAACACGACCGCAAGTGCAGCAGCAACAACTTATGCTTACAGGTGCCGACCCGCCTTTGGCATTAAATAATATTCCAAATGAATATAATGATAACCTGCTTAATTTTGATCCTGATTTATTTCTCGATGTACCTATCTCTTCTCCTTGTTCTAATCTTGTAACACCTTCTGCTACACCAAAATCAGTAAATAAATAAATTTGTATATGATTCTCATTTTTCTTATTACTTGTTCAAAAAAAGGAATAAATGTTTATTAAAGAAAATCCGCAAAAATTATTGTGCTAAAACTGAGTGTCAGCTTTTGCAAAATGTTTATGAATCAAAAATATCTAAGAAAAAATAAAAATTAATCAGGGTTTGTGCTCTGGGTTGGAGGAACTATTTCCAGTCGTTTTTTTGCTCGCGGCACGGGAGGTGCAGTATTTCGAAGTTGCTGTTGAGGGTCGAAGTAGACGATATCATTGTTATGAAAATTGGGTACAGCTTGTGGAATCGGTGGCTGCACAAAACTCGGGGTCCATCCAGGCACCTGTACAGGAGGGATTTGGGGCTCGTTGAAAGAATTCGCGACTCTTTGCGTCGAGTAACGTTTACCGCCCTGAACTCTCGATACATTCGGGTGCACATTCTGGCTCGTTGATCTTTGGTTGTCCTTGTAAGTCATATCGTTTCTATGACTTTGTATTTGATTAGTTCCCGTTTTCTCCTTGTCTGAATTGAAGTATGTATGTTAAGTTTTATTTTGAAGATTATGATAAAGGATTTAAAGGATATAAAAGAATTTGCATGGAAAATTTGCACAAATAAGTTCTTTCTTGAGTTTCTTAAAGTTATTTGGAAAAGTAAAAGCAAAAAGTCATTCGATAGGTAGTGTACCGTGAAAAAATGCATACATCTTTGGGATCTTTGAAGCAAGTTGAAATTCGGCCTGATTAAGCGAGCGTTTCGACGTGTATTGCGTGTTTGTTGCTGAAAGGGCCTTTTTGTTCCTTGATTTTCATATTTCTGTTCATATCCCTGATTTGTTCGTTGATTCTCTCGCCTACTCCCTCTCATTATTTTACTGCCTCGTCTAGGTCTAAAACCGCGTCGTATGGCACCACCACGTCCTCCATCTCTATCGATCCCTGCTGATCCTTCCTCCCCATTTTTATCCTGAAAGTGAATTTCCGGAATTTCTGTGAACAAGTTAATCTCCCAATTGTCTTCTGGAATAACTTTAAAATCAATCAATCTGCATGAAATTTGCAACTCATTTAAAATATTGTGAAGACAAGGAAAATTTCACATCAAAAATATTAAAAAAACAAATATTTATTTCTTTGGAAGATAGGCGAAGTGCAAGTTCCGATTCATCTAAGCGGATATGTAAAGTGCACCTATATTGTTGTGGAATTTTCAACGTGAAATAAACATTCTCGACTGTTTAATTCTAATTTAATTTAATTTCTCGCGGAATAATCGGTCTTATCCTAGTGATAAGACCTAAGCCAAGCCGGAAGGCTACTTCTTAAAATTAAAAATTTAAGTTGAATGGAAGAATTGGAGACTTTTTAATAAAAATTGGGGATTTTAATAAAAATTAAACATTGGGGATTTTTTAATAAAAATTTTAACAATACCTCATAACGAATATCAAAACCATATCTGTTAACAAGCTCTCGTCGAGATTTTGGTCTTTGTGAACGTTCATCGAAACGATCGTGCTTCCATTTTCCATCAGCTCGAGAACGAACTGGTCCACTTTCAATTATATCGTTTTCTATATTACGTGAATCATGCATATAGTATTTTCCCGATTTTGGTATATAAGCTGGATTATCAACAATCTCATCATCATCTGGTTCATCATCGTCTGCCTAAAATGTGTAACAAAATTTTTAAAATAATAAATTCACCATATTTATTATAAAACTTTTGTTATTCAGGTAAAACAAAATTCAAATAGATTTGTTTTAAGAAAAAATGATAAAGAGAAAAGATAAAAAAGTAAGTAGAAAAGTAAAGAAAACGAATTGCCAGTGTATCATTACACTGATATTTAGAATTTCAATAGTTTTTTACACTTAATTATTTCTGGTTAAATTCGCTCCACTGGCTATTAGGATGAGGTATTTGCTTTACAAAGGTATTTCCCTCATTTGGAAATCGAAGTACAAGTAGGCCTTTTATAATAAATGGTGCAAACCACGATGCTAAAAATGGTGGCCTATGCCAAGGGTTATGAAACTTTATGAATCCTTTGGGAGGCTATGGCTATCCTCAGAAAACGCACATGAATTCAGTTCGAATTTTGTTTGAATGGAACAAATCATTTTTAATAATGGCCATAGTTTATTACATTCATTCAAAACTCTGCGGCAGAAAAATTCAATATTTTAAAGTTTTAAAATTTTAAGACAGTAAGGATGAATATATCATTATTGGATAAGATTTAATTTGTCACTGCTGTCACTGTTTTTGATATTTTTATAATTTTATAATTATGATTTTTATTTGAAATTATAAATAATAAAATGAAGTGAACAACATAAAAAGGATTAGAAAAGAAAGAAATAAAAATTAAAAAAAAGCTGAATACTATTTTTTAACCTGTCAAAAGCCAAATCGCTAACAAAAAAATTTATATCAATCTTGTCGAATATGAGATAAAACTTAACTAAAACTTATGGATATGACCACTTTTATAACATAAATACGAATATCGACCTAGCCAGGTGTACCAATACATTCATTAAACAGTAGGTAGTGTAATTTACCTTAAAAGACTGAAAAAAACTATGTCACCAGTTTCTATAACTGGCATATTACTTGCTTGCTGCACTAATTTCTTTGCATTATATAGTCGGCTTAGCCGTTAACATAAGATATTTTTTACATTTTTTTTTATATATTTAAAAAATATCAGACCGAAGCAAAAAAGGAATCTATAAAAATAAAAAAAATGAAACAATTACAAGATAAATGCGGTGAAAGATCTATTAAGCTAAGTCAGAATCTTTGGTGGAAAGAAAAAAACCAAACCAAAACTGCAAAAAGCAAACAAACCTCATTGTATTCCTCGTCCTCCTCCTTGCTGTCCTCATTTTGTTCAACGACTGAACTCTGAACCTCGTTCTCCTTATCTAATTCTCCAATATAGTTTTTATCCTCCAATATTTTACTTTTATTTTCTAAAACAATCGAATTATCATTTATTTTATTTACATCCTTGCTGCTATCAAGTTTCAATTTTTCTTCATTAACAACTGCTTCCGGATTCTTTGCAGAAATTTCATTGCTGTTTGCTTTGGTTATAATATCTACAGAATTCTTCTCCTCAGCAGAAACATTTTTAGCTGCATTATCGTCAACAAGCACAGAATTCGTTGCGTCATCATTAAATGTCGAAGTACTACTAGCGAGACTAGTAGATATTGCATTTGCGACATCAGTGGAACCAGAATGAGCAACAATGTTAGAAGTGCCACTGGTGGAACTAGCAGAAGTATTAACAAAAGGAGAAGGAGAAGCAACATTTTCAGTAGAAGTAGCAATATCGGTATCAGCAGACGTAACAGCAATGTTACAAGCAGATATAACTTGGCAATTAGTCGATGTGACGAGAGAGGTGTCAGCAGGCATAGTAGAGGGGAATTCAGCAGAACTAGCGGTATGGGAATCGGCAGAAGTAACAACAACCGAGTGGGTATTAGTGGAACTGGAAGTATCCAAAGGGAAAGCAGAACCAGAACCACTTAGGCCTTTCTCCTGCTCGTCATTGGTACTACTAACCACATTCGATTGCCTCTCATTTGAAGATTCCACTGATAAATCTTCGCGGTTGAAGTTCGTCGAACCACCCGAAATTTCTTCTTTATTTACCGATAAATCATTATTATTCGCCATTTTTTTCACAACTTCAGTAGTCATTTCGCAATTATTTATAATTTTATCTTTATCATTTTCAACAAAATCAATTTTGCATTCGGAAATTTGATTCGATAAATCACCAACTAATTCTTCGCTACCCATTATAACCCTTCATTCACAACCCCGCCAGTACCACTTCGAATCCGTTCATCATGTTGATCACAATTATTTCAAAAATACGCCATTCATATTTTCGTTGTAAGAACCATTTTTACTTTTGATTTCTAAGTTATCAACTTGTAGCAGCTTCACACCGAACTCTAAGTTTTTTCCTACCATATTGTGAACTATAAATATATTTACTCGGATGTTGGCTAATGAAAGCTTTCGGTTGTCAACTTCGGTTAAAGCAAAGAAGGAAACCTACTTATTAGAACCCTTACTTATTCGATATGTAAAAAAATATAAAGGAGTTTAAAAATGGCTAATTAATGTTTTCATGGTACTTTATCGTAATATTTGTCTTATCACCCTTTTCCTCGCCAATCTTTCTATTATTTTTCATGATTTTGTTCATTTCTGGCATAAAATTATTCAAATAGAATGCACCATTACCACAATTAGGCAAATCATAAGTACGAATCCGAATCCTTGAAATTTAAAAATATTTAAAAACTCGAAAAACTCTTGAAACTTTCAAGTTGCGGAGAGTGAAGAATGGTCAGAAATTCCTTTGATATTTCGTCCAATAATGATAACTTCAGCTATTTTAAAAAAAAGTCTATTTGAGAATTATTTTCACAAGGAAGAAACAAGGAAAGCATTTAATCAAAAATATTCGCATTTAATTATAAATATTCTGTAAAAGATAATAAAACGGTTATGGCTATGTTATTTGTTCGAAAAAATAAAATTGAGAGCATCATCTTCATCTAATTCATTATCAACAGTTGCTAAAGGCCCACTATTATTTGAAATGGGTTGAGTATCTACAATTATATTATCATCATCCATTATTATATCTGAAAAAGAAGACAGAGAACCATTTGAATCTCTCGAAACTTTAAATCTATTCTTATCAATTCTCGATAAATTATCGGCATTTTCACTAGTCCTTGGAAAGTCGTTAACAACATCTTCAGTCCTTGAAAGATCGTTAACGTCCTCTTTGCTCTTTGAAAAATTATTGGTATCACCTGTATCATTATTTTTTATTTCTTCGTTCTGGTCTTCATTTTTAGCCATGTTCAATCGAATTCTTTCCATTTCCACCTATAACCCAGTAAATTACCACATTTAATAGATAAATCTTCCTATTCAATGGCTTATTTAAATTTAAAAAACAAATATTAGAAAGAATAACATCATTTAACGATTTATATAAGTTTAAAAAAAGCTTTTATGGCCACTATGACTAAAATGATCAAAGTTAGATGAAATTGATGAGAAATTCTGGATTCAAAAGAAAGATATTTCGGACATGGGAAATAAGAGATGACAACAAACTTTTATTCGCTTTTTACAGCTAAGACTTTCCACTCGTTGAATGAAATCTTCAAATTTTAATTTCGGATGTAACTGATGAGCCCATAACTCAATTTTGTTCATCATATCGCGTAAATTTTCATACTGTAATTTAATTTTTTATATTTTCGAAACATTCTATAAAAAAAACTAAATAAAAAATTGAATAAATTTTTGAAAAAACAAAGATAGCGAATTAATGCGAATTAATGAAATGTCTTACAGGATCTTTAGAATAATTAGGCTTGTAATGCTCGAAAACTTTCAATAGTTCGTAGATTCCTTTCGAACTGCATAACTCAGTCTCAGTTAATTTCACTCGAGGACCACGCGCTGATTTACGTTTTGTTTCTTTCGCACTGGACAAAACACTTTCTTTAGCTAAAATAAAATAAAGATTTAAAAATGAAAGAAATAAAACTGAAAATCGTCATCAATTCTTAAAAATATTATTCGTATTAAACATTAACAATTTTATTCGCTTTCATTAATAAAGTAATGTAAGAGATAATTATTACTGCAATGATAAAAAGGCTGAAGAGTACCAAGAAATATAATGCAATGTACAAAATCCAACTGAAAATAGCCTCGCAACTGCTCAGCGTTCTCTTTAGAGATTATGCAATTTTGCCTTTTCCTGACGCTACTGCCGATTAAGCTTGGCTTATCGGATCAGAGAAATTTCAGGGAATCTTTTACCGATAGAAAAATAAATGAATCGCTAAATAAAGTCATACAATAAAAGTAATAGACAGTAGAATTATGGATTTTAGGAGGGAAAATGGGAATCTTCCGCGAAATTCAAATTAAATTTACAGAGTGAAAATCTACGAGAAACGCAATAAATTAACTAAAAGCTACGTGGTTCAATCGGATCGAATTGCAAGGCTCGGAACCGTTTTTTAGTCGCCAATGAATCCCTTCAACCACCAGTAAATACAAAAAAATAAAATAAATTTAAAGGAGAAAAAATATTTTTTATTTTTTAAATATTTTGAAAATCGTTAAAAATTATAAATATTTATAAACAACAAATTAAAAAATCGATATTCTGTGGAATGAAATTAAACAAATTAATTTAGAAAAATGATTCTGAAAAAAAAATTTTAAATAAATTTTAAATAAATAAAATTTATTAAAATAAATTTAAATTTCAAGTGATTTAAAGAAAATTTAAATAATTTAAAATAATTTAATAATTAATTATTTTATAAACAATTTAATTAATAATTAATAATTAAAAAATAAATTAAATGAAAAGTAAAAGGAAACAAAACGAAAATAACCATTTTTCGTGGAAATATTTTCTTCTTCCGATTTTTCTCCAAAAAAATCATCAAAAAAATTATCTTCAAATAACTCTTTAGACATTCTATATTTATTAAATTAAGGCATTCAAATTCAGTGAAAAAACCAAAAAATTCTGAATTTTATTAGGTCTTGAAAGGAAATTATTCCTTCGGTAGAGAATATTCTTGGCACCTTGCCATCGCGAAGAACTATTTGCTTTTCTTCACACTTGCGAATGTTTTTTGTAGTTTCATTGAAAGATAGGTGTTGGGTTTGGTTCCATTGATTTTTACTTTGGTGTTGTAAAATTTTAATTTTTTGGTGTTTTTAGGTGAAAAGGATTTTTTCGTTTCCCTTCCATTTATCATTTTTATTTGCTATTTATTATTTTCTAAATTAAATGAATGAGCGACTAGCTGTGCATCGCTTTTAGTTTGGCCTGTTTCATTGGCCTTCAGTGCAGTTGGCCATTGGCTGACAGTCACTTGGCCGGGGGAGTGCAAATGGGTCGCTGGCAGCGCCGTCATTTTCCCTACCAATTTTTATTTGGTCGCTGAAGTATATCTAAAATAATTTATCGATAAATTTGCTTCTTCTTAAATCTTATAATAATTTCTAGCATAAAACCATTGAGTACTAGCATTTTTCATGTCGTTAGCTAGATGAATATTGAAAATTTAGCCGCTCGCTAGGGCAACAAAGGAGAGACTACCAGAGACTACCAGGGAACATTTTGCATGTCTTTAATTGCCAATAACCCATTTATCTTCCATATTTTTCCATATTGAAGTGATGCTCTGCCAAAAATTTTTGTCTTATTGGGTAAGCAGCAGATAATACGGAGCTGAACCAGAAATGATGAGTAATAGCCACTTTTGGTAGCACTGGTGATGATTTTCTTTTTCTTTGAATTATGACCTTAAATCTTGAAATATGTCGGATTGTGATATTTCTTACAATTGAATTGGTGGAGCTAGAATGGTTGAGTGGTTGCTATCATTTTGTTGATGTTCTGCGGTTGGAAGTGACCTTTTAAAAATCCAAATGATTTCGGTGATTTTTCGGTACTTCTATCACCAAATAGTTTCTTAACAAAATTTGTTTTGATAGCGGAGCGAGAATAACCGAAATTAGTGAATTTTATTAGAAAAGTTGCTTTATTGTGGCGTATGTATGTAACGATAACTTTTTTCAAATATCCATCCATAAAATATATCCATCTTGTAAAAATTAAGATTATTGAGATTATGTGATTTATGAGATTATGGACCTTATGAACATAAATATTTAAAAGAAAAAAAAGTGAACACGCATATGAAAATTTGTTTCGAAGGCATTTTTTATATTATCGTTTATTTTCGGTCTTTGTATTTTTTTTCCAATGAAGACTTTGCGGTTTGGACTGGACTGCCTGGACTGCTCATTAAGGCAAGAATGGAGAGACCGCCAGGCAATCAGTGGTGAATTTTCAGTAACCATATGGACTGTTGTTAAACTGAATGATCTCTTGTATTTTTTTTGCCCTCTTAAATTTTCGAATCAAATCCCTTTGTTTTCTTTTAAGCCTCTCAAACTTATTATACGCCCCTAAAGTATATTAAATCTATAATTATTTCTTATTATTTATAAAAATTGAGTAATTTTTCTTAGATTGCAGGCTGAGGGCTAGCAAGTATCGCTGTTTTCTGTTCATCTTATTTCTACTTTTAACTAAGGTTTAAACTTGTCTATAATAATCCTCAATCCCCTATAATATTTTTCATCTATAATTTATTCATCTTCACTGAATTTTCATTTAACATAGAACATAATCTTCTGTATCTTTTTATAATAGCACTGGCTGACTGTATTTTATTAGGATGAGATCTATCTGTTGAAAATCGTTTGAGAATAGAAGCACTATTTCTTAATAAAAATTTGTGGGAACATTGCATGCTTCATCTTTCATGGGATTTGGCTTTTCACTGTCGTTAAGAGAAAGAAATCGAGCTTACACTTGCTTGACCTTTGTTGAAGCTACCGAATACTTTATTTCTCCTTGTTTGGTTTATTAATCTTTTCTTATTATTTAAAAAAAAATTCAATATTTGAAAAGAGTCAGAAGACTGAAGATTGATGAGTTGGCAAATTAAAGCCAACAGAAAAACACTGAATTGTTGAATTCTAAAATTTTTTTAAGTTGATTATGGGGCTTTTTATCCTTTGATTTTTGTTTCTTTTTTACATTTGGCTATTCAGTTATTATTTTATTTTCTGAAATAATACAAATGTTTATATTTTTCAATTATTTGCAATATATTTTATTGCAATATATTTTATTTTTCAGAAAAAACAAAAACGATGAGGTTATTTCATTAATTATCAAAAATCAACTTGTGTGTAGTCGATGCAGAAGAACAATGGTGAGCGAATTCGGGATGAAGAAGGGTTCCGATTAAGAGCAGCGGGTATTTGTGCACGTGGTGAAGGATCTTTCAGAGAGATTTTATTAGTTTCTGCTGCTAAAGACGAACATTTGTGGGTTATACCTGGTGGTGGAATAGAAAAGAATGAAGATGCAGAAACAGCAGTGCTGCGAGAAGTTTTAGAAGAAGCTGGAGTTCGGGCACAGATTATATCAAAAATTGGCGACTTTAAGGTCCTTTTTTTCTAAGAATGATTATTTCTGATTAGTCTAAAGTCCACTGGCTTGTCGTACCAGATAAATTTGTCGGAGCCTTTTCGTTACAAAAGTACAAAAGAGGTTATTCTTTCAAGGAGCAAAACACGTGTTCATGATGGTAGTAGACCACCGAGTCCATCTCTAAAGTTCCTCTTTTTTCTCATTAAATTAGTTATTTTAATGCGTTTGTTTTTAACAATTCCAAGAAATTAAATAAATAAATATATATATATACATATATATGATTAAATATATATCTGCGTTTCATATGACCATTTATAAAATATTAGCTCTGTGAATTTTTTTTCCAAATTAATTTTTCAATGGTTGAGTTGAAGGTGAATCCTCTAAGTTCCACAAATCAACTAAAATGAAACGCCAAACAGGATAGAGATACAAGCGGACTCCCAAAAATTAACACTTCACTTTTAATGATAGTTTTACTATTTCAAGGAAGCGACAAGAATCGAATTCGTGTCACTTAGTTACAGTAGAATTTGCCTACTATTCCAATTATATTTACTCATTGCTTCTCATTGCTTCCTTTTATTTTACTCATTCGCTTCTTAGAAAAATTTGGAAAATTTTGCTTCCATATCAGTTATTCTACAATGAAAATTTTTTAACTCACTGTCTTTCGCCTTAGTTTTGAGATATCATCAATTTTTTTTCTTCCTTATGCCATTTTTTCTATTTACTTTATTTTATTTAGGATGAGGAACGACGTCATAAAACTGCAGTCTTTCTACTTGCCGCAAATGAGGAACTTCGTGAATGGGACGACGGCTCATTTGGTCGGAAACGCCAATGGTTTACTTTTGATGAAGTTGTGGTACGAATTAAACGTTCTCAGTTGCGGATAATACAGCATGTTGTCAATAGTTTTCAGTTATATTTCAAGAAATGAATTGGAATGAAATAGGATCGTGGAATGTTTTTTATCGTTTATGGGAAATATTTGTAGATGTTTATATGTTAATAGAAGAAAATATGAACAATAGAATCTTGGTGGGCACCATAATTTGTTTGTTTTTGTATTTATTTGTTTTTTTTATTTAATATATTAACCGTTTGATTTTCAAATATTGTTGTCAAATATTGAAAAAGTTTTGTGTATAAAACCCAATATAGTACAAATCCAAAAATTCAATTTTTTTTTATTCTTTTATTCTGCAAAAAATTCAAATTTAAAATTTAATGTAAAATTATTGAAAATGTATATTGTTCATTAAAGTATGTAATTTTTTACAACTATTTGACTTGACAGAATATAAAGTGCACTTGATTTCTGGTAATATAATAATTGGATATGACTAATAACAAACAATTCATCAATCACAGAGATAAAAAATATTTGTATAAAGTATAAAAGTAAATATAAAAATAAATAAGTATAAAAATGTAAAGAAAGATAAACAATAAATATGAGATCGGAAATGCAAATTAGAAGATATAATGTAAATTAAGGATTCAAAAAAACTACAATTCTTATCACCAAATGAATTCAAAAATTGAAAAACAATTAGTTGGAATTACCATTATCGATAATGAAGGATATATCACTAGTGAGAACGGTACACAACCATTTGATACAACGATCTATATTAAGACCTTGAAGAGCGGAAACTTGTATGAGTGCAAAATCACCTCGATGTCGATCGTCTGAAATAAGCCTACGAATACATTCGGCTTCAATACATTCTTCTAAATCACATTTATTACAAACGATCAGAATTGGCATTCGCTGAACTGCCTCACAGTTCATCACACGATCTAAAATCATGCTTTTAGATGATACAAAACTTTTCAAAACTTTTAATTCTGATAATATGCGCAGCTTCCTAGTGGCTCCATTGACTAGATGGACCTTTTGTCAATCATTAAGGAATGCAGCGAGACTCAAGCAGCCGTTTTTAATAGCGCATTTATTCCCACCTAGAGATAGGAATCGAATTCAAGCCTTCCCCTTTAGCCAAAGAAACAGTTTATTGCAAAGAATTAGCAAACTGAATTGCAATATATGAGCATGAACACCGAATTGCAATATATGAGCATTAAATAACCATAATATAATGAATAAAAAACGTGAAACTAAAAAAAAAACTACCAAAAGCAGTTTTCACATCAGACAAACGATCGACATCGCAAGCATCTATAACGAAGATCATCGCATGTGAATCTTCAAAATATTTCTGCCACAATGAATGAAGTTCTTCTTGACCACCTAAATCCCAAAAATTCAGTCGCAATGGACCCAATTCAACTTTTCCAACTAAAATAATATTTTTTATTATTTCAAATATTTAATATATAAATACTTCATTTTCCTTATTTTAATTATTTTTGAAATAAAAGGAATTTTTCGAATGTTCAATTAATTAAAGCAAATATTTATAACGTTGTGTTCCGTAAGCGATTTTCAATCAAAATAAAACGATTAAAATACAATTTAATAAAAAAGTGAAAAAAATTTGAAAAAAAAAACCAAAAAAACTTGGGAAAATTAAAATGAAAAATAATATTTAACAAATATTACTATTTAAACCAACTGTGCTCGTTATTTTCAAAGGGATTTATAATGTTGTGTTCCGTAAGCGATTTTCAATCAAAATAAAACGATTAAAACACAATTTAATAAAAAAGTGAAAAAAAATTTGAAAAAAAACCAAAAAAACTTGGTAAAATTAAAATGAAAAATAATATTTAACAAATATTACTATTTAAACCAACTGTGCTCGTTATTTTCAAAGGGTTTAGCATTTGATAGCCTTCAGTAAATTTCATTTTCGTTTGTTCAAGAAAAGTCTGAAAAATAAAATAATAAAAATTGAAAATTGAAAATAATAAAAAGACAGAAATTTTCACCTAATAATATAATTTTATAATTTTTGTAATATGTATGCGCTTACCTACGCTTAGATACGCGTAGATAGGAAAAAAGAATCAACCACGATTTCAGCCTGCAAAACCTCAAGGCGCTTATTATAAACTAATTTAAGAATATGCAAAAATATAAAAGCAAATGGAAAAAAAGAAACGGTCTTCCCAGCATTATCCAAGCCAATAATCACGATGAAAAAGTCCTTCTTCTGCATGAAATGCTTCCACAATCCATATCCAAGTGTGTACATTTTCACTTGCACATTCGTCAAAATATCATTTTTCTCGAATTTTACAAATTTCTAATGAAAAACCTATTTTATAAATAAATAACTGAAATAAATTTCTTTTTTTAAGAAATAAATTTATTGGAAAATTTTAAAAAACTCGTAAAAACGAAAATTAATGCAAAAAAATAAAGAAACGAAACGCAAATATTAATTATATTAATCAATTATAAATTAATTTTTTACCAAAAATTTGAAATTAATATTGCAAGTTTAAGAAGCAAAAAAAAATAGACAAAAAAAGTCCATGTTACAAGCAGCGTGGTACCAGCAAAAAACCTCAGATGGGATCACAAGCATCGACAGATTTGGGAATGAACATTCGTACGTTGCATTCCCTTAAAGCACCCACTGCACTTCTACCAAATAAAGTTTGAATTAGTTTCCAGAATTTACAAATGATTTAAAAGGCGTGCAGAGTGTGCATTTATCTAAGGCAGTGTATCTCTTTAAATGCAGAATGTGCATTTATTTGAAGAGATGCACTCCTTAAAGTGCAGAGTTTGCACTATCTGAAAAGACGCACTCCTTTAAAATAAATCTGGGAATGTAAATTCGCGCACGAATTGCAATCGCTTCATAAAAGCAAATAATAGGAATTCTATAATTCCAATAAAAATCTTCATCATTTGTTGCGAAGTCACCCTGCACTACTTCTGCTTTCTTGAGGTCATCCTTAGCTGTGCTTATTCCATGCACGCGCCCACTTGAAAAGAGCATATTTCTAGCTGATTGTGCGAGTTGCCATTCCATCCTGTTGCTGTTCTGGCCACTTGCTTGGCCGCTTGGCCGCTCGGTCGCTTGGTCACTTGGCCAATCCGTTATTCCGTAAGTCGTAATTTATTATTATTATTTATTTTATTTTTTTCGAAATATTTCTATTTTTATTATAATTTTAAAATAATACAATTTGTTTGATGGTAGTATTTGCAGTTTTGAATTGTCTTAAAGTATTCTAAATTTTTGAACTAATTTCCCTAAATTTGTCTAAAAACCAAATAATTATATAAATCGAACAACAAAAAAATAACTAAATAGCTACATCATAGAGAAAAAAATTAAAAGCAAAAGAAGACGATCTGCAGAATAGCAGTTGTAATAATTAGAAGGCCGCAATTTATTGGCCAAGAAATTGAATAAAAGTGCTCGACATTTCTGATTTCTGAGTTATTGACTTCGGCTAATGGCTGTTAGTACGGGTGGGGATTGTTCTTAAGGAGTCGCTTAGGGGGAGAATTGCGACTGGTACGGTCAAATCTATTGCTGCCAAATGCAAAATCCTTGTGCCCGCGGCGACAATCTAAGTGGCAACCACTCGGCTAATTCTTTTAACTTTTTGTAAAATCAACATAATAATTCTTGTTTTATTGCTTAGTAATCAACATGATATTTAGTAAAATCAACTAAATTTTTCTTTAAAATCAACTAAATTAAATTTTCTTTATTTTCAGCTTTTTAAATTTTTTCTCGAAGTAGTACTTTATTTAATTCAAATTTTGAAAAATTTTTATAGAATATTTTTTAATTATTCGTTTTGGTTTCTTGGAATTTTTAAGGGTTTATTGTGAAATCGGAAAATTCTCATTGTTTTTATTTAATTATTTATTTTAAATATTTTCAATTTTTTATATTTTATTTGTTTTTTTGTTATTTTCATTATTTTTTATACTTTGTCCCATTTTTTTATTTTTTATTATCTTATTTTTATCATTATTAATTATTTTTGCATAAATTATCGTTGAAGGAAATGCTCAGTCGGATTTCTCCGCATTTGAATTTGACAGTGGTGCGGAAATTCGCTAGTTCTGATAAAAAGTTACCAGTGACTCGCTTATCAGATGCAAAGCTGAAAACATTTGAAGAATTTCTTAACGAAACAAGTACTTCCAAAATTAATGAAATAACTGTTCATGAAAATAACGAAGTTTGTTTTTTAAACTGTTTTTATTAAATTTTTTTCGTAGTTTAATTTTACAAGAGTTTGGAATTTTCTGAATAAAAATGTCATCCCAACAATACACGCCATTCCTGTTTTAGCTGGCTGTTTTTACTGTCAGGACGAGATCTATTCAGTCACTTGGCCGTAATAATTCGATTAGATTACCCTCATTTTGCTTTTAACAGCAAGTTTACTGTTATTGAGAACCCATTATTTTGTGGCGATTTTTGAAGGTAATGGATATTGCTGGTATTCCTGAAGAACATATGGAACCGCGAGTGGCAAGAATTTATATTCCAGCTCGTGAAGCGACTCAGTCTGCTTGGAATAATACAAAAACTTGGAAGATAGAATTGGATAACCGTCAGCGTTGGGAGAATCCTCTAATAGGGTGGTCAAGTAGGTGTGTACTTATACAAATTCTTTGTTATAATATTTCTTCCCCACTTATCTGCTTCTTTCTTGCCAAAAATGGAAATACTTTTTTTTTCATATTTTCCATCGAATAAATTAATTCTAATAATACAATTTAGCGGTGATCCTCTGAGTAATATATCGATGGCACTTGATTTCGCGAGTAAAGAAGATGCAATCAGGTTTTGCGAAAAAAATCGTTGGAATTATGAAGTAGATGAACCGCAGCGTCGTCATATTAAGCCAAAGTCATATGCTGCTAATTTTTCTTGGAATAAACGGACTCGTGTCGGAACCAAATAAATGTCCATGTTTTTCGAGTATTCTACCTTTTTTTTTCATTCGACTTTCAAATATTTATAAAACTTGTGAATTTTGTTGTAAAAAAATGATTATAGTTGTTTCTATAATAAAAATTTTCAATATGTTTGGAAATTATGCTTGCATTTGGATATATTCCATGTTTCATTGTATTAACCTTTAAATGCACCTTTATTTTGAATAGAATATTACAGAGATTTGGTGATTTAAATTTATTTAATTTTTATATTATACTGAGAAATTTGTATTCGATGTCGGCTGTGTTTGCTGGTGGAACACAAGCAGGTATTAAACCTGAGAGAAGCACTATACAAAAATTATTGGATGAAAATGGACAATTGATACAAGCAGTTGTTCGCTATCAAAATATGGGAAGGTTGGTGGCAATTTTTCATTCAATACTAAAAAATTTTGCGTGGTATAAATATAGCGTAGGATAAAAAGAAATCGAATGGAAAAAATATCTTAGTTGAATTTTGCGATTTTGACTTTGGGGAATAAATTTTAATATTGGCGTGGTCTCGTGGTGTGATATCCCTGGCTACATTCATATATTTTTATTCCATATATTTTTAAATATTTGATGATATCTATGATAAAATAGGTTTGGGATCCCTGCTTCTGTCGTCGCTTGAATTTTTTTTCGTAAATTTTCATAAATAGTCGAGAAATGAATTTATAAATCAAAAGATGTTACCAAACATGAAGATTATCGCTTAATTTGTTGGTTCATTTAATTTATATTCATAATATTTTTCAGGGCAAATGATGCTCTTCGACTTCAACAATTATTGCAACGTAATCTCACTTATCTTGCTTCACTCGCTGATGCTAGTTTGTTAAAAGCAATGAATCAAGCAGTTAGTCTAATATTTTATTTTATTTAATATTGATTTAAAATCCTTTCCCAGTCATTTGAAAGATCCAAACTGTTTTTAAGACAGCAATAACTGGCATTTTTAGTGAAGTAACACTAATAATAACTAATGCCTGGAGCGAATAAAGTAGTATAAGTCTGGTATATATCCCTTGATTAGAATAAATCTGTAAATAATCGAACGGCCTTTCTACTCCGTATTGTGCCCAGTTAGTTAATATAGCCAACCAAACCAAAAACATATACATGTGCTACTCGAAGTTTTTTCTTGCTTTTCTGAAACCATTCGTATCGCCCTTATATGAAATTCTCGAACTTTTATCAATTATAGGATGAACCCAAAAACGAATCGATAAAAGAAGAAGGGAGCGCATGAAACTTATATATTCTTCATATTTGAATTAATTTATTCAATATGAAATTATTATATTGTCCTAGTCGCCATACTTTTTATTCATTTCGGTATTTCCACAAATTTTTTTAGTTTAATTTGCCTTATAAATTGCTTTTTCTATCAATTTGGTATTCACATACTCCTGCAGCGCTGTTCTTCTGAAAATTCTTTTGAAAACCATTGTGAATATTTAGGTTAACCGAACATTACATAGAAACTGGCCCAAAAAAGAGCTACGATTTTATTAACCGCAATTTAAAAATGTTAACCTTAATAATAACCTTTAAAAATATTTAAAGTCTAAAAGTACTAAGGCCTATTGGCCTAATCTCAATGAAGTAACACTAATAACTGTCGATTTTTAACTATCAACATAAATTCAATCAGAAAAAAGTTTTGCATGAATTATCTGTACTACGAAACTTGAACAAATTACGATAGAATTTTAATTAACTCGATTCATCTGAAGGTACTGCTGACTGAAATGCACAATTATAATAGATATGTCGTCCCTAATGTTTCTCGCTGTACCAGGAGGTGATTCAAGCATATCTTTTAATCGTAAATATTGCTCCTCAGCATCACTAGCACATCCACCAAGAGCATGTCTTATTAAGTGCGTAGCGCTATTTTCATCAAGTGGCTTTTTACATTCACCAAGTAACCGTTTTTGAAGACGTTCAAATACCTAAATTTTCAATATGATCGGATGAAAATAACATTTGCATCAATTAATCATTTGAATAGGATTTGAGAATTTGAAAATTAACGAACAATTAACTTTAAAATATGAGAATTGAAATGGCTTGCTTCAGATAATGATAAGTGGTAATCCGGTTGATAAGGTGTGAGTGTCTCAGTGCCAATAGTATGATCATACACAAGTCTAACAACAGTATCCGGATCCAACCATTCCCAAAGTCCATCTGATGCTAATATAAGAAACTGATCATCCGATGTCAAACGATGATAAAATACCTTAAAACCAATTCTCATTATTTATGGAAAATTAAATGAACTTAGAAATGAAAAAAACTATTTCGAAAAATTTTTCTGCAAAAAAACTTGCTTAATTACTCCTATTTTTATTTAAATCTAAGGCTTAGAAATTCTAGCAGAAAAAAAGTTTTGATACGGACTTCTGGAAGAGCGGTTAAATAAGGAGGAGTTTGAAGCCCATTTGGAACATCAATATCGAAAGGAGCGAGGATTATTTTCTGTAATTTTAATGGCCATTTATATCGTACATCACCAAATGCTCTCAAAGGATAAAGTTCACCCAGAAGACGATCACTCCGCAATATTGTTTCTGATTCTGATATTGGATGCGCACTACGTACCCGTTTAATCTGAAATTCTACAAATAATACTGTGCAAATATAATGAATGTAAAAATGAAAATAATGAAAGGACCTCGTCAGTATTGTCACAAGAATGTAATTTTGATAAAAGTTGCGGAGCTATGTGACCATTTTTTAGAGTGCCTAAAATAGCAACACTATCACCGACATTTGCGACATGTAAATGATTTTTTCGGAGGTGTGCGACAATTCCACAAGAACCTGATACAGCAATTTTTACTCGATTCCTATAAATATAAAATTTATTGTAATTATTTTAATTATTAATTTTCTAGTAATAGCTATTTTCTAAAATCACACAATAATCCAAAATGAATGAATCAACAATATCAGTTCTACAATTTATTACCATATCAAAATGGTCTTTTCTCGTCAATTTACAACAATACCTTAATCAGCTTTCCTAGACGATGTTTAGAATTTTCCATTTTTCAAAATAACCAAAAAATTTCAGTTCTTGAAGTTTCGAGCTTTAATTAAAGATGGGAATAATAATAATCATTCATTTAATTCTATTACTAACTGAAATTTAATACCAAAAACCTCGAAATATTCCCATTAGTATCAGGAAGTGCATCATTTGAAATATCATCATCCATAGCTAGAAAAGCATTTTCAATCACTTTCATCATTGTTGCTGTATCCATTGAATCATTTTTTATGAATTTTTCTAAATTTGCTGCATGTCTTTGCCTAAAAATTAAAATATTTAAAATAGAATTATTAAAAAAAAATTTTGATAGGAATTTTTAAAATAAAGAAGAAAAGAAAGAAAATAGAAATAAAAAAACGATCATAAACAAATAAAAATATCTAATACTTAGTTATAAGACGTTGAACATTAGCTTTTCATCTTCATTCTCAACCGATTAATAAGAAGACACACATCTGTACTCATTTTTTTCATGAATATACCATTCTTTCACTCATTTCGCTCACCAATCTAAACCTAACTGACTTGGCTCAAATATATTTTTTATAAAATTATGTAATATACGTCTAAAAGAATAATTTTATTACTATCTCCAATTTTATTATTCTAAAACAAAGATCAGTTTTTTTCTCCTAAAAGAGCCACAACCATTTTTTATATGAATTAAGCATTTAGATAATCTTTTCGCCACATCTCAACTTAGAGATTAAATGCAAATGTGGCTTGCCAGCAGTCATTCTGATTTCACTTTTAATGAGAAGTTTATTTAGCAAGAAATTGAAACCCATGCTATTCGACCTCAGCTGCAGTATATCAACAAAACAGCTTTTTTTGTAAGGAAGAAACGATCATCTATTTTCTAAAGGTTTAAAAAGTTCTCAACAAAATCGTCGCTAACTTCTCACAAATCAATAAGCAATTAAATCCACACTGCATGCAAATTTCAACGCAAGATATATCTACCATCTAATCTAATTTAAATCTTAGCACAAATATTTGATAAAAATACGAAGTATCAAGTTTTTGATATTCAATTAATACCTGAATGAGGGTGAAAAGTCACGATCAGAACTAGAAAAAATCCATTTAAGTTGATCGCGGTCTGACAAATTATTAAATGAATATTTTTTGAGTACTGAAGCACATAAATAATCGTACAAACGCACAGAAACATGACGACTGCAACATTCACTACCATGTCCGTCAAATATTCCTAAAAAGTTTATTAAAAGGTTTAAGGTTTATTAAAATTAGAAACTTGGACCAATTACAGATTTTCAGCTCAATTCATCTAAAATAAATTTCAAAAAAAAGTTTCAGCTTAGCTTAATGAAAGGTTAAGGGTTTAAAAACAAACCAAAGAAATAGGAATTTGTATGCAAACATTTCGCAATGGAATAATGATCTTCAATAGGATTATTTGCGGGAAGTTGCGAGAATGTTATCTTATCAATCGCATCATCTAAAACTGATACCGACTGCTGATAAGCCCGTATTTTTGCATCCATTTCAGCTTTACCACATATACTCCGTCGATTTAATTGTATAAATAAATTACCCGTTTTTAATAACATTTGATCTGAAATTTTCTTATTGCCTACATAAGATATTTTTTGTGAAAAATTATACCATTTTTTAATAATTATAAATTTGAGATATAAATCCATCAAAATAACGTATATTTTGGTATTTATTTACTTATATATATCATGAATTAAATTTGAGGAATAAATTTATCTTTATAAAGTATAAAAATAGAACGGTCAAAAAAAATGGCTCAGGTTTAGGCCTAGGCTAAGACTTAATGGGAGCGCCTTTACTGAGGTTTCACTCTCGGCAAAAATGAACCTGTCTTTCAAAAATCCGAGTGGTGCTGGCGACCCATTTGTGCTTTTTTTGCCAGTGAATTGATAGAAAAATTTGTCTGGATTGAAGCCAGTGAATTGAGCTTAGCTAGAAATAGTGTCGCCAAACGGCGAAATGCAAAACGCTGGGGTCTGCCTACTACCCTCTCGGGATCCGTTTTTATCGACCTCAGTTCAGTTCAGGGCCATTCAACGACATCAGAAGCTTTCATTCGCATCTTTCACGCTTCATTAGCTCTTATCCAGCTTTCGTTCTGCTCTTTTTATGCGTGCAGTCATATTTGTTATCATATTTGAATCCCTTTGGCTGATTCACTATTTGGCATGCCATTAAACTTCGACAAACCACTCTGAACTGGTGAAAACTTTATGCCTTATCAACCAACTCTTCATTAAATGATCCTTGACTGATCGAACCTTAATTGTTGACAAGCCAAATTGCTGGTTCGGATCCCGTTTTCGATTTTTTTTTACGATCCCATGCTAGCATTTTGCATTCGTCGTTTGGCAACATTGGTGCACAACAAAAACAAGGTGCGCCGGCCGGATTCGAACCTAAACCAATTTTGATATTGATGCAACAATATTGCCACTAAATTACTGAAGTACCACTCTCTCGATTAGTTTAGTTTCGAAAAGATTATGCATATAACAAGTAAAAATAGACCAATTTAAAAAAACTCATTTCATTCACAAATAAAAAACCAAATGCAATTAAATTATCGCTAAGCCCCATTTCCCCACCCCCATTCGACTTAATACCCCATAAAACGAATTATTTTGACGAGTCTCACAAAACCTGTTTCCGAACTGCTACTTTGAAAAACAAATATTGTCGAAGCTGCAATTTAAATATACTAGATTACAGTTGCAGATTGGATTTGAAGGCCTTTGCATGATAATTGCTTTGGTAGAGTCGGTGGGATTTAGGATAAAATATCCGTAATCTTGGGACGATTCCGGAATACCTTGGAGTTGGTATTACTATAAGTAGCGTTTTGGCCTAAAGGGCTTAAAAAAATTTAAGTCGTAGGAATCGCAATTCGCGTAATTCTTTTGTGCCGTGCTTTACTTTTTTTTTAATTTGTATTTTTAATTTTCTTATAAGAATTATTGTAATTGATGGAAATTCGTGGATTTTTCATTTACATTTGCTATTTTATTTATTTGGTAAATTATTAAAGATTAAACTGAATTTTTATTAAAACGCACAATGCATTTTCTCCTTCTAACGACAGTCACTTTCTCTGCTATTCCACTAACTATTTCGTTCGTCAAAGGAGTTGCATTTCAATAAATATAAATAATTATAATTATTTCTTTTTAATTTACTCAAAATTTCAATAAAATATTTTGAAATTTTTATAATAAAAATTGCAAACGCGTAGGCTTATTAGAGTTCAGTAAATAACGTTTGTGGTTTGTATTTTGGCTTCGATTTTAAGATTTGTGGTTTGTATTTTGGCTTCGATTTTATCTCCAAATGCCTTTGTGGTGAATGAATTTCACCTTATTGGATCGCAGTATTGATTGGAGCTGAAATAAGAATTCAGTATTTTAGAATTTCGAGTAGAATAAATTTAATCTTTTTTGATAGATATGAAGGAAAATGGTGGTAGAATGGAGGAAATAGAGGAAATAATGGAGGAAGTGCGATTTAAATAGGAATAAGGAAGTTAAGTTTTCCAAGTTTTCTGCCCAAAAAGCTTCTTTTGGAAGGCTTAAAACTTATTCTCACAACGCTTTTAGTTTTGCTGGATTCTTATAGGATATTCCACTAATATTTGCTATTATTACTGTGTTTTATTTCTAGAATTATGATGAATTGGCATCTGTTTTTTTCCTTCTAAAGACTCGAATCATTTGGTATCGTTTGGTGCATTTGGAGCCTTCGAATTTTCCAAGTCTCCGGATCGTATTCGAAAATAATATAAAACTCCTTTTTCCTTTGTTCATTGAATAATAATAAGTAAGTGGTTAATTTAAGATTTCCACTCACTATGAAATTTTATAATTAGAAAAAATAATTAGAAATTTTTGATTAACCAGTCATTTGATAAATACAGGTAAGGTGCCAGTCCTGAGCGGACTTTTTAATAGTAGATTTACTCCTGTTGGAATATCCTGGGAATCAAATGTGTAACATGTCGAGGTGACTATACCATTCACCACTGCTTGTAGAAATTAATGCATATTCACTTTTAGGTCTCATATAAGCTTTTCAATAGCACTAGAGCTATTGCTTGAAGTGTTGTTGTCTGTTGCATTTTTATTTTTTTTTTGATCTTTTCCATTTATTGTTTTTCTCTTACATTTTTTTCAATGAAAAGTTGATCGAGAGCTTATTAGAATTTAAGAGGAAGAAAAAGAATTCGGTGTAAGGAAAAGAAATATCCTAAAAATAAAATAACTTGAGGAATTTGATACCCTGCATTTTTATAAATCAGATTTGTTCCCCGTACTATGTTTGCTTTTTATAGATGGAGGGTCCATTATCAAAATGGACGAATGTTGTTCATGGCTGGCAGTTTCGATGGTTTTTACTTAAAAATGATGCTTTATGTTACTATACGTCTCGTGAAAAAATGAAGAAAAAACAGCTACGAGGTTGTATTCGTCTTCGAGGCGCAGTTATTGGAATTGATGGTGAGAATACGTCGCTTTTTACGCTAACTGTTGATGGCAAAACCTTTCATCTCCAGGTTTCATTAAAATTTTGCTTTTTTTGAAATTTCTTATCATGAATTTCTTTGTTATCAAATTTTTACCTTTTGCATATGGAAAATTACTGGAAGATTACTGGAAAATTTATAGGGCCGCGATCAGAAAGAAAGAGATAATTGGGTTCGAGCACTGGAGACTACAATACATGAATTAAGCGGCTATTATAAACCATCATCTGTGCAATCACTTTCAATTACTCTCAAATGCAAGGTTCATGAAGCTGATAAGTATTTGCAGACTATGATTGAAGAGGCATGCATTAATTTATTTTTTTCAGGAATCTTAATTTCTTTATTATCCATTAATTTATTATCTGCTTTAGGTACGGAGTCTTGAGAATTTGAATTCCACTGTTAATGATCAAAACGATTCATTGAGTGAAATTATTCAAACGACTAATTGTTTAATGGATATTGTTAAACATTCTATTATTTTGCTTCAAATGGCCAGAAATCGAGTGAATGGTGATTCTGGATCCTCCAAAGACCTTCTAGATGACTGTTCTGATGAAGAAAATCAGTCATCTATGAGAAAGGTTTTTTTATTTTTCATCATTTTTCCTGGTATGGATCTATATACGGCACGTTAGTGCATTGGTAGACATTTGCTGGAGGCGAAATAAGGAAGTAGCCTAAACTCGAACCATCATAATTTTTAGCACTTTTTTACTATTTCTGAAAGAAAAAGATGCTTTTTTAGGCAGAGATTGTGTCACCAATATCATATTCAAGTAGTGAAGATGAATTTTTCGATGCTGAAGGTTTATCCGAAGAAAATTCTCCGTCAAAAATAGCCGGTGATCGAGATGGTCGAATTCATTTCAAGTCAACTTTGATTGAACCAGTATATAATGATGATAATGAAGATTTTGACGCGATTTATGATGACTCAGAAGAACATGAAGTAGGGGATATGCAACAACAACATGGATCAGTTTTAATGCATCTTTTATCACAGGTGACTCATCTTTTATCACAGGATTTTATTTTTTGCTATATTGTTTTGACTTATTCTTTTTCATGTCTTTTACACTCTTAAAGATTATTTTTAATTTTTTATCATAGATTGGTTATTTATAGGTTAGTGTTGGAATGGATTTAACTAAAGTTACATTACCAACATTTATATTAGAACGACGTTCTTTGTTGGAAATGTATGCTGATTTTTTTGCTCATCCTGACGATTTTATTGCTTCTGCTGTTCATTCTACTCCTGAACAACGTTTTATAGCAGTCGTTAAGTATTATTTAGGTGCATTCTATGCAGCGCGAAAGAGCGGTGTCGCTAAAAAGCCTTATAATCCTATTCTTGGAGAAATTTTTAGATGTCAGTTTTTATTTTTTTGTTGTTATGATTTATCATTTCTTAATTACTCATATTATAGTACAGATTAAGCTTTTTACGGATTTTTTTTTTTACTGATTTCTCAATTTTCTCAATTTTAATCTTTTAATTATTTTTGATGAATTTTTTTTATTTATTTTTTTTCAAATATTCATTCGCTTTTCGAATTACTGTGCAGATCTGATATAGATTTTCAGGTCGTTGGACTTTGCAGGATTTGCCAAAAACGGGTGTCAAAACAGTTCGAGGTCCCTTTCCTGGTTCTGATCTTAGTCAGTTGACATTTATTGCTGAACAAGTTAGCCATCATCCGCCAATTTCTGCTTTTTATGCTGAACTACCTTCTCAGAAAATATCGCTTAATGCTCATATATGGACCAAATCATCTTTCCTCGGATTGTCTATTGGTTAATTTTTTTCTCTTTTTTGGCTGTTTATTTTTGAAATTAATTGTCATTTGTTGATTTGAATTTTCTTTCTTTCTTGCGCCAAATTTTCTTTAATATCTTCATTTATAAATATTATTTTTTTGAATTTTCTTGGCTATATTTTGGCCATGTGATCATAAATCCATATCCATATTTTTTTAAGGTGTAACAAATATTGGTTGGGCTTCTGTAAAATTGCATGAATTCGATGAGGAATATAGAGTTACGTTTCCTAACGGATATGGACGTTCGATAATGAGCACTCCATGGATTGAACTCGGTGGAAAAGTAAGTTTTTAAGTAATATTTTTTTGTTTAATTCATCTTTTATTTGATGTATATAATAAATGGTGCATCGTTCAGTGGCTGTTACCGAGAATCGAGTTTAAATTCACCGATGCATCATACAGCTACATCTCTTAACGAAGAAAAACAAAGAGTAGATTGAAAGAATAGTAGATAGATAGTAAGTTACTATTCAATTCACATCATCGGTACCAAAGTTCTTCTTTCGGCAGGAGTAAACTTGTCCAATAATTCAGATGATGCTGACTCACCTGTATTTCTGTCAAAGTACTCCCTGCTATATTTATATCTAATACGACAAGCCAGAGGAGAGAGTTAGTTATGATGAAGTGCTTTTAAAAAAACATTAAGCTTGGCTGAACTTTAATTTCATTTTTTTAATAAGTAGCATTTGCAGGTAAATGTTAATTGTGATAAAACTGGTTATTATGCGGAGATTACTTTTCTTACAAAGCCATTTTTCGGTGGCAAAGCACATCGTATCGAAGGAAGTATTTATCGCCCAGGACTCAAAAAACCAATTCTTACCATCAAAGGTGAATGGAATGGGTTGATATATGCCAAACCATTTTCGGGTGATGAATACGAAATGGTTAATGTTCGAGAAAAACTAGAAGTGAAAAAGGTTGATCTATTGTATTTCGAATTTACGATGTTTAGCTTATAATTTTATAGGAATTTATACTACGATGGGCATTTTTTAATCATAAAAATTGGGCGTTAAATTTTATATGAGAGATCTTTTTTTTTTATTTCGTCAATCATAATATATCAAGTACTTTGAAGTATTTACTAGTAAGAGTAAGCCAATTTCATTTTTTCCGGATAATTTACCATTTTTTAGTAATGGTGGAATTTTTTTCAGGAATGCGTACCGGTGGCAGAACAAGGTGATAGAGAATCGCGTCGTCTTTGGAGGCATGTAACTGTTGGTTTAAAAAAGAATCAAATCAATGATGCAACAGCTGCTAAACGATGGATTGAGCAACGACAACGAGATGAAGCGAAATATCGCCAGGTCTATTTTTCATCTAGTTGGAATCTTAAACAATGCACAGTGAATGTGTTCATTGATTTATCATTTCAGGAAAATGGCATATCTTATCAACCCCAATACTTTGAGAAATCTGGTGATGATTGGATTTATAAGGATGTCTTTCGAAATGATTCATTTTAGGCAATTTTAAACCTTAATGATTTTCTTTACTGTATTATTTATTATAAATGGTAGTATTTATTGGTGGTACGAATTAATTTAATGTTTTTTTGCCTAAATGCATCTGGTTTCATGGAGTTTTTTTTACATTATTTTTGCATATCTTATGCAAAAATTTCTGTCCAGCTTTTTTCATGGAATATTAAATATTTTCTAGGATATATTTATTTATATTAATTGCTTATTTATGCATTCCTTTTTTTTTCGTTGTTAATTGACATTGTTAGTATTTTTTGCTAAAAAAATATCAGGTATTGTATTGCTGTGACTTCGTTATAGTGGGGTTTTTTAGAAGATTTAACTTGATTGAAAGCTTTTGTAATCTTAAGTTTTCATGCAATTTTCTTATTAATTGTGTTATATTAATCATTTTATGAATATTTAACTGAGGTGAGTAATCAAATGGAATGAATTTCATTATCAAATGTATAAATAAATTGGTTTCAAAAAATTGTGGTCTAATGGCTTTATTATTTTGGAGCAGAACGTTCAACCATTGTATATTAGGATTTGGAACCTTTCTATAAATAGAGATGTATGCCATTAGACTACAAACTGCGTAGTAAATGCGTTGGTGAACTGGCAGTAGCAACACCGAATTGAAAATATTTGTTCAAATTTTCTTTTCGGTTATATTGGTTATCAGTACATTGAAGGTTTTTTAAATTGGTTTGTAAAATTTTAAGTCAACTGCAAACTTTTCTATAATGATGTTTATCGGTTATCAGTTATAAAATGCCGAGAAAATATGTATTTTTTTTGTTCTTGGATCGGAGAAGCATCTTAAATCTTGTATTTTTAGAATATTTTTTTGAATTTCATTGAATTTTGAACAAATTTAGGAGTCTTTAAATTTATTAAGGCATTGATTCAATTAATTTACTTAATTATGCATTTTTTTAAAGAGGTTGTGGAATTTTTAGAGAAAATGATGTGTTCACGTCAGATAGAATTTGTAGTTGCCAACCGGCTTTTGGGTATTTTATGTGTCACATTAGGCGATTGTTTATTCGTTTGGATTGGAGAAAAAGCGGAGATGAAAACGCTGAATTTTTCGTTTGAGAAGATGGGAATGAATCTATTGCAATCGTTGGATGACATTGCCACAAATTTTACGACAAAGTTGAGTCGCCTTTTGCCGAAGAAACAAGTTCGTTTCCTTTTTTATTTATAGTGTTTTTGTTTTATTATAACCTCGGATACTGTTTCATTTATTTAATCTTTGCAAATCCCCTTTGATTTTGGAGAAGTTTTGTTTATTTGCAGCGCGGGTCATTTAATTTTAAAAATTATACGAAAATTTTTATATTTTATTTTCTTTGAAACCTCGTATTCATCTATTTTCTCTTTAATTTTTCTTTAATTCCCATCCGCTCAAAGTATTTCATTCGCGAATAAATATTCCATATTGGGATCGATTTTTTTTCATTTTCGTTATTTCCCAATTATTAAACGAAAGACCAAATGCTATTTTTTAATCACAAATGCGTGAAATTTTGAAACCTTTAAAAAATTTTAAAACTGCAGAAGCACAAAAAAGGTTGAATGTAAAATTAAATGTTGCTTCTTGTTAGAGAAATATTATTTAATTCGGATATTTCTATAACTATTTTTAGAACTTTTTTGAAATTTTTAGAATTTTTACAATGCTTAAGTTTTTCAATAAAATTCAAATTTAAATTTAAATAAGGTAAAATTAAAAAAAAACTCTTTTAAAAATTTAGATTTTCTTTTCAACGGATATCAAAATCGATGATATTTCAATATGGAATGAAATTTTAAAGAATTTTAGTGAAGAAATCAATTTAAATAAAGCTTTTTATAATATTAATTAATTATAACTCATTTTTACTTTACTCGTTTTTTGTATTTACTTTAAATTTTTTATTCCAAATTTCTTTATTCATTTATAATTCTTAGTTTTGTATTTATTTAATTCGATTATATAATTTAGTACTTGAAGAATTATTAAATGAATGAAGTTAAATTTTCATTGTGAATTGTGAATTGAAACTAATTTTTGTTTTTTTTCAATTACAATTTTTTATTTCTTTAAAATTTCATGAAATTTTTAAAAAATGATTAGTGCTAATGATAATTTAAATGAAAATGATTATGGAAATGATTATAGTGCTTTTGTTGATTTGAAAATTTCAGTTGTTTTTTTGTGAAAATTACATATATTTGCTACGATTGTTTTACGTCTTTTTCGTTGTTTTCGTATATTTGTATAAAATAATTAACTAAAATTTTAGGTTTATTGATGTTTCGTTTCGCGTTACACAACAACTTATGCTTAGTATTGGCGAAGAAAATTTCAAGAAAGAATTTTTACTGTATGAACACGATTAAGCAGAAAGCCGTTAGCGATGAAATAATTGTAAAAAAAACGCCGAAAGGAAAATTGGATAAGGCAATTGATGAAGATAAACCGTATGAAGATCCATATCTACCTCGACATCCTGGAAATGTTAATCCAAAAACGGGTGAAGTTGGTGGCCCAGCTGGTCCAGAACCAACTCGTTATGGTGATTGGGAGCGCAAAGGCCGTGTCACCGATTTCTAATTTTTTTTTATTTTTTGTTTTTTTTTTAATTTTTTTTAGTTTTAATGAATAGTCGCATTGTTTTTTTTACATGAATTGGTATAAAAATTTTTATTCATTTTGTTCCACATTAAAAAATTGGCTTGAAAACCATGTTAAATATCGCGAAAGGCTTCAGACATTGTTAAGGCTCAGCTCAGGGACGGTTGCTATTAATTCATTGGTCCTAATTTAAGATGGAAATTATGTAGGTTTTTGCCGCAGAGTCGAAATTTAACTTAGTTTTGTATTGTTTATTCTTCACTATAGTATATTATTTATTCGCGGTATGTTTGTATTTTCGCTTATTTTCCCATGGCCCAATGCATGCCTGAGGCTACGTCTTTATATCTTCGGCTATTACTTGTTCTTCTTTTCTTATACTTTATGCTCAAATCATTATGGAAAAAATTCTGCTCCTTTTCATTCTTAGCCTCTCCTTCCGTTCGTTATCACCTACTTCACTTGTAATTTTAAAGTATTGCATGGATTTTAATTTAGCAAATTTTAGAATAAAGGAATGGAAGAGGAGAATAATTTGCACGATATTATCGAGAATGGGCATTTAATTTTGGCTGAAATTTATCGACTTTCGAATTCTATTCCAATTGATTTTGTGGAACCAACTCAAAGCAAATTTGTTTCGTTACTCATTGATTTCAGTTATTTTGATGATTTATCGATATTCGATCGTTTGAATAATTCCGATGAAGTTAGTTGAAGTTACTTCTATAATCCGCAGTTAAATAATCTACAGTAATGGGAATAGTGACGATAATGGGAAATAGCTGCTCAATGGTAGGGTCGTCAATTATAGTTAAAAGTTTAGGCGTAATGGCAGCAGCCAACGCCATTTCACTTTTAGTAGCGAAGAAGAAAGGTACTTTTATCCATACGTTTTTTGATTTTCCCGTTAAGTAAAAACTAAATACATATTTGCTTTGTCGTTGTATGCTTCAAACTTTTATAAATAAATAAATAAACTTCAATAAATCACAATGAAAATGGCAGTAATCGGTTACTTCAATTAGCTGCCCATTTTCTTCTGCTAAGAGAAAAGAATTTGCTGTGGGCCGAATAAGGCTCAAAATAACATTCTAGCGATAAAGTTATAGGGCTTTTCATAAGCGCTCGGTTGTTCTATTAGTTTTCATAGCTTATCCAACAAATTTCGGAAGCGATAATGTATATTTTTGTATGTGTATGTGTAAAATATTGATGGTTCAAAATAGCTAACACAATTGCCTTTAAAAATTGCATATAACCCATTACTTGTTTTAAAAATATGATATTTATAATTTTGCTTAAAGCATGCTCAATTGGAAGACGAATTCTTCTTCACATTTGATCGAATTATAACACAGTTTGGGTCTCTTTTTGATGCATTAGGGCAATTTTTTGCCAGAATCATCGAGTAAGTACATTCTATAAATTCTTATAAATTTTTTGAGAAAATTTTGGGAAAATTTCTTCATTTCGAAACTATTTATCAATATAACTCTTTCTGGTTTCTTATCAATTGTCTTTTTTTAATTATTTAGGCTTTCGGAAGATAATGTCTTCAATGAAACTTCTATTTCAATGCGATTATCCAAATCGACCCATCATTATTACCGTTTACAGGTTTTTAGTGATTTTTTCCTTGCTTTTTAAACTCGTCGTTTTCAAAGCGTTTTTAATCTTTATTTCATATTTTTTATACATTTATTTATTTGTATTTTTTTACTTATTTTTATGTTTGTTTATATTTTTATATTTTTTTTCATATTTATTTATATTTTTTTTATTTTATATTTTTATTTTATATTTATTTATTCTGCGATATTTTCAGGCGGAATCCCTTTATATTGCTGGTGTAATTCTCTTGTGTTTAGTGACGAAAATTACTAGTGGTGCGAGGCAAAGATTATTTATTGCGCATTATAGGAGCAAGTTTGTTCCCTTTTCATTTGGCAAAAATTTTGTAGTGGCAAATGATTTTCTTCTAAAAATTCAAATTTTTATTTGTTATTTAGTCATTATTTCTACTATTTATATTTACATTGTTTCTATTAAATTTTTTATTTTATCTTTTATAGTACATCTTAATCCATCTTCAGTCCATCAAACAGTGATCATTCTGATTTACTCGTTGATATCCTTAAAACAGAACCAACTGATTTTGATGGGTTATTCAGGTGCATATTATTCTTCACATTTTTTTGTTTAATTGTCCATCAGTGGATTGCTGATACTGAATCGTTTTTATGTTGATTGTATAATGTTTTATATGATATATAATATAATATATAATATTTTATTATTTTATTTTCAATTTTACCATATCAAAACTTACAAATTATTTTCAGGAAGCTTCCCGTGAAGCAATGCTTTGCAGAAACAATGGTTTCATTACTTCGTAATGATACTTTATTTATCAGTGAGGTTTCCCTTTTTTTCCTTCCTTTCCTTTTCTTTCCTTTTCTTTTTCTTTTCCTTTTAAATATTACAGAATTTCAGCAAAGTATTTTAATACTTTCAAAATTTCCTTGGAAATTTTGAAGATACTTGAAAATATTTCTTTTCTCAGAAGATTGGCAGATTATTCCAATCGTTTGTAAATGCGACTATCACATAAGTGTGGAAAAATTTGATCGGAAAGATTTTTTTATAGAAGAAATTTTATCGGATGAAATTAATTAAATTTTTTCAGAATGATTATTTCACCAATGATAGTTTCTTCATCAGTCGTATCTCACGAATTCAACGCTCTGTTCTTACTATATGTCTGTTTTTCGCACCAACTATATTGCATTCAAATTCCTCAGTTATGAGGCAGATTGTTGATGCATATTTTGCTGACGATTGGGTGAGTGGCCTGTAATATATGATATATCGTTATGGTTTTTTAAAGATGCGCTTATTAATTTCACATTTTAAATATTCAGGTTGTTCCCCTTCATCTTGGAATGATTTTGAATATAGTTAATGCATGGGAACAATTCAAAGCTGCAAATTCAGCATTGCAACAGATTATTACTATACAGTCAGTGAAACAAATTGCGAGTGAGCATCTGTTGAAACTGAAAGAAATTGAATTTTCTTCCGCTGCGAAAATTTCTGTGACAAATTCAGTTTATAATGCGAATACTATTGCTATTGCAAACAAACATTTACGATGGATAATTCTACATTCATGTATATTTACTATCCAATGTTCCTTTACAATGTTTTCATCACTGCCTCCATTTGTTTCTGTTCAACTGTGCTATTAATTAGAATATTAAGGTAAAGAAAAACTCTCGAAACGTGCTACTTCTCTTCGCAATGCCGTTTGCAGTCAATTGGGATTATCTATGGATGATATTTTCCAGTATTTACTAGAATTGTCTAGTTTTGAACATTCTTTCAAGGAGGTATGATTTTAAATATTTTTTATTTAAATATCATTTCATTCATTATGAGATAAAGCCATAAGTTACTTATTTTTGGATTGATTTGGTCGAATTTAATCATCCTCATGAAATAACCTGAATTTTATGAATTTAATATGAATTTTAAGTTTTAAATTTCCTTACAATTTTAAAATCCATTTTTTAATAATTTTTTTCAATTTATTAATTGAAAAATTTAATATATGTTAAACTTTCTAGGCTTATCGAAATTCTATAAGCAACAAAAAATCTTCTATTAATACTTTGAAAACAGAGATTTGTCAGCATATCTCTCAAATAGCTTCATTTTTTGCCACTGATATCCCGTTACAAAAAATGAAAAAAAACAGTTAGTTATTGAATATTATCGAGTAATTTTCATTAATATGGAAATTTTTTTAATTCAAATTTTTAATAATTTTTTAATTTTTTTAATTCTTTTTTCGATGCATTATGTCCAAAGTAGTTTTGCATCCACAGATATCTTCTTTCTCTTCATTCTTTGCTTCTGATTGATATTTCTGCTATATAAGTTTAGAGACAGAGTTCTAGATGGTTCGTGATCAACCACCTTATTATATAAAGATACCTATACTCCGCGCTCTCTTTTAATGGTATATTTACTCTCATACCACATTTAGTGGTAAAAGTACCAATTATTTACCAATTATTCAAAATTTATTTCAGCAAAACTTAGTGAATGGTTTCTACTAGTCGAGAAGAAAATAGAAGAATTAAATATGGAAGAACCAGAAACATTATCGATTATTGCTCACGTAAAAAAACGAATTGAACAAGTATACATAATGACTTTTCTTTTCTTTTCTTAGATTTTTCTACGAACCAAATTAATATTACAAATTTTAGATATTATATTATTTAATCATTTTAAATATTTAAGGTCAGTGAATTCCACGATTTAATTTCAAATGTGGCTATTAATCAGCATTTACAACGAATTTCAACGTTACTGAACGATGTATCCCATTTTTGCACACTTTCTGAACAATTTTTGTCAGATGTCGACGTTGCTTCGGATTTTTCTTATGCGTGGACCATAATTGAGCAGTAAATATTTTTTTGCAATTTTTTCCTTTTTTTTAGAATTAAATGCTATATTATTGGAAATATAAGGAAATATGTTTATAATTAGATGGCGCTTGGAAATGGAACGAATGATCGAAAAAGATCCTTTGCCAATTCGGTCTCTTTTTATAAAAATCGCTTCATCAATCGCGATCGCTATAAATTCGGTTGTAACACCAGCTCGAATATCTGCTATATCACTGTGCTATTCGCGCCAATTAGAACAGTTATTGAGGAAAATTCTGCAGGTTTATAAATGATAAATTACAAGATTGAAACACAATATTGAAAGGGGAATGGAAGAAATTTGCGAAAAAGATTTTAAACAATCATTTAACTAGGCCCCATTTACCTAGGAGGTCCGATTAACATATATATTTATAATCATTCATTTTTTTTTTTATTAAATATTTACTAAACATTTATATTTCTTTTATTAAATATTTATTAAATATTTAAATATTTACGGTTCTTAATTGATAATTATCTGATTTAGGCAGTTCCACGATCATTGTTTATTCTGTTATATCAGATAACAAATTTACTGGATCCACCTATTACTTCAGCAATTAACAAAAATGAAATGCGTCAATTCGCTGATCCTGATCGACGTTATAAACTTGCTGAAATTACTTATGCAGTTTCTACCCTTTCATTAGGTATTTCAACAATGCAGTTAACTTGTCTTGGTTCTATTCGTATCGACCCGTCTGCTCTTTTTTTGGATGGAATTCGTAGGTTTGTTTTCGATCTATTTTTTTTAATTCTAGATAGGCGATCGCCATCGCTTAAATTCAAATTTTAATGTTTTTTTAGTGAACTGGTTTTCGAAATTACAAATGCTTTCCATGCTGAATTGTCTTCGTCTCAAGATTTGAACACAATTTTAATAAATCTTAATCAACGAATCGAACGTCTTCGCAAAGCTTTTATATATATTTGTGAGCATATCGGTTTAAATGGATCATTAATTTGGCATAATGAAACTACTCGCATTATTGGTTACATGATTGAGAAAGAATCCAATGCGTTTCTCCGACATGTTGTATGTTTTTAAATTATGACGTATGAACCATAAATATTTTTAAAATTTTTAAAATTTTTTAAAATTTCCTCATTAGTTCAAAAATTTGCATTAAAAAAAAATTTTGGCTCTTTCTTCTCTTTTGCCCAATGATGCATCGCCTTGCTTAGCTGGCTTGATGAGCTCCGATCTTGCGCTATATTTAAAATTTGCTTTAGTCATCTCTTTTTCTATCGTCTGTTGGCTATAACTTTGGGTTTCTTTTGGATTTGAGATGAACCATTAATCAGTTCATATCTTCATTGCGTCTCATTGCTTTCTGCCTTGTTTATCATAAGATTTGGTATTGGACGAGGAATGCTTCATTTCCTGTGACAAATGTCGCAAAATAATTACCACTGTGGGGTGCAGAAAATCTATCCAATAGAAATAGTCGAAAAAATTATGAAATTTTTTTCGAAGTTGTTTAGAATCAGAAGTTGGTAATGCTCCAGATTATCGTGTGAAGAGGTAGATTCGGCCATTCTTGCTAGAAGTAAATATCTGTCGTGAAAAAAATCCTGGATAATACTGGAAACACGCAGGCGTCTGCAGACGAAAGTTTTTAATCGTATTAGCAGGAGCCAGCCTAACCAAAAATGTTATGAAAAAAGGCTTCTTACTTTTTAAAATTATTCTAATGATGTTTGGTTTATTGAACAGATAACAGATGAGAACAGCAGTTATCAATCGATTTCAGTACCAATACCATGTACATCTCCAATTCTTGGATCGGCAACTCCAATTCACCGAATGTTTTCACTTTTTTTGGCTGCTTCCGACCCAAGGTCAGTTAAAGAATTGTCTTCGCTGTTGTTTCATGATTTTCTTTATAGCGGTCCACGGTGCAAATTTTTTTTTTGCTTTAGGATGACTTTTTACGTGAATTCAACGCGAATGTGGTATGATGTGAAAACAAAAAAACTTACTTTTTCAAATGAATTTTTCTCTGAATTTCAGGCAGTTTTTTCCTTTTTTTAAATATCTATTTAGAAAGTCAATTTTTTTTAGTTTTTTGCTTTCAATGCATAATTCAAATTAAGAGATAATATAAATTCAATTCAATATTGCTTTTTTGGCCTTGCAGAAGGCATTGTCACCGATGGCACTGTGGGCGACGAATCATTTAGCTTGTTTTTCGCTTGTGAAGCATTTAAATGAATTATGCAGTATGTGTGCGAAAATTGTTGTGCCCACGTTATCAGATATTTTTCGAGAGCTGAAAATTACAGAAGTAGCTCCATCATCATCAAAAATATTCGACAATGTTCTTATTAAATTTACACCTCACTCTACACAATTCGGCACAACTATTAGCAAAGTTTGCCTTATTTCCAATTTTCCTAACTGGCTTAACATTGTTCCTAATTCTTTTCAGGTTTGGCTGGTCCAGCTGGCTGTTAAGATAAGGCCATTATGCCAAAAAAATCACTTTGGATTAGAAATAGCTGGATATAATTACTACTGGATTTCTTTTTCAGTGACAAATATACTTTACTATACTGTAATCCAATATATTTTCTATTTTATTGTGAATTATTTTTTAGATTGGACAGTTACAGTTGTTACGGTTGGGTATCAATGAGGTAATAAAAAAGTCAATTATACAACGTGTTCCCCATATGTACAGTGCGTTATCTACTTTTAATAAGTACCTTTTTTCCATATTTTATTATAATTTTAATATTTAGGGATATTTTTCTTATTCGAAATATCAATAACATTTTTTTTTTCCTTTTTTTTTCAAAGGAGTGTTATTGCCGATCTTCAAATGGATAACGAATTGTTGAAAGCTGACGTGTTGAAGGAATTAGCTGAGTTATTGCAACGTTTTTCGATTGTCGATCCACTGAAAGAAGTTTGTTTTCCGCAAATATTTGAAATTTATAGTTTTTATGCTAGCAATACTTCCGTTTTTTTTTGAACTCTTCGATTATAGTGAAGATTAAAAGTTAAATTTCTTTGCAGTTTTTCATCCGTCGAGAAGCACCAAAATTTATCAATGAAATCCTCTTTGCTTCTTTTCTATTCTTCGTGTCAAAATTAAATGGTATAGACTTTCATTTTAATGTTTTCTTATTTTCTTGCATTGCAATTTTCTCTTGTATTTCTGTTTGCAAACCATTTCTATGTTCTTTAATTTGCTAATTTTTAGCACCTAAACGAGCTGATTTCATTGATATATCAGCGTTCACTGTTGGTATTTCATGTGTCTTAACTCAATTTCAAATATTTGATGAATTCTTTGCAATTTGCAACGATTTCCTTTTGTCAATTGTATTAAATAACAGCAACCGAGGAAACAAAATAGCACCGTTTATACAATCATTAACGATGATAGGCCGATATTGTTCTTTCAATGAAAAGGCAACTCCAGATTTTGTCCTTAAGCTTTTTTAATTCTTTTGCTATCATTTTTGGTTTGGGTAACTTAATAGTCAGGGTGATTCAAGGGATCATTTGGGGGTTATAAGCGAAATAGATCCTGCTACCGCCCTGATTTCATTTTAATAGGTTATTCTTGTCAAGGCACACGAATCGAACCTATAATAATTTGGTTTTAGTCAAAGCACAATACCTGATCAACCTGTTCAATAACAGTTAATAGTATCTATTTTCAAATTTACATTGCTTGTTTTCAGGAGCTCGAAGGGTTAATCCCGGTATTACCGACATTCGAGAAAATGTAAAGATTCGTAAAAAATTCGGAAATTTAAAATATTGCACAAAATATCTATATTGCATAAAGTAAAAATGAATAGAATATTTATAAATAATTTACAATACCATAAGAACAAATATAAAAACAAACTGAAAGAATGCTATAAATTAATTGAAAGTACTAAATGCAGAGAATAAGCGAAGTTTCCTGAACAAGAAATAAATTCAAAATTTATTTTTCAATTATGTTTCGACATCCATCTGAAAAGAATTTTTGTTTATTGAAAATCTAAAATTTATGAAAAAAGGATGAAAAAGACCGATAAAATGAAAACATGGATGATTGATTTCATATGGGAAAAAAATGCTGATTTCATAAAAGCGATTCTATAATAATATTCGAGTTCTATCGAATAGCAGTAATCATCTGCTGGATGATGTTTGTATTTCAACACATTTCTTTTTGTTAAATGATAAATATGATAAATGATAATAAGTGAAAGAGGTTATAAGTTTCTTACCCTTGATTCACTTTGATTTGGTCCAGTGTTCGATTGCTTTTCTATATTTTCTTTTGTATTTTCCATTAAATATAATTTTATGGTTTCGCAACGCTTTATAAGTTTCCTAATATCCTGTTGAATCGCATCTAAACTCGCATCAGCAACATCTCGATTTTCGCACCATTTTATTGTTATGACCCCTGCTTCTCCATCCCAAAATCCCTAAATAATCAAAAAAACTTTGAAATAAATGTCTCAGAGATGAAAATTGGGTTCTATCCCCATCCCTTGAAAAAAGAGAAACTTATTAAAGGTGAAAGCTAAATGACTGCAGAAGATGCAAATTAAACTGTAAGTATAATAAAATAGTACGGAATACCTTGATGATTCCATCTTCGATACAACTAATATAAAACTTTTCAAAGTCTTCGATTCTCGGCAAGTGCAGTTCGTCCATTGCTAACTTTAGCGGGATAATCCTTTGGCGAGCACAAAGAGAAATAAAAGTCAACTGACGCAGTTTCCATTTCATTCGATCTGTTAACATTGGCAGATTATTCTGATTCGTTATAAACTCTCCGTAAGTACCTAAAATAAAAAGAATTTTTCTCGCTAAACATAAATAAAAAAATTTTTAATAAGTAAGAGGCCATAAAAGTTTTACATGAGAAATTTTTTTGGAAGTGGAAAAATTTAAATTTATAAATTTAAATCCGAAATGATACAAAATCAAAATCATTTACAACCTTATGAAACTAAATAAATCAAAATTAAAATAATAAATTAAAAATATATTAAGGTTGGGTTTTAAAAAAATATTGGTGTATTTTACTAAATCTTCTGATAAGTGATTGGCGCTCATATTTTTTATTAGATTAGTTCAGCTGGCAGTTAGTACGGTTAGAAATTTTTGCTAGGACAATTGGTGATAAAAATTAAAAAAGGACAAATTTTTAATACGTATGCTGGAAAAGAGAACATTGGCTTAAGTTAATTTCAAGTTAATTTCAAGCAAGTTAGAGAGACATCTCATGCGAAACTAATCAAATCAAAAATAGCGAATGTTATTAAAAAGATAATAGTGAAATTTTTAAAATATAATTAAATTTCTTTAAAAAATATTAACCATATGCAAATAATAATAACAATTGATAAATTCCATAAAATTCCGAATTTTTCAAAGAATTAATTTTTTCATCCAATAAATATTCGGAAAAATTATATATTCCATCTCTTTCGATAATCTGATAAACGCAATCCGCAATTTCTTTTAAATTCGTTGCATTTCTTACAGAAAATAATAATTCATCACACATCTGTAATTTAATTTAATTTGTATTTAATTAAATTACTATAAAATCATAAAAAATAAAATAAAATTGTATAAAAAACAATTATAAAATTATAAAAGAAATATAAATCATATTATCAATCATTACCATAATTACTTTTCAATTAATTATTATTTTTCTAAAATTATGAAAATTACACAAATTATTTTAGTAAATACCAATAATTAATATTATTTTTATTAATTATTAAATATTACAAACTGCAAATTGCAAATTAAAATAATTTTAAAAAAGAGAAAAGCCACAATTTTAAAAAAATCTTTAAAAAAATTGAAACGATTAATTTATACAATTTTGGCAGAAAATTCAAAACACGGAAGAAATAAGCTCAATTTTGAATTTATGGATATTAGAATTAAATTTGGCTGTTTTCATTAAATTTTGACAAATATTTGGCAATTTTGACAATATTTGATCCCAAAATTCCATTCCGTTTCGCAGCTTCCACGCTAATACTCTCTCTCTCTAAAGTAGCGTTAACTCATAAAGTACTAAAAATTTTCTGAAGATTACTTGCACCACACACCACCTCAACCGTGTTAATAGAAGGAGACTTGAAATTATGGATCTATTCCGTCCAAGCCAGCGATAGTGAAACCCCTATTGATCCATCAACTTCTATGGTACCATCTAGGCGATCCGTGGAAAAAGACCACTGTCCTAAACGATTTATTCATTCTTCGTTATCTTAATTTACGAAAGCTTCCAAAGTACATCTTCTCACTCAATTTTCCATTAAAAAACAACAATCTTTCAAAATGCCACAACTGACCTTTGACCTAATAAATTGAAAAACTGTAAAAGATACAAGAATTAAATGGGCTTATATGAAAATAAACGTGGCCGCAGCCATAAAATATCTCGGCCAATCGTAGCCCCGCATGGAGATCTGGCGTTGGCCAAAATAACGTTCGTTTTGTTAAAACATCGTCAAACCCCGTTAAGCCTTTTACCACCTTCTCTTGACATATTGTCTGCTCATCGCACTTTCTTGCTACAACCTATTAATGAAAATTTTTTAGATCTGTCCTGGTTCCCTCAAGTTTTGCTTCCTCGAGACATCTATACTTGAAGCCTCAAATCAGGTCACTCCCTTTCAGAACTCGGTCGGGCCCCAAATTTTTGCAACAACCCTTAGGACTACAGGGAAAGTATAACGGAGACCAGAAGTGTTAAGAAGAATGAGGGGGAGCGAATATAAATGATACAGTAGGGTCCGTAGGAGTATAAAACTAGCAAAAGATCAGCAAAACCATTTTAAGGAGAAGCCGATGGATTAGTACATCGAACTTTCAAGTTTTAGCAAAACTAAATAATTTGAAAAGGTTGTTTTAAAATAAACAAAGATTAATAGCAAACAATTTCCCTTACTTCCCACTCGGTTATCCTAGTTCCCTTTTCCTCTCCCCCTTCTCCCCCTCCCCCCCATCCCACACATATACACACATACATAAATTAATATGCAAGTGAGTTAGCAATACCGCACGACTTTATTGTTGACAGATTCACTTCTATGAGAGACGGGACTCTCGTCTTTCGGCTCAAAGATCCGAAGTGTAATCCATTCGGCTATCCTACCCCACTGTAAAAGAAACGAGTTCAGTTCTATTTATATCCATTGGAATAAATTTTTGAAAGAAAATAATAATGCGGCTGTAATTCTTCAATTGGCTACGTTGAATCGTTGTGGCTAGTGGGACCACGCTGACGAGTAATGGTGCGAGTTGTTAGAAGAAGGAGGCTATGGTTGGCTCGATTTGGTGAAAACTTTGAAAATGCTAAAATTTTCTCAATCAATTTTGCAGCGAAATTTATGAAGCAGAGTGATTTATCACTTCATTAGTTCGATTCCGGTCTTTTGACGAGACCAGACCTGTTATTTAAAAATCTGCGTGGTACTAGCCAGCCGAGCGTATTTTCTAAGTGATTCAAAAATCTTTCTAATCGGTGAAGCGAGTCAAATGAGAAAATTTAGAAAAATATTTTTCAGTAATTTTTCTAAATGAATTTTTAATTAAATGAATTATTTTCAAAATATTATTTATTTTTTGCAAAAAATTATTAAAAAATATTTAAAAATAAATTAATAAAAGCGATAAAATGCTGCAATATTTAAAATAAAAAATATTATTAATTAGGAAAAAATTTAATTTCAAAAAATTTCATTTTTTTCTTTCGTTAGAAAGTTGAGCGAGCGGGAATTCAATATCGCTGAATAAATTATTATTTTATTATTATTAATTAAAAATCTTTTGTGTATGATCATTTGATCATTGACCTCTGACCTCTAACCTCTGACCTTTAATTGTTTTTTATAAAGCACTATTATAGTGTATTGTAATAAGGGATTTGATAAAACGAATGGATGAAAATTCAAAGGATTCGGGATATTGGAGTGGTGAAAATGACGTAAGCGTACGAAATATTGCTGATAATTTGGTTAGTTCGTTTATTTATAGTTAGATAGGTGATTCTGGTGCGAGGGGCCATCGGTTCAGTCGGTATCCCCGCTGCCCGCGTTTCTCTAAAATTTTATACTTTCGTAAGAAGTCGGTGCCAATTAGATTTCATTCTCCGAAAGTGATAACGCTATGATAGGATCAGTCTTAGGAAGCGGCGAAAAATTGCGAGATCATCGGTCCGACCACAAACTGAAATTGAAAGAACTCTGGGCCATATTTGTGATCTAAAGAGAGCATACATGTGGACTTATCGGATGATACCTTCGCAAATAAATTTTCGCAAGAATACTGTCCTGCTTCCTTTGTGAGTGGTACCTGGGTTAAAAGCCGGTGAAATATTTCCTTTCATCGATCTGTAACCGTGAGGGCTCTCTTAATCGCCTTTGTCTCTATAGATGACACGTTTATTTTTGAGGACGGGACAGATATGTCTAACAGGACATCTTGAATTGAACACTAAGTAATCGTTACTGGTTGGAGTTTATTATTTCTGGCTAGGCTTATTCCATTTGGCTTTCAATACGGTAGGGAATTTGCACTAGTGGTAAAATTACAGTTGGGCCGCACTATCTTTAGTTTTGGTAGTAACTCTCTCTTATTCCTCTCGCAAGATCTCGAATTTTTATACTCGAGACAATAATCTAAATAACTCGCCCATCCTGTCCGCAATTATTTTGTAATAATTAATGCGGCAATTAATTTAATCATTAATTTAAACATTCACAGAGGTGCGAGAACACATTTTTAGGATTTAAAGGATTTTGATTGAAGAAAAGATTAAGAACCGCTGGTTCGAATGCACCAAAACACCATTTAACCATATTTCCTAAAACGTTTATTGTATTTTAATTTAACAACTGATAAGGCTTATCATGTTGTTTTAGTCAGAATCATTCAGAACCAAAGGCAAACAAAAAATTTCAATAAAATTTAGTTCAATAATTCATATATAATTTGTCTTAAGGCTTATTTTCTCGTTTTTTTTTCAGGTTTCATTCGATTCAATTTTCTTGAAAAATTCATCGAATGGAATGAACCAATTGAACACCAATGAAAAGTTGAAATATTCACGAAGGTTAAACGATTTTCTTTTTTTTATTCAAAAATTTTTTAAGAATTTTTATAAAATTCTTAAATTTTTTTTAAATTAAAGCGATTCATTTGAAATTCAAAGTTTCAATATAGAATTATCATTCAAATTATCATTTATCAGTTTAAATTGCAAATAATTAAACAACAAAACTCTTTGTTGATTATGAAAATGACGACACAAATTAGATAAAAGCATCAGAAAATTTTCATTATATATATATATTTTATATATATTTTTCCTTAATTCATAAATTCTTTCACACAGCTTTCTGGTTTTTTATTTGGATCGTTTCTAATAGCTCATTTGTCTATTAAGTTGGAATCTTTTCGCTAAAGAGTTATAAGGAAGAAAAGTTTAGATGAGTCTCTGGCAGCAATTTGAATTTCACTTTTAACGATAGGCCAATTTTTGAGGTGAGGACCCACTGAATCACCTAGAGACCACTGTCTAAATCATTGGATAATTATTTCATTGAAAAGTAAATGATTAGCCCTCAGCATCACATTTAGCCCATTTAGTTGGCCAGCGATTCACTTGGAAATATACTACAGTTAAGTGGTCAGCATCATCGAGCTTTTTAATGACAGAGGTAGGATCCGAACTCTTGCCTCTTAATCCGATAATCTGATGCCTCCTCCGTTGAATTTAATTAGTGAAATAAAATAAAATTTCATCGATCTCATTATTTTTTTCAGAATTCATATTTAAATTTCTTATTTTTTTTTAGTTGTATGGATGAGAATTCTTCAAACTGTGTCGAAAAGGAAAACATAATGGATGAAATGGAAGAGAGCGACATGAATTCAAAAAGACCTTCGGATGGTAATTAATCCCTTTTTTGAATCACCTTTATTAATGGATCATTTCAACATTATTTTTATGTGGTTAAGAATTTCAGTTTTTTTGATTTCTTGATTTCATGGCGATGAACAAAGTAGAAAATTATTAAATAAAAAAATAGTCTTGTTATCTGATTCATAATTTTATATTTGCGTGAAATTCTTATAGATTTTTGAAATAATTCATGCCAAATTTTCTTACGATTAATTTGCCATTTTTTGTAGCAAATTTAAAATTAAAAAGTAGCTTTAAAGTAGCTTTAAATTAAAAGTTTTTAAGTAGCTTTTTGCATGTGGCATTCATTTATTATTTATGAATATTATGCCATTATGCCATTAGTTCAACGAACTTGGATTAAACTGCGAGCACATTTCTGAGTAGCACATAGAGTTAGCTAATGTTGCTTTTATAAAGATTAGCAAAAAGGATGCTCTGGTTTACTATATATTTTTAATAAATTAATTTCTTTAGCATCGAGTGTTCGAAAAAGATTGATTGCATTAACCAGGTTTGGAAGTTTATTCGTTATTTTTCTTTTAATTTTATAATTGCTTTATGAAAATTATTTTTAAAGGATTATGCTTATTGGCTGATTTTGTATGCTGGTTTGATTTTCTAATAATTCTTAAAGGACTCAGAGTGAACTCACTGCAAAGGAAGTAAAGAAGAATGAACAAATATCTCGCCAACATTTAGATGATATTAGCAATTTTCTTCCATCATTAAATATTCCTCGAAAGCGCAAGGAGTCTCAACAGTACATTATCGATGAATGCAGTTGTAGCAAAAAACAAAAATATGACGAGGATTGTGATAAATCAATGGTTTGAGATTTATTTTAATAAATCGAAATTGATTTGTTATCTATTGTATGTGTGTGTCCTATGCAATTTTCTTAATGCATTAATATTAAAGGTAAGTTGGATGGAAAAAAAATTCTTTCCTCATTTGTCACAGTAGATATAGAATAAATTTATGATTTAAAAGGCTGCACCAGATTTTACACAGTGGAGGAATTGGAGGAATTATGCAGTGATAAAATTAAAAATTAAAGAAGAAAAACTTCTATCAATTCTATGATCGCTTAAATTAACAGAAGAACGTTCCTCATCTGCATTGACTGGAATTGAATTTTTGTGACTGGAATTGCGTCGAATTGAATTTTGAATATTGTAGGCTCTGAGCTCTTTGATAATATAAATTTTGCATCTTCCGATATATTTAAAAGGAATGAACATCGATAGTAGTACGAGTCGTTGTGAACATGCGAACTGAGATTTTATCACAAGCTTATTACATGTGATCTGCCCGCAAGATTCAGAAGCTTCTATTATGTTTCTTTCGATATGTTGAATGATAGAGTATTTTGAACTAATAGTGAACAATCCTAAAAGGTGTGCGATAATGCCGAACAAATTTGTTGCTAGTTTCAAACCGAAGATCAGTCAAAATATAAAAGTGTTGTGACCAGAAAAGCGGTCAAAAGTCAATAAAACTAAATTAAAATTGGGAAAGAAATATATATGACAAGGAATGGCGAAATAATAAAGGAACCTTCCATCTAGATTCTATGAAATTTTAAGGGTGCATAATTTTATCGCTGCTTAATTTCAGACAGGAAAGATTATCTCTAATTCGTCATAGTTTCGTCATATTATCGATTCTGAATGAAGAATTTTTCAGGAATCGCGAGATTTCCAATTAGTTAATACAAAAGAAGCTATTTCTCCCGGAAATTTGTCTTTAGTCAAGGCAAAAACTTTTAGTGTTTCGCAGTGTAAAATGCCGCAGTTCATTGTTTGGTCTCCTAAGTTGTCACCACAAATTGTAAGTTTTTTATCGTTAACTTATTCTATAGTGAGAAAATAAAAATTATCGTAGAAATAAAAAAAAATAAAAATTATAAATTGTAAATTTGTTTTAATATTCAGAACTATTCACTACGGACGACTGAAAAACCACTTCTCAATTCAATCGCATTTAAAAGTATTGATGCCGAAGTTATAATTGAATTGTTAATGAAATTAACTGCCGACGAATTCACCAATAAGTATGCGCTAATCGATTGTCGTTATCCGTTTGAATACAACGGTGGACACATAAAAGTAAAATTTTATTTCTAGCAAAATTTCTTTATATTATTTTTAAATTTTTATTATTTTAAGAAAAAACAAGTAGATCGAGCGGAAATATTTTATTTTAGCTTGCCGTTAATATTTATGACCGCAAAAAGCTTGTCGATTATTTTTATCCCAATGATGCACTGCGATTCATCGAAATATCACGGAAAATACCAATATTTTATTGTGAATATTCGAAAATACGTGGACCTAATATGTGAGTTCTTGCTTACTGTTTTCTTTATTGAGAGAACGCTATTCAACTAACTTTTATAGCGACGATAACTCAAATAACTTTCTCTTAGATTAATTAATAATATAGAGATGAATAGAATAAAATAAGTGATTGTTGGAAATTTATTACAGAAAAAATGTTTGTAGGGCGTATGCATTACGTGCCGAGGATCGAATTCGAAATAAATTGAATTATCCCATGGTCGATTATTTGGAAATGTACATTCTTGATCGTGGCTATAAAAATTTTTACGAGATCAATCAGCGTATCAATAAAGTATGAAATTTTTTTATTTTCAAGTTGTCTTATCCGTGGTAGAAATCTAAAAAGTCGTTTAGTTCACCTCAAACTCATTTGAAAAAATGGATTATAGTATTTTACGTCGGTAAATTAAGATTATAAATCTAGAATTCGAAAATTGGGTGGTTGTACGATTAGGGCGAGTTGTAATTATACTTTAATTTAAATCTACTTGTTTGAATCTATTTGCTAACTATAATTTCTAAATAAGAGGTAGATCGTCGCTCTTATTCCTGTATGCTTATGTTGTTATTCGAGTCCAGGTTAGATTAATTTTCCAAATGTCTCTCTGGTGAAATTTGTCGAGTCCGACATGGCAATGAAGCGAGTCTAACCAGAAATGGTGACCGCTTTTTGAAATAAAATAGGTACTATTAAACTTTTGGTACTTCATTGCCATTATCTCGAATTAATTCGCTAAAATAATCGCAATTTTCGTTTTCATTTTGTTGTTTTTTTCGTGTTTTAATTTTTTAAAAAGAAATTTTACCAGGATTGTTGTGAGCCAGATGCCTATATTCCAATGAATGATCCACGTTTTATAAGCGACTTAATGAATTATGATCTTCATCGCAGTAAATCTACGTCAGGTACAAAGAGCAAGTCAATGAAAAAGCAGTGGAAGAGGAAAAAAAGGAAAAAAACTTCACTGGATCCGGTGCTCGAAGAAGTCTAATGTAGAATTTTTTTCATTCAGGTTTAGAATTTTACATCAAAATATTTTTTCGGGAATTTTTTTCGGGAAATTTTTCGGGATTCGGACTTAAAAAATTTAGCTTTGTCTAGTTTTTTTCTATTTTTTATTTCTGATCACTTGTGAAAAGTGCGAAAAAATTATAAAAAATGTATATGCAAATTTTCAGATGATTATTTGTAATGAACCATATGCTAAGTGTTCATTTTGCCAAATTATGCTAATACGAGTATAGTTTTTTTTGTGGTGCTTTTTATTTGAATTTTGCTTTGGGTTTATTGTGTGAAATTCTACAGTGCTTTCTTTTGATATATATTACAATGTGAATAAAATATTAAAATATGAAATATCATGTAGCACTTGTAAATCTTTTTCTCTTCCAACACTACGAACAGTTTTTGCTTTGGCTAATCGGATCGATTGTTAATTAGCTTGGCCATTTCGGAGACCGTCCCGCTAGAGAATCAGTTGGGGCAGATGAGTTCGCTGCAAGCAAGTGAATTTCGCATTGAATCACAAAACAAGAAAACTGATTGTTATGCAGCGCAATCGCTATTTTGTTAAATAAATTTTTAAAAAATTTATGATTTGCGAATAAATCGTTGGTTTCAAGATTTAATCGTTTTAATCACAAATTTTTCTTAAGATTTTACTCAAAATAAGAAAATTTTTTAGTTAAAAGGAAGTTTAAAGAAATTGGACAAAAAGGCGAAACGAATATTGAATGGGGCATTTTAAATTTACTCTAAGGCGTACATTCATATAATTAAATGGGAATATAGAATACCGTAGGACAAATGAGAATTAAATGGGAATGAAATTGAGAGGGATCGAATCGATCGATTAGAATAGATCGATTTTCCAATCAGATTTGATCTACATGTAGTACCATTCTTCTATTTTGGATCAAATTTGACTTCATAGAGAATTTGGAATGTATTTGGTAGGCGATTTTCGATATTTTAGTACGTTAATAGATAATTTTAGACTTTTCTTTCGCTCTTTCTTGTCTTTCTAAAATACCACTTTTTGCTTTTGCTGGCTATTTGAGAGAGCCACATTAGATACAATAAAACAGATGTAAAGCAAATTAACAGATACAGATGAAGATGCAGACCTAAGCCAATATAATAGTTCTTATCAAAGAAAATTTTCCTTATCATTGATGAATTTCTTAGTATGAAACTTCATTTTTGCCATATCCTTTAGACCTGTGGAACTGTTATTGATTCTGTGGAAATTATTCATTATTAGTATTTCACTTAAAAGAAGACAACGAGCTTAGACTACGTACATGGGCTGTATTCTTAGCCAATTTATCATGCATTTGCTCCATTCTTGCGATAAACTGCGATTATAATTATTGTAAGAAAAGTACAATTTCCGATAAATTCTTCGCGCATTTCCTATTTTTGTCATCACTAATTTCGCACAAACATTATGTTTAGAAAATTAAAAAAGTTTTTTTCACAAATTAAACAATTATTGAGATTAATGAAATTTTCATTTTAGGTTTTTTTGCAAATTATTTCCCATTATTTTTTCAAATTCTTTACTTAAATAAACAATTCGTGTTTTTGATAGTATTTACTGTGATTGTACTGATAAGAATTGATAAGAATTATTCAAAGTCGATTATTCAAATTGCATCGATACGATAAATAAATATGAGTGAAACTGAAGAAGATTCTTCAAAAGGTTACTTTTTTATGCCAAAACGTTTGTGTTGATTCTTTTTAATTCGACGGGTATTTTTTCATAAATTAAACAAATCGAACAAATTGAGACAATTCATACAAATTGGTTCTGCGTATATTCTTGAGTTATTTTACAACAAATTACTTTCACATGCGAGTAATTCTTCGCTTTTTGTGGAAAGAGTCTTCTTTGCTGTGAATCATTTGTGGGCACCGAAGCGAACTGGAAATAACTCTGGAATTTACTAGCATTGCCCACAGTCTCTGCCTGCATTTTCATATCGTCGTACGGAGCACCAAGTTCCACCATGTCAAAAAGGATGTGCTATTAGGCGGCACACTATACATATTAAATTGAAATTTATTATATTAAATTTTTGAATAAGCTTTTTTCAGAAATTTCTGGTTGTTTTTGTTTTTATTATTATTTCTATAATTGTTTTTTAATCCTTCTTACAACTATCCTTCCATAGCCATGTGAATTTATTTCAAATTCTTTTAAGGATCGGAAATTCAAAAAGAATCCGATGAGCCTAAAAGGTTGCTAAATTTTTTTCAAATGTTTTTTTTATTTGGCTTATTTGACGAAAGTCATTTTTAAAAGAATTTCTATTTATTATTATTATTAGCTTCGATAATAATAATTTTCCATCATTGACAGTGAATTTACTGCAAAAGAAAAACGAAAGGATGACCAGTTTCCTCGTCTCTTAGGTGATATAAGTAATTTTCCTCAAGCATCAAGCGCTGCTAAGGAAGATGAGAGAGTTCGAGGAAGTTCAATTGATGAAAGTCCTTGTAAAAGGACGAGGCTTGAAATCGATGAAATTGTCTTGCCTAAGGTTCGAGATCTTATTTTATTCATTATCAAAACTAATAACTTATCGAAAAGTCGCAAAAAAATGCTTTCACAACAATTTTGCAATAAATAAATAATATATCATATATTACATATTGTATATTATAAATATATTATTTTTTTTAGGACATTGGAATTTTTAAAATGGTGGGTGAAGAAGCAGGCGTAGCGAGTCACATTCAAGAAGATATCTCTTCTCTTTTAAGCGAGGAACAAGTGCCAGAAGAACCGAAAAAGGCTGAATCGAGCACGAGGACCTCGAACCAGTCACCAGAGTTTGTAGGCTTTTTTCGTTTATTCATTATAAAATTTTGAATTATTGCAGAATTCGAGATCAAAAATAAATTCAATTTATTCCAGAAATATTCACTGCGATTCATTGAACGACCTTCCATCACTTCAACTGCATTTAAAAGTATTGAAGCGGAAGTTATGAAGGAATTATACGAAAAATTTTCCGCCGAGGAATTCACCAAGAGATTTGCATTAGTCGATTGCCGTTATCCTTATGAATACAACGGCGGACATCTAAAAGTAATATAACTTTATTCAATGTCGAAAAAAAAAGAATTTAGACTTATCGCTAATGAGTTATCGTTTTTTTTTTACAGAAGAATTTTTTAGTCGTTAAATAAATATTTTATTTCAGTACGCTATTAATATTCATAATCGCAAGGATCTCATCGACTACTTTTATCCGAGTGATCAGGAAAAACTTAACGAAATGTTGCGGAAAATCCTAATATTTTATTGCGAATATTCAACAAAGCGCGGACCTGATATGTGAGCTTTTATTTTTCCCCTTCTGTTCAGTTATTATTCAGTTTCCAGAAATTTTTTCTATTCTGCCAATTTTTACGAATTCTTGCATACCATATTGCTACGCAACATTTATATTAGTTTGCTTCTTGTCAATTTATTGGAAATTTATTGCAGAAGGCCTCGAAACATTTTTTTAGGGCTTTTGCACTGCGCTCTGAAGATCGCAATCGAAATATATGGAAGTATCCTACAGTTGATTACAAGGAAATATATCTTATTGATCGTGGCTATCAGAATTTTTATGAGACTTTTGGGAGCCAAGTTTGTTTTTCGCTTTTAATTATCTCATATTTAGTGTAATCCTTAATAAAAGTCGAAAAATTAATTTGATTCCTACTTCATATTAACGATGTGTAATGAAATTCTTCATTCGTAAATAATAATCACGAATTTGTGAAACTTCGTGAAACTTCGGTTATCAATGTTAATCGTGTTAACTCATATTAATGCATTTTTGGTGATTGGAATTTTTTTCTAAGAGCACTCACCATCTCTGGTCAGAATCATTACCTCATTCTGATTTCTAAGAGCAGGCAAATTTGCCAGAGAGTCGCTCGACTGGAAATCCGGGTGGATCGCCAACACCGCTCGAATTTCGTTTGTTTTTTCTTGCCAGGAGTAGAAATGCAGCATCGGAGATGAAAGGCATCATGAATAATTCTACCCTCATTCTATAACTGCCATTTAAACAGTGGGCGATTTGGGTTGATTTATTTGTTTCCATAAGTCAATCCACTAAAACAATTTTTTTCAAGTTATTAAAAATTCGCTAGCACAATTTTTTTCGCTCTTATTTTTCCTCTAATAAGAAAGAAGTCTCATTAGGGTTTTTGTGAGCCAGATGATTACATTTCAATGCGTGATCCACGTTTTCTGAGTGAACTGCAGAATTATGAAAGCCATCTTAGTAAATCTAAGTTATCATCGAAAAAACTCAAGAAGAGAAGTAAGAAATAAAAAAGAAAGGAAATTTTTCGAAATCAACCCTATTTGAATAGATTTAATTTAAAATTTCCTGATTTGTAGCAGTTTCATTGAATCCTTTTTTGAGCTATTATCCACAAAAAAATCGTTTATTCCTGAATTTTTCTCAGCAGTATTTTTCAGTTACAGAAATTTTTATAATTATTTGTGATTTGTGATTTGTCAGCATAATTTATCAGAATCTTACGACTGTATATTTTTAATATTCTTATGTCCTTTAGTTCATAATCGCATTATTTATTATTTTTATTTTTTAAGCATTTTTTTTGCAATTTTGTGGCAGTACGAGTTTTTTTACTTTACTTTACTATATTATACAAATATTATTTTGCAAAAGAGCAATAGAGTGAAAGAACTATATTTGGATGTGCTTTTTTCGTCATTTTATCGCTTTTTATTATTTTTATTATACTTTTATTATTGTGAATTTGTGATTTTACGCGATTTTTGTGATGCTTTCTTGTGATAAACTGCGAATGAAATATTTTGGCATATATGACGAATCGCAGCGTCTTTTTCATCACCATAGACCCTATCTGATTTGATAATCCCTATCAACTGTGGTTTAAAAGACCGTTTAAATGTTGCTATTACGCCATTTGTGGATTTCGCTTTATGCAACTCCCTGGATTTAACTCTTATTTCGAATCCCACGAGAAAATCTTACTTGTCCGCACTCGAAGTAATATCACCGATTTAAGGCGTTCTTTTACGCTTGTAAATTTGCTGTCACTAAACTGCTTTACAATTTGATTATTTGCGAGTTTTCTGCTATTTTAAAAAGAAATACTTTATAGCAAATTCATCCGAAAATTAGTGAAAAAAAAGCCAAATGATCGAAAATGGAAGCAATTCTTTATTGCATATTCTTTATAGCATTTTTATGTAAATGAAAATAAAATTTGATAAAGATATAAGTAAAAAGAAGACCGATTTTTAGATTAGATTCTGATTTATATTTTTCCGTTTTATATCAATTTTTTGATTTTATGGTACTTAGACTCGAAGGATAAGTGTTAAAGAGGATAGTACTTAAAGAATGAATCTCATCAGTTTTGTACTCGATATTTGCAATATGAATGAAAAAGTTGGAAAAGGGTTTCGATTTCATTTCCTTATCATCTTCCAATAGCATTATTTCTACTTTGGCTGGTTTCATTAATTAACTAGCATAAGAAAAAAAAGTCACATGACGATGGAAGTACAAATAGGTTGCAAGTATCACCGGATTTTTTTTGGTGACAGCTTTATTCCTGTTGGCACAATTCGAATCTGTGATACTCGACGCAGATTCAAGCAAACTGACAATTCGTGGAGATAGAGGCATGGACGTCCTAGTTGGAATGGAATTTCACAGAAGTCACAGAAGTAAAACTTTAACTTTTATATAAAAATAAAAATATTATTTAAATTTATAAAAATAAAAATATTTATAAAAATATTTTAATTGATTTCGGTGGTTTTCAAATTCTTTAAGATAGATTATTTTTTCGAATGGAAATTCGCTAAGGGTGCTTAACTTTTTTTTTAAAAAATTTTTTTTTAAGTGAACTCTCTTTTGATGACTTTTTTTGATATTCGGAACATTCGGAGCTCCCCTTTTTTTCGTCATTAAAGATATTCAATAGCGTAGCACCCAATCTTTCGTCAAAAATTCACCGTAAAAAGTGATAACGTTGCCATAGCGTGGGAATCTTTTCGTTGGATTGTTAATCATAGAACGCGGTCCGTTCTTTTAATCAAAAATCAAAAAGCTCTCATTGACACACTTTTGCGAGACATTTCAAGGCAAATACATTTTAAAAAATCCAATAAAAACTCATAAATAGAATTAAAAAGTAGGAATTAAATCATTAAAATACCATGTCACAGTGCAAAAAAATTTATATGATATGAGTGCATTCATGCAATGCATGAAAGCCGAGTGGCTAGTGGCTAATGCTGCAAATTATAGCGCCGAGAAGCAAAAGCAAGATTTTTGCCCTCAACGGGAGTAAAACTGTTATTAAAAATGATACTGGGTGATGCTGGTGACTGATACTCGTAGTTTTATCACCAAGTGACCGATTTCATGGCAAAAATCTGCATTGCACCAAGAGGATGAACATAACCAGGTTGGTGCGCACTAACCGCGCAAGTGCTTTACTTTACTTATATGAAGCCTCGTAACTCGGGTAATTTCTTCTTCTCGAATTCTAATATTTTTGTATTTAATATTTTGTAATATTAAATACTACTTTATTCCTGCAAAAATCAAAGGAGAATCCATGCGAATCTTCCCTCAGTCGAAAGGCACTCTACTTCCTCTTTGCGCTAAATCGTACCAGCCTTTTGATGAGAATAGAATTTTTTTTCGAAATAATAGACAAAATATATAATTTTTATAAAAATGGAAATAAAACATCCCTAAAATAAATAATAAAAATATTATCATTCTTTTTGCAAACAGTTCATTTCTTTAAGAGCTCGTCGAATCGAATTTGACACGCGATCCGTTGATGATCTGTTGATGCTGGCGAGGATGGCGACGGTCAGCACATGCACCATCAGCACCACTCATTCCATTCCATTGAAAATCTTCTCCGTCAATCAAAGCAAAAGCAAATTTGGCGCCAACATATGTGAAGAATTCAATTTTTATTTCCGTCATTTTCATGAATAAATTTTTCAAATTGTTTCTTATTTTTCAAAATTGCTTCTTTATTTTTACGAAAATTTATAAGCGATTATTCCTGCGAGATGAATTCAGTTCTTGCCGCAAGAGTGAACTTCAAAAAAGACCCCAAGTGGCGTTTGCTTTTAACCTGTTTTTATGACAAATGGGTGGCAAAAATTCGAACTGGCTTAACTAGAAATAATGATCGCTAAGCGCTTTCGGATGCAACAAAAGTTATCTCATAAATTCGATCAACAAAAATTATTGCATAAATTTTTCAAAGATGAATTCTCGAAAATTTGAAATCTCGATCCACTCAGCCATTTATTCTATAGGTTTTTTTAGAGAGTACTTATCATTACTGGTTAGACTCGTTCGGCTGGCTTGTCGGATTAGACAAGTATGCCAGGGAGTCCCTTAATAAAGATGCACAGGTGAATCGCCAGCATCCTGTAGCATTTATTTTATAGAGAATGCTTCTTGAATCGCATGTTGCTTCAGCTAAGGACAAACAACTAAACCGGAACTGTTTCGTCATTTCGAAACTAAATTGTAAATGGACAAAGATCCACAAAAGAAGTTGGCAAAACTTCCAACTTTTTAATGAACAGGTTTTTAAAATTTTATTGCCTAAAATAAAATTATTTGACTAAAGTTTATCAGACTAAATATCAAATTTTTTTTTTTTATGCTTGTTATTTTAACGAATGTGGAATGTAAACGTGAAATAGTTGCACGCATTTGACAAGGGCATTCATCCAGTTAAGCGCCGTTGAAGAGAATATAATGACATTTTTATCAAGATCATTCTAGATAAAACTATTCTTTAAGACATTTTTAATATTTTTTTCAATAAATGTAATTTATAAATTTCGCAAATTTAAATAGAATTAAAAATTTTATAATATGCAACTGAAAATTTTTCGCATTTAGGCAATTGACATTTTTAGATAAACTGTCGTTGATGAGTTTCTATGTTGTTAGACTTTGTAAAGTTGAAATATGCATTTTATTTTCGTCCATAATTATTCAGCAGTAGATCGGATATCGGATCATTCATATTTCCGTCCTTAAATGGCTCTCTGAACACCATTCTCATTCATTAGGGTCCATTAAACTGGATGATAAAGAATAGTGTAGAGTAAAGTAGTAATTTATTGTGTATGATAGCTCAGATTCTATCTAAACTTTGTTTAAACTCGCTGTTAATTTGTTATCTCCGCATTGATTCTATAAACCTATATTATTTCTCAATCTCGTGAAAAGGTGTTGCGTTTTGTAATTTGAAGCGCCGAAAAAGTCTTAAATACAAGACTAATTAGGTGCTTCTGAAAAATGATTCGTTCATGATAATTGCGCAACGTGGCGTTTTTGAAAATCCAGTCTAATATCCAGACTGTCACCTAATCATTTATACATATTCGAAGAGATTTTAAGGCACATTTTTCGTATCTATCGATTCATTTAACCATATATGTGCATTGTATTTATTTAATAATGATGAAATTGTTTGCCTAAATATTACTTGGATATATAGGTTTTCCGATGAAAGCAAAAACTCACCTTAGTAGTCGGTCAAAATTGGCCTATATGAAAAACAACTCAATTCAATTAAAAATGAATTCAATTAAATTTTCTGTTAATTTTAGTAAACTCATCATGTAAATAAATTATGCACTCAGAATTTTTGCAACGAGACTTCATTTTTTTGAGCATCTAATAAGCTATATGAACAAATTTTCTTGATCCTTGTTAATGGTACTTTTGGCTGGAAATTTCTAGGTCAAATCCTTATAAAATCCATGATCAGTTTTAATGGTTTTGCTAAAGCATGGAAATTTTACAGAATTTACAATTATTATTTCATAACGATTGGTACTAAGTGTAAAATCTTAAACAATTTGATTGCGAGGTCATTACAAAATCGAATTCAACTTGATCTTCTCTTTCCTCGATTTTTTACTACTTACCCCCCACTGATTGAAAGTGCCCATATTTCGATAATTTATAATTAGGGAGAACTGATCGATCGTAATTTTTGAATGCTGACATTTGCTCATAACACTCATTTTAAATATGAATTTTAGCGAAGCAAACGCATGCGAACTACGATTCTGCTATTTTTTCGAATTTTTTTTTTTAAATAAAGTAGCGATTAGATTTGGATAAATAGAAATAGTTAATGCAGCCAGCCAAACTGAGCAGAAATTAGAAGAAAAAGGTTTGCAAAACATTTTGCAATCTAGAAAATTGGAAATTTTAAATATTAGTTTATTTCGCAGTTATTTCGCAGTAGTAGCGCCGTCATTACCAATCATTATTGTAAATATCGTGAAATCACTCGCTGTCTGTGGACTAATTTTGGATTTGAAATTAGGATAGTTATATAAAATAACACCGATTTCCTAAATATAAGATATTCGCGCAATGATAGTTCAAATTTTCATCTCATTACACTAAGATAAATAATATATTCTTTGTTCCAATTTCACTTTTCCGACGTGTTCAACTGATTCTTACATGAAAGTACAAATAAATTTCGGCTTTCAGCATTTTTCTTATTGTCCCATAACCATTACTGTAATTCATAATTGTAGCTTTCAACCTAAATGGCATGAAAGTGAGGAATTTCACAAAAAAGAACGAAATCTTGGAATTGTATTTCAAATACAAGCTGAATCATCGTGATTTTCAGTATCATCGAAATTTCAGTATCAGCGATTTTTTCTCATTAAACCATTATTTTGAACTCTAAATATTTTCAAAAAATCAGTTTTTAGCGCTATTTTCCTTGTCCTCTCAAATGAATAATTTCCTATAAGTTCGAATGCGCAAATAAAAATAGTACAGAAAATGCAAAAAGAGAGAGAAAAGGCACTGAGGGAGAGCACTTTGTAATTAAATGTAAATCGAGCAATTGCATGAATGCGATAAAGAAATGGCGATGGGAACTACTGAGTCTACAATTCTACAACTACAAGTAGGTTTCAGCAAATCTCATAGTTCTTACTTCAAATCAAATAGTACAACCAATAAGTCAACTTATGGATACGGTATATTTCCAATATTTTTATTTCTTCAAATAACTTCAGATAATTGCGACCAATCACTATAATATTGAAGCCAACTGAAGTTGAATAACTTTAAATGAAAATAATGAGAAAAAAATTTAAAATATTGCAAAAAGTATGACTATGATTTAATAATTAAGGGAAAATTCCTCATATCTCCAGTTGATGAGCCACAACGAAAAAAATGAAAAATGCAATTAATATATTCGAATCATCGTCATTAGCTGATCTGCTCTGAAATTCATAAAAGAAAATACAACACTTTCCCTACACGCTCAATTTCAGAATTAATTATCTTCCAGGAAAATATAAAAAAAAAGTACACCGGTGGTCGATTCAAATGGTGAGCACACAACAACAATAAAAACATCAGCTGAGAATATATAATGCTAAAATTGCTTGTGGCACTAACATACTAGAGTCTAGTGAAATATTGAACAAATCGATGGAAATCGAATGAGGTCATACAAAAATTTATAGAATTTCAAAATTACGACAAATAGTACAGATAATTTATACAAATGCAAGCACGAGTATAAGATAGTGTAAAAATATATAGTGCTTGTGGCACTAACATACTTAAGTATATATATATATCATAAGTATATATCATAAATATCTAGAAAAATTTGCCTCTGGGAGTTAACTAAATTTTGCTAAAATCGAAAATTTAGATGCAAAATTTTTACAAGAAACCTCGAACAATTATGGAAACAACTCGTGAAGGAGGTTAGTATGATAGTGCTTCTTCGCAAACCAATGAACAACTATGCTTTGAAATTATTCATTGTTATAATAAAAAAAATAATTTTGGATTATATTTGTTAGAAAAAATGAAGGAATGAATATTTGGAATAAGGTTAAATGGAACTTGCACATCTCTTCGTTGCCCCCGCCAGTAATGCTGGCAAAAATGCTAGTCCCATTTGACATAAGAGATGGCACAGTGGAATTTTCTTTTTATTTTTTCTAAAGAAAAGAAGAATTATACAAAAAAAGGAAAATATTTTTTGTCCAACTAAAACACGTGCTTTCTCATATTTTTCATAGGAGAACTATTTTAAATATATGAAAAATTAAAATTCCATAACAAAACAAAAAAGAAAACTAAAACATATTTATGCTAAATTATTATGAAAATATTTAAATAAAGAAGAAAAATATAGTCATAGATAGCCGTTAAATATACTTATAAATATTGGAAGAGAACTAGTATGTACAAATTTTTAGATGATTAGAGAAAATTAAAAGAAAGAAAATTGCAATTCATTTTCAATATTGTGGTGCACCAACTGCTGTTGTCATGTGTTGTCCCCATTCTGGTACGTTTAAAATTGGCCAAGCACCATTATTATGTTGTACATCAACGCTTGATGCGAACTGAAAATCATTCATTGATGGTAAACAATCTTGCTCAGATTGATACGGTTGACCATGATCGAGGCGTTGAATGCAGTTAATTGGGTAGAAATTTGGTGCTCCAATAGATGTATAAGTAGTGGTCTGTGTTGTAACTGGCGCTGGAACTGTGTCAATATCATGAGTTGATGTTGCACTAGCATAACCACTTGATGAGCCCGATGATAATGACCGCAAATCCTCCTTAAACTAGAAACAAATTGATAAAAATATGCTATAGTAATTCATCATTTAATGAAAAATAACAGGTTACTATTATGAAAAGCATTTAAAGGAGAATCTATTTATGACATATTTATGACAAAATTCTTATTTATTTAAATGCAAATTTGTTAATTTATAAAATGGTTAATTTTTGTGGTTCAAAAGGAAATATTACTAATATATTTTTTATTAATAAACGAGATGCAGAAAAAAATGAGAAATATGAAAGTGATTCCATTTGTTCTCTTACATAATTTACGCCGATATTAGCCTTCTGTTCCCCGCCTTTCAAAATCCTAATGGTGCTGGCGACCGATTTGCGCTTCTATTGCCAAATGAAAAAAAGGTTAGTGGTAAAAGTTTAGTCCGATCCGACTAACCCAGACTGAGATAGCCTATTTAGAAATTACGAACTCTATAGAAAACAAAAAGTCAACTTTTTGATGGATCAATAATTAAATTGCAAAAATAGAGATTATATTGTTCAACTGACTGGTTCCGATGCCAAATTAGTGGTGTGGCCAACAGGAGACCGACTATTCGCTTGCTGGTAATATGTTATATGAGAATGTTGTTGCGTTACTGATTGGCAACTGCTATATGGTATGCATACTTCCGTCAGCGGATTCTATAATTAATTAATCAAGTCTTTGAGAGATTTTCGTTAAATGACAATTTTCGTTCAATTATACAAAATAATTAGGAAATACAAAGGAAAAAATTGATTTTTATTCGGTTGATTCAATGAAATTTCGGGCAATCCAAGTTAGATGTCTTAAAATATTACTATTGTAGCTGATGGTATGAGAAGCTGATTTGGTGAACTGCATGTCGGCTGATGAGAATAAGATGCTGTAGAAGGTGGCATAAGATACTGTTCATCGTAATACTGCTCAGGTGTCATCGGTGGCTGCGTGAAATCCAGCGAATTGCGAGGAGAAAATTGGTAAATTTGCTCCTGAATTCAGAAATTAATAATATGTTGATTTAATGAATTTATGAAGCAATAGACTAAGAATTCAACCGACAGAAAAAAGCAACCTGTTTGATAGTCATATTGCTTGGCGAGCATTTTCTGCCATCCTCAGTCATAGTGCAAAGAGGTGGTGTAACTCCCAAATACTGCAGTGTTTCGTGATCGATCTTGGCTGATTTATTGCTGAAGTCATTCTGTGCCCCATACGCCATAATCATTGTTTGATTGTACGAACTAAAATTAAATTCCGATTCCATTTAGGAACAATAAGCAAACAAAATCATTTCATGCTTATAAATGCTCAAATAACAGATTTTTTGCATTAATAAAATATAATTTGCTAAACGACTGGTCAACAAATTAGAAATAAAAAAAACAGATAATGTGCGAAGCTGATTCATTCGCAAAAACCTACCGTTTCGAAGTTTTCATCCTCGACCCATTAATGCTTTGCGTATTGTTAGGCTGGCGATTTGTTGGACCAGTGATTTGTGTATTAGTTGCGTTTTCCGTGCCCTTTTTCGGTTTCTTCTTCGGTTTATATTTGTAATCTGGGTATTCCTTCATATGCAACTGGCGTAGACGCTCCGCTTCTTGGATAAATGGTTGCTTCTGCTCCTCAGGAAGATCTTTCCATTGTTTTCCCAGCTGTAAACAATTAATTCATTCATAAATATCATGCGCCATTGACTCGAATAATTACGAACTCTAAATTAAGAAAGGCAGATCGCCTTAATCTTTTGAGGTAAATAAGCTTTTTTATTAGGCTCCTCATTCTAATGCTGATAAGGCCTATCGAATGCGATTTTTGTCACTCATTATTCATAACGATTCATGGAAAACTGATTAGAAATATTCATTTGGACGCAAAAATAATCAAATAACGAAACATCAGGTTTCCTTATGTAAATTATTACTCATTCATTATTCATGAGCCATTCTAGTTTTCTGATTTGCTAATTGCCACTTTATTTCAAGTCATCTCATTTTTCTTCCGTCTTTTGATAACGCTCATTATATCTGGTTTGGTTGGTTCCATTAGGAGGGCATCCCACTACTTTGACGATGAAGGCGCAAGTGGGTCTGCAACCCCACGCTGGTTTCACTTTTAATGATGGGTTCACTTCCGCCAAAGGGGAGGATTTTGATTCATCACTATCACTATCATCAAAGCGAATTTTAAAAAAATAATTAACAATTTTCTTATGTAAAATGGCATATGTAGTGGAGAGAAGTCAATTCATATTATTCAAAAAATTTAGTTCAGAAAATTGCGGTGAGAAATTAATACAAGGTCATCGAAAAACATTGGTTTGCAAGCGATTTAATGGCACTTTGAATGAAAAACTTGCAGCCAACATTATACTTGCGATTCATGAGGTACTATAAAAAAGTTTACTTGTTTACTAATCTCAGCGTTATGCATATCAGGTTGAGTTTCGCAGATTTTGCGTCGTTCCATTTGTGACCAAACCATAAATGCATTCATTGGTCGTTTAATATGATTACTGGATTTTTTGCAATTCGTAGCGTCTGTATAGGGAGTCGGACTGTTCTCTGCTACCTAAAAGTTTCAACGTCTAATTATGAGGATCGCTAAAATTTATTTATAAAATTTGAATGAAATTTATTTATAGAACTAAACTCTAAACTCACAAATTTTTTTTTGAGAGTCCTCACCATTACCGGTTAAACTCGCTCCACTGGCTTGCCACATTGGGCAATATGCCAGGGACTCCCTTGGCGATAGAAATACAGGTGAGTAGCCAGCATCACCCGAAAACTCACCAATTTTAGAAGGAGACAATTTAATTTACCAGAAATAATATCAGGTAAAAAAAAAATAAGAAATTATATTTTAAACCGGTAAGATATTCCGAAAAATCATGCTTCATTTTGAAATATAAAAAAATTGTTCTTAAAAACTGCTAAATTTTTAAAATTTAATTGCGGCAAGTGTCAAATTAGATAATTAGAAAGAATTGTGGATTTTAAAAATTAGGAAATTTAAATATGGCAATTTCCGAACCATTTCGTTTGAATTTAAAATTTCTTAATTATCCAAAATAAGGACACAATGGCTTAGTGGATTTCTCCCCAATTCGATATGTCGTATTGAGGTTTTATGCCTAGCAGGAATAAGCTCGCATTCCAAATATTTGATGCTGGCGACTACTTTCGCTTCTACGTGACTTCTTGGTAAAATTTGCCTGATCAGGCCTGGTAGGGGAGTAAGTAAGTCCAACCAGCGATGTTGAGTATTCTCAGAAAAAAGTGATCCAAATCGATTATCATCATTAACATCATGCGATTTTAACAATATCGAACGGTGAAGTAAATTTTTTATATCTTTTTTATAGACCACAGAAAAAAAAAAGGATAAATCAACTAATTCAAATATCATAAATTTCGTCAAATTTTCGGTAAAAAGGTTAATTAATTAGAGAATAACCATAAAAATGACCCAACATTTTTTGTCATTTCATTTCTTGCTGAAAATCTACGAAGGTATCACTAATTATTGCATCACATTATTTACTTCGAATTGTATTCAATAATTTTAGTTTGGTTAATCCAAATGATTACTGGAATAAGATGCCTTTAGAAATAGAACAACGAGGAGGGAGGAAGGAAAGATATAGATATATAAAGTTGAAATTGAAAAACCTTTAATGAGCCAAAGTGTTCATTTGGATCCCACTGAATTGAAGTATTCTTTGCCAGAGTTTGCAATCCTTGTTGGTATGGTTGATGTGGAACGTTCATGATCAATTGATGCTAAAATGAAAAAGAAGATGAAAGGAAAATCAGTTAAATTTAAATTGGCATATTTAAGCAAACTGGTTAAAGTATATTACAAATTAGATTAGATATATTTCCTAAACAGCAAAAAATGGCAGAATTATTCCTATAATAATAATTTAGAACGTCGAATTTTTGATGTCAACGAAACGAAAGCTAAACAAAACTATTTAAGACTAATAAATTATCCATATTAAAGCAAAGAAAAATTAAAGCAAAAATTTTGTAAAGAACGTATAATTATAGTTATTTATTTCTGCTAAAATAAATAATTTAATTTCAGCTAATTTAAATCAAAATGGTGAAATTTAATTTGAATTAGTGCGACATCTTAAATAATAATAAATACTAACAACGATTCATAAAGTGATGGTTAAATTTTTGTAGAGATTGTATAATAAAATTAACCTGTTGCATAACATGACTAATATTTTCCTCTTTAATAGACACACAATTCATGACCGATTCTTTGTCCATTATTATAGAAGAATAATGTATTTGAATATATAAAGTAATTTACCAAATAGCCAAAAATCTTTCAGACGATTAGGACACACTTAAATATTTCAACTGGAAGTTTAGTTTATAATACGAAAAAATTTGATAAATATCAACATTGATCGGAGAATTGAACCCAAAATAACTCGAAAATTCGAAGCAAAGGCGAGGACAGCGATTACTAATTTGATGAATTTACCTATAGTTACAAGAAAAATCAGATTTGACCGTTTGACCGCTCAATCCATAAAATATTCTAAAAATATGGAATAGTTGGAATATCGCTAAAATATTCATGGAAGTAAAAGTGCAAAAAAAGGATAAATTTCAATAGGCGCCAAAATGCATTGTAGATTTTTCACCAGAAAGAAAAGCATAATTATCATAATTATTTGCGACTTTGGCTGGCTTGAATTAATTATTTGATTATAAAACTTTGATTATAAAACTTTGAAAACTTTGAATTGAATATTTAAACAATGAAATAATAAGAGGAAAAAATAGAATTAGAAAATATAGAACTGTTAAAAATGAACATACGAAAAGCCATAAAAAACTAAAGAGAAAAAGATGGTGTAAAAATATGTAATAATTGGGGTCGAAAAGACGGAGAACTAGTGATGAACTGAAAAGGCACGGGGTCAAACTGCAGGTGACCCGGTCAATCATGAAATGGCTGACCATTCTCTGCATATAGGGTCATATAACGCACTAAATGGTTGATTTTCAATCATGAATTCATTTAATTTAAAATATCTTATCGCGTAAATTTTCTTCTTAGTTCTCTCAAATCTCTTTAGAGTTTTCCTCGTCAACCATCGCTGACATAAAACCTTTTCGGTTGCTTTCCAATAATCCATTGCGAATTGGGGGAGAGGACTACTAAGAAGTGTCGACAAAGATTTAGATTTAATGCTGCGATAGGATCTGCATGGTATTGATAAATTGTGCCTGTTTATAAATATCACCAATTAGAACGAAGAAATAGACATTGCCAGATTGCCAGATGCCCTCAATGTCCCGAATTTCTCAGTTGTCATCATCATCCAGAAATTGCAAATCAAATAAAACCAAGTATTTTGCATTGATAAGAATAAACTTCCGAAAATTTCTTTACATTACATTTAAAAATTATCTAATCAGCCATATTCAGTTCAGTTTATTCTACTGATTATTAGAGTCTCAAATATCCAGTTTGGTTTGTCTGTAGTATCTTAGGGCATTTCACTGTATGCAATTTAGCTAAAAAATATACTAAGATCCGATGGAAAAATTCATGACTTTAAAAATCATATAAATGAATTCGTTATTATTAAAGCTGTTAATTTCTGAATTATTTTAAATTATTTATTTATTTTAAAAGCTTACCAAAAAATTTATTCCGAAAAATTATAATAATATTTCATCTTATTCTTTTAACTGTATTTGCCATAATTGGTTTGGTTTACTCTGCCAACTTGGAGCCAAATCTTTGCATCATCTGGATTCCATTTTTATTGATAGGAATCGAATTCATTGGCTTCATTACTTAGAAAAACGTACTTAGAAAAACATATTAAAACTCTTAAATTAAAACAGGAAAAATAAAAAAGTCTTTAGAACCTCAGTTGAGACATATTAAATAAATAAAAATTGTACGAGGAAATTTTCATGCGAAAGCAAAACAGCTCAATAATTTCTTAATCCGATATAATAACTAAGAAATAAACGTAGATTTTTGCGATTTTGTCGATTTTGAATCGAATGCAACGAGAAAACAAGATCTTACAACATCATGCGACCAATATTCGGCTTAGCAATGAAATCAATGAAATCAACAAGGAAATTATAACGGTGAACCAGAGACACGGACAATTCCCAGCTTCAAGAGATACGCAAATGCGCTTCATTTTCAATATCGCTTTTTTATGAAACAATTAAAATCATGCTTATTGATCACTACTGAATTAAATCGTAAAACCAGAAATAATATCCGTTCAAATAGGATTCTACGGTTATTAATATTGCGCAATATTTTTTAATAGTGCACAAAGGTAAATACTAAAGCAATAGGAAATGCACAAAAATATGAAAAATATTTACATGAAAATAAAGCCCCTAGCAAGATGCGCAATATGCTATATTTTGCAATGCCATACGGAAATAAACAGATAAATCAGGTTAAAAAATCTGGACGAAAAACTTGAAAACACGTTTATTTTCAAATGATAACAATTCGTGATAAGTTACTGATATAAATCGTAAATTCTAAGTAAATATAAGAAAGAAATGAGGAAGAAATTTAGAAAATAGTAGAATTCACCAAATAATGATAAGTTTATACGACTTAAACAATATATTTGAAGACGCTGAACGAAAAATAGTTGCATTAAATATTATATTAAATTTTTAGCAGCTTAATTGTAATAAAATTATAGCAAGGAACATTTATAATATTGATGAAAATTTATTTGGTTTGATAGAATACCTAAAATTGTATTATTTCTTGCAAATAAAGATTGAAGTGGTGCTACGACGCACTTGTATTTCTTACCAAATGACTTTCTAGTAAAAATTTCAAACCATATTAAGAACGAGGAAAGTGAGCTGAACCAGAAACAATAAGCTAAGCTAATCTTTATATCATATTTAATAAATAAGAAAGTACCTATTTTTTCTCCGCTAAAACGGCAATAATAAGGATATTTATCAGAACTTTTTAGTTCATTGAAAATTGAGTAACTGAGCTGATTGAGCTGAATTGAGCTGATTGTTGATAAATTAATCAGTAAGCTCAGTAAATTAATCATTAACGAGATTATAAGTTTTAGGAAGGAATAAATTAATGTAACGTTTGCAATAAAGAAGGAATAGACCATAAAGATTTAGACGAATGATTAATTTAAAATGAAGCAATATCGCAATAATGATCACTAATAGATCCGATGGCGATTATTGTGACCATCATACGCATTAAATCTAGTCTCAGAACATCAAAAAATTGACTCGAAAAAATTTTCATCACGCTGGTTTTCCTTAAAACAAGTATTTGGCGAGAGATGATTAAAACATGCATGCATATCCTATCATTTCATCAATGTTCTCCTGCAATGTTATATAATTCTCAACCATTTTTTTTCAGTGTTATTCAATGTAAGCATTGTAAAAAATTTTTTTCGTAGGTCGGGTGCATGTGGTACTATACAAGTAAATGGTGGTTAAAATTCATTATTTCTACTCTACTTGGCTGTTAATATGATAGGACCGCTTTGTCAAAAAGCCATTTGTAAAGAAAAATATAAGTGCGTTACCAGCAAAATCCGGAATTTTTAATGATAGGTTAACTCCTGCAGGAGGCATTATATTATTGAATCATTTGAGTAATGTAATCATGAAATCTTATGGAAAAAATGGAGATCGCTTACAAAGCAGAACGCAAAGAACGGAAATTTGAGTGAAATTCAGTTAAAACAGAGTAGAACTTCATTCAGTC